AGATCTCAGGGCAGTTCACAATCAGTAACACAGAGATAAACTCCAGAGGCAAGATGTGGAAAACCATTTCATATCTCTGGTAGCCACAGGGAATTCTTCTCCTCTGCAACCAGTATGAAAATGCAAGTTATGGGTGAGCCTCTCAGCAGAGCAGTTAAAACCAAACAACCATTTTTTATCAAGCAGAAGGTTGGAGGCGATATGGAGTGCTGCACCATGCCTACGTAAGACTGTTTTGGCTTCGTGGTGAAATAAGCTTTATTCTCTTTGCAGCTAGTGTGAGAAATGGGTGTGGACTGGAGAGGAAAGACTAGCCTACATGGACTTCCTAGCCACTTACGGCTGCTACCAGGTGAGCTGTTAAAACACTCGGCTTGACTGCTCTCTGCCATACTGTCCACTGACCTTCATCTGCTTCATCAGTTCAAACATCTGCTCTGGTGGGAGGCTGGCAACAGCCCTGCTGATGGACTCGGGAGCATCTTCAGGGTTCACAGGGTCTCCGTAGGGCGACTCAATGATGGGGGCCCCAGTGCCCAGGCCTAGTAGAGAAGATTGGGTTAGAACCAGAGATCTTCATCTTGTCATGCACACCTTGACTGGCAGCACATGGCAGCTGCTGCCTCCCCGCCCTCCCCCCTTCCACAAGGCCTTCAGACTCACTCTTCAGCTCCTCTTTGTTCTTCTCGCTGGCTGCGTTGTCCACACGCAGGGCTCTCCCACTGAACTCACGTCCATTCAGATTCCGCATGGCACTGAGTGCCGTCTCCTGGTCTTGATATTCACAAAAGCCATAACCTTTTGGTTTGCCCGTCTCTCGGTCATACACCAATCTAGCCAACAAGCACAGAAAACAAACTGTAATGAGCAGAAAGGCATGAGAGGGAGGGGAAAGGGTTTCGTGAAAGCTGGGGATCAGGGGCACTGCAGTTGGGCTAACTGGCTATATACTGTCCTATTATATGGGAAGCTACCTTAAGTCAGATTAGATTATTTGTCTATCCAGTTCAGTATTATCTACTGGCAGCATCTCTCCAGGGTCTCAAAGAGACAAAAGCTTTCCCCCGCATATGATATCTCAAGGACAGGGAACCTGTTGCCCTCTGGATGTTCTTGGACGGCAACGTTCATCATCTCTGACCACTGGGATTGTGGCAAATGGGAGATACGAGTCCAATGACTTCTGGAGCACCACAGATTCCTCATCCCTGTGCTACCTTAACATTTTATTGGAGGATTGTAATATTTATATCCCACCTTTCTTTCACGGAGTTCAGGTTGGTATACATAGCCACCCCACCCCACCCATTTTATCTTCACAACTATGTGAGGCAGGTTGGACTGAGAAGTGCAAAAGACTGAAGGTGGGACCTTCTGCATACAAAGTGCTTAATACTTCTCAGTTAAATTTCTTAGCCAAGATTCCCCACCCATGACTTAAGATCCTATGGTATCTACCACCACCACCACCCATGCCACATCCTCATCCAGCTTTCTCAGCTCTTCAGACTCAGCTTCTCTGATTCAGGAAATCCTAACAGGCATATGTCTCACCGGAAACTGACGACAGGCCCAACCTCTGAGAAAATGTCCTTTAACTGCTCTTCTGTGGCTTCATATGGGATGTTCCCCACTATTGGAGAGATGGGAACAGATTGTGAGCACCAGCAGCATTACTGGAATAAGTGGAACATCTTTTCAAACATAGGTCAAGGCATACATCTTCCATCAGGAATTTGGAAATGGAAAATGGTTTTAGTGTTGGTTATTTGTTTCCCAGTCTCAATTACTGAAGGCACTGATTAAGCAGAGTTTTGAAGTATTTTATTTAGAACCAATCCTCCAGCAAAGAGTAAGAAACCCAAATTAGGCCCTGAGCATTAGATCATCTCGTGTTACTGCCCAGCTTTTACAAAGTTTACTCTCAATTTTAGGCAAGAGGCGTTAGAATATGTATGCATTTGAAGGCAATGACCTAGTAAGCAAACGGGAGGGCACCCCAACACATACTTTACAATATTTGCTACGCACATGGAGAACAGCATACATGAGGGAATGAACAAGGAACTAAGCTCATTAGTTCTACTGTTTCTTTCAATAGCAGTGTACAAGGGAAACTTAAGAGAGTCTTTGGAAGCATCCTTGGAAGAAAGATTGCCCATGACTACTGATCTCCCACTGCAATGCACAGCTTGAAATGGCAGGTTGGGTAGTCTTTTCAAGCAGCACAACTTTGGCAAAACTATGTGCTATGAGGCAAACACAGTTTCCCTTATAATGCCTAAGGATTTGTATTGGGAGCTAATGTCCAAAATGTTTGAAAGGCACCAACTCTGGCAAAGCTGGACTAGAGTTGACAGAACAGCGTTGTGCACGGAGTCTCTCCATGGAGTCGGAGGTAAAGGGGAGGTGGGAAAGAGCCACCCCAAACTTCCTCCCTACACCTCCTAATCTCCCTTCCCTCCCTCTCCCATCCCTACCTTCCTTCCTCCCTCCACTTCTACCTTTCCTTCCCCCGCCCCCTTTCCGCCTTCTCTCTCTCTCTCTCTCTCCTACCCTTTCCTCTCCCCACCTACTTTCCCCTGCCTTTCCCAAAGTGGGGGTTGAGCGGCGTGCTCTTCCCGCGCCCGCTTTGCCCTCACCAAAAACGGAGCGCAGGGACCGGTCCACGGCGGGATCCCGCACGGACAGCCCCGCCATCTTCCTCCCTCTCCAACTTGCTAACGCCTCCTCCTTTCTTCTTGTGGGGTCCCTTTCTTCCCCCTCCGCCCAGCAACACAACCCACAAACGTTCGTTCCGCCTCTCAAGCCGCTTCAAGCCCAGCGCCTGACGTTTATGTTTTAATATAACGTTTTCCCGTTCTCTTCCCTCCCACACGCGCCCCGGCGCTTTGATGCGGGGTGGGGTGGGGGAGGCAGGCCGATTTCCCCAGCTGCTGTTTCTATGGCCGAGGGGTAGGGGTGGAGAGGTGCTGCTTTTTTCTATTTCTACTTTGGGGGATAGCTTCTGAAATAGCTTCCGTGTGTTTTGCCTTTCAGGCGCTCCCCAGTATGACATAAAATGTGGGGTTATTAGCGTCGCAGTCTGGACCAGGCAGTCTTTCATCGAGTGTGTGCAACATTAAATGAGGCTCGGGTAGTTTGCCCCCAACAAACATGGCGGCTTTAGGGCCTCGCTAAAGAGCGGTAGCCATAGCAACCAGACGACGAGTCCGAAAAGATGGAAGGGCTTGTGTCTCCTTTTGCAACTGCTCGAGAGTGTGCCGTGGCCACGCGAGAGAGAGCGGCGCGCAGGTGTGGCTTGTGGCAGGGGAAAAATTTGGGTGTTGCGCTGTTTTATTAAGGAAGGTTTTAATCTTTCCCGCGTGGAAGTGGGACTCAAAAGACACGAGTGAAATTCCTCTGCAGCTGTTATAGATGCAGGAACCGTTTCTTCACCGCGAGGTCGTCTGGGGTATGAATGGAGCCCTGCGCCATCAGGGCGACGGGGCAACCGCTGCCCTGCTTTAGAACCATAGAATGGTAGAGTTGGAAGGGACCCCCAGAGTCATCTAGTCCAGCCCTCAGCAACAATGCAGGGGGATCTATTTGCTCAACGTGGGGCTCAAACCCACGACCCTGCGATTAAGAGTCTCGTGCTATACCGACTGAGCTATGCCAGAAACCATACATTTCAAGCCCCTGATGGTTTTCCATAAGGAGCCCTGGGGACTGTAGTTCACTGAGGGTGCTGAAAACTGTGGCTCTGTGAAGGGAATATGGCAGCACCCCCGGGGTGATGTGTATTGGGTGCGTGATGTGGATCCACCCTTCCTTAACACTAAATCCGGCCCATTGGCTGTTGGCTTCCTTCTCCATATTGGCAAATACCAGAATTGGGACAAAACCATATTTAGTTGGCTCTGCCTGTCTTTGGCTCCACCTGCTGCTGGGCTCCCTGTCTTCCTCTATCAGCCTCCATGGCAACCAAGGATGGAGGCACCCAGGAGCTCAGTAGGGCTGAGGGACCTTGAGTTGACTGTCCATATAAGAAAAGAGAGTATTGGCAGGTGTAGCTTCTCATTAGAGATGATCACTGTCCTTTCTTTTTTCTTCTTCACCTGGCTATGCTTCTAGCACAGTGTCTATTAGGAAATGTGCAGTCTGCTCCTCTGCATGTCTCCTTAGAAATATGTCCACTAAGACTTACTCCTGAGTCAAGAATACATAGGATCACAATTATTGAGGGGTCAGGATGAGTCCTTAATGCAAAGGTACGTTTTTGAACAACTTGAGCTCTTTAAGAAATAAATAAAAATGTAAAGGTATTGTTTGTAAACACTGAATGAGCTTCATGGGCGAGTGGGGATTTGAATCCTGATCTCCCAGGTCCCAATCCAGCACACTCACCACTCCACCACACTAGTTCTCAAGACCAGGTTACCTGAAAATGGTCTCCTCCTGCTGCATATTCCTATCCTTCTAAATGCTTGTGCCCTGTACATCATGACCAGTCAACTGTAGCTCTCTTGCACTTTCTCTCTCACACAAAGCACAGAACAGTGTGGGAACCACATCTTCAAACGTGACAGCAAATTCCTGCTGTCAAACACAAGCCTGTTCCAAACACACTTAAAAATAAGAGTACAGTCTGAAAGATCAATGGGTCATGGTGGCAGGGAGTGAACACTACCTTTGCCCCTCTCTCCAGTAAGGGAAAGCCTGTTCCTCTGTTTTTCTCTTTGGGGCAAATCCTAACCAAGGGGGAGAGGATTTGCAGGGTGACCTTGGTCTTGGTACTTTTAATGGCACTCCAAACCAGCAATATCACTGCCTGGGACACCCAGGTCAGAAGGCAAATATCTGCTGGCTTCAGGCCTTAAACGTTTATTTCTTTCAACATTTTTTTAAAGGTTTATGGAGAAAATCACAAAACATACTATCTTTTCCCTTTTTTAACCAAAACAAGTCTTTTAAATAGATACAACAAAAGCAAATGGAGGGAGAAAAATAGAGTAGGAAAAAGAAAAAATAATAAACAGTACAGAAAAGAGGTTAAAAGCCAAAGATAGAAAAATATGATTCAGAAAATAAAGAACTTCCAATTCTTCATCTATCCGCTATATAAAAGCAATACTCACTTCATCTAATCCAATATAACACCCCACAAAGCTACTTTCTATAAACAAAACTTATACTAAACCTCTCTTTCCACTCTCTTCAGTACTACAGCCTGCCTCAGGGCTCAGGATAGAGTTGCTGCAAAGTTAAAATGGTTAAACCCTAAATCTGTCCTCTGGGGTTAATTGGAAAGGAGGTGGAACACATATAATAATGCAAGACTAGTTATTTTCTTCACTCTCAGTGTGGAATTAATAAAGAGCAAACACAATCATTTTATTTCACAAATCGTTGATTTTTTTAAAAAAGGTAAATTTCAAAACAAACATGCACACCCTATGTGGTCCTTGCTTGTGGCTACATGGTCTATTTTGTTTAGTGCAGGCCCAAGCTCCGGGCATGGGATTGATGAAGAGCACAGAGGGGTGCTTATAGCTGAGTGCGGAAGGTCAGGCCACTGCCCCTTAATAATTGGGCACACAAATCATCAAGCTGTTCACTTTGAGCCACTGTGAAGTAGTATTTCCAGTCTCCTACGGTGCCTGCAGGCAAGGCAAACAGTTTAGAAAAACCCCCTCAATGCATGCTGTTTCCCTTCTGCTACTACACAACATACTTTAAAGGTATAATAACAGCCAAGGCTTTCCCCCAAGAATCCCAGGAACTGTAGTTTACCCCTTACAGAGCTCCAACTCCAAGCACCCTTACCAAACTACAGTTCCCAGTGTTTTGGGGAAGTGGAGATGTGCTTTAAATGTATGATCTGTACATAGCTCTCCTCCTATATTACTTGTGGCTGGAAAATGTCCTTTTCACTCCTACCTTTTCTCATGAAGGGTGACAAAGCGTGGTTGTAAGTTGGCATTGTGCTGTAATTAGCCATGGGATTCACTTTCATGCTGTTGAACTCTGTGTGCTGCATGATCCGGTTCAAAGCTGGCTCAGAAAGCTCTTGGTCCAGGAACTGAGCTATTTTCCGAATTGCTAAGGCTGGGTGCTAGGAAGGGAAAGATGGAGAGAATTCTGCCCGGAAAGCTGCCATAACAAAACCCACTGTGTTTATCACTTATTTGGGACACTGATTTTCAGAAGCTCACTGTATGCAGGTGGTTGCTTAGAACATTTATTGCGGATAAATTCCTTCCTGGTTGAAATTACTGAAAGGAAGGAGTGCATATGTAAACTGCTCACCTCTTTCATGTCTTCATAAAAGAGATAGAGAATTGGGTGAGAATCCTTAGCCTTCCACCAGCCACAAACGTGGTCAAACCAAGAGCCCCAGGGAACTGCAAAGAGAGGTAAAGAGGTAGAGAATCAGTTATGATTATTAAGCTCATTTTCATCATAAGGAAAACAAAACAACAACAACAACAACTCAACAATCCCTCTGCAGGTTCACAAAGAGCAGTCTCTTGTTGCCAAGGTGGTGCTAACAATTGGGGCACACTTCTTGCAGCTACTACTGTATAAGGGCTCAGTGTTCCCTTGTTCTTTGCTGGAGCAACTTCAGATTTCTGTGTTCCCCAGACCACAGCCCCACTGTGTCTCTACCTTGAACCCTGCCACACCTTTGCTTTGCAGCCAGCCTGAGCCCTACATTGCCTTGCATCCTGTCTGAACTTGGTCCTGCCTTGCAACACATGCTAGTGGGCCTTGCTCAGCTGAGACAGGCTAGCTTGTTAGATAAACAGAGTCCTCGTGTGGTGTAAAGTAACACATGCATTAACTAGAAGTATTTATAGCTAATGTAAATGTATAGTTAATGCAAATGAAAAGTGAATCTATTTACTTTTCTCCAAGACTTGCTAACCTGCTCTGTTGTGCCTCTCTGGTCTGAAGAGAGAGGATGTTGTTACTCTAGTTGGACTCTACCCCACCTCACAAACCCTGGTGGAACTGCAGCCTCTCCAGCTCCTTTAGATTTCTGTCAAAGCAGCCTGGCCACCTTAAATGGGAGGGGTCCTCTCACTAAACACAGTGCTAGCCACTCAGTTAGAGGCACAGCTTCTGTTTAAAGTTCAGTCTCGGGTTGACTGGTGCCGAAACAATGAGTGCCGCGTGGAGCTGACCGTCACATCCACAGAGCATCCCTTTGTCTTGCTCTGCCTGCTCAAACCAGGTGGCCTTGTGTAAGAACCCTCATACTGCCGAGACTGTTGCTTGGAGCAGGAGATCAACAGCCAATAGGCTCCACTCTTCTTTCATATGTACAGAGCTTGAGCATTTGGGGTAGGCCCCACTACTCTCTCCGGGGCCAGTGCCATCTCCTCTATCCCATCTTTTGCCTCTACTCACGTTTTCCTGCAATGAACTTCTCCAGATACTCATCCCATGTTCCTGGGTCTGGCATCCTCCCGTTCATACGTTGGAAGTGGAAGTAAGAGATTGCGTTATCTTTGGCATTCCTGGCCACATAAATGATCTTCAGAAATAGATAATGAAGAAGAGTGAGCCCCAGGAGTCTCAGCTCCATGCATGCTGTTTTTGCTCATCTATCTATCTATCTATCTATCTATCTATCTATCTATCATCTATCTATCATCTATCTATCTATCTATCTATCTATCTATCTATCTATCTATCTATCTATCTATCTTATTATTATTATTTTATTAAAGATTTTCTTGTTTTACAGAAGTATGTGTAATGTCTCTCGTATTTTTTCCATGTAACATTTTTACAAATCAGTTTCATTTGTTGAGACATTGGGGGGGAGGGGGGGAAGATGAGTGGGGGTGGGGTCGGGTGGCGATGTTTCTATTTTGCTTAATGTATGTAGGGTTTTGTGTCAGCGTTGCTTGTGCAGGTTCTCTGCTGTTCATTTGTGTTTCTTTGGTGGTGAGAGAGGTTGGGGTTGGCCTATGGTGTGGTTGTTTGTTTGTGATTGGTTGTGGTGATCTTGCTCATTTATATATTTAAAAAACATGTCAGTCTCAAAGGGCTCCCAAAACGATTCACAGCAATAAGAACCTTAATACAATAAACGTTACCCACAAAATTAAAAATGCAATAGAGAACAAGCAGTGTTGATCCGCGGCTCAGATTAACCCCTAAGCAACCTCCCTCCAGTTGTCCCCCTGTAATGACCTTGCAATTCTGTTCCCAAAAGGAGGGCGGCAGGAGCTGGACCGGGAGGTGAGACTTAAGTGTACGTGGAGAGGTCATTAGCTCTGCCTCTTCCAAGCCTGAGATACCAAAGAAAAACATTCAGAGCTGAGATAAACCCTTCACCCCACCCTCAACCATCACCTCCCATAAGCAGTTCCCTTTCCTACTCACGTGAGAACAAGGGACTGTGCATCTCTAGGAAGGGCATCCGTTTGTAGATGGGGACTTGAGCACATTTCTGAGGGTCCCCTCCATGCTGGATCAGGTCTACAATTTCCTGCGTCCAAGTGGTCCCTGGCAAGAGGTGTTGAGAGAAGACCTGAGAAGACCTCATCATTCAGCCAATAGCCCTCGACTTCCCAGCACCATTCCTTCCCCCGCCCTCTGTGCTAATGCCCCACATCTCTCTTTTATTCCCATATACCTGCTTTGGGGTATGTGCAAATGAGAAGGTCGTCCCCCCGGGCGTTAAAGGTTGATATGCGACCCCATCTTTCTGCAGCACCACTGAGCAAAGGGATTCCATCTACCTCCACCAGCTCAGAGCGCTGGGATAGCTTATGGTCTAAACCCTCCATGTCAGATTCAAGATTTGTCATCTGGCAATGCAGGAAAAGCAAGTATAGCACCTGCTTTTAAGTAGCCAGCCTGCTTCCTTTCTACATCTGCTGTCAGCAGCCGCTGGTCAGTTTTACTTTTCTTCCCTGACTCACAGTTTCTTTTTTCTTTCCCCTCTTCTCTCTCAATCTCACTTCCTGAAATTGTTTTGGGTTCCTCCAGATGACCTCAAAACCCTCCTGATTTTTCTGGTGCGAAGCTTATGCAGGAGGTTAGATTATAGTCTTCATTTAGCATTTGGTCTGATTTGTCTGCTGGGTGAGCATTCATGCAGATTTGCTTGTGGGGTACTTATATACAAATTGCTGTTAATCATTTGTTCATCTCACTTTCCCAACGCCATTCTTTTAAAAATTGATGAGTTATGCAACAGAGTACTTTAATCCACTTTAATTGCCCGTGTTTAAGTTTCCCAGCCTGCGCATGAATTCCTCCAGCAAAATGCTGGCATTCTAGAGGCCCCTTTGATGACCCGGGAACGGGATTGGGTGTCTGTGCAGGTGCGGATGGAGAGAGGGGAGTGTGAGGTTTTGGCTGAGTTTCCTCACATGCCTTGGCCTGGGGTTTTTATCGGCACCTTCAACTGAAGTCACTGTACGGCTTTTAAACCTTTGTGGGGATACCTGCACCCTGATTTCCACTCCACTTCCTTTAGGTAAAGGTAAAGGGACCCCTGACCATTAGGTCCAGTCGTGACCGACTCTGGGGTTGCGGTGCTCATCTCGCTTTATTGGCCAAGGGAGCCGGCGTACAGCTTCCAGGTCATGTGGCCAGCATGACTAAGCCGCTTCTGGTGAACCAGAGCAGCACACGGAAACACCATTTACCTTCCCGCCGGAGTGGTACCTATTTATCTACTTGAACTGGTGTGCTTTCGAACTGCTAGATGGGCAGGAGCTGGGACCGAACAACGGGAGCTCACCCTGTCACGGGGATTTGAACCGCCGACCTTCTGATCAGCAAGTCCTAAGCTCTGTGGTTTAACCCACAGCGCCACCCGCATCCCTGTACGTCTACTTCCTTTACACACCTACATTTGGGTGGGGTGGGCAGAAATTACATCAGGATCTAGAGATCTCTGATTGATTCATAGTAGACGGTCACAGGTTTCTGGCTCCCAAATGGCCATCAAAATGACTTTTCTCACCCATATAAATTCGCTAGCAGAAATCAAAGGAAGTTAACCAGAAATGGACTTTTGTGTGAAAGCTGGGGAATAAACAAATAAAACTTTTGAATTCTATCAGTTTCTCATTTCTGCAAGCTTACATTCAGTTCTCCATATTTCTCCAACAATTTGCAAAGAAATAAAAAAATCTCATTAAAAATCATCAGAATTAAATATGAATTTCTCCTAATATGCAGTTTTGACTAAAATACACATTTTTGATGCATTTCCCCTTCACACAATACATTTTTGTATGCTCTTCTTACTAATATATGCATTTTACAAATACTTTATCCTAATGCAGGAGTTTCCAGTCCATGGCCTGTGAGCTTTGTTGAGGTTGTCAGTGGTGCGTCTGTAAAAATATAAATAAAAATCATACCACATCAAGCACAGCACAATTTCTTCAACAGGCAGACAAATCAGTAAGTGCTCTGTCAAGACCCTTGCAATTTTCAAGTGGTCTGTGAGGGGAAAGTTTTCAGAACTACTTCCCTTGTACATATATTTTTGGCTAGAGAACTGCTACACAAATTTCAGAGAAGTGCAAATGTGGAAGGTTTGCAGTGCTTTGATTTGCATATTGTTTCACAAAGTACAGATTGGAAGGCTCAGCTTTCAATGTAAACTGAATCCAGCTCCCCCCCCCCCATCTTTAGTGAAAGTTCAGTTCAGTTCTTCTGTTCCTGAAAGCAAACATCTAGGCTCCAGATGTGCTCAGCAACACTCCCGTTTGTTTATTGTCTAGGGACACTTCTATTCCAGGTGACCTGTTTCTAGAACATTCATCCTGCTTTGTTTGTGGGGTTGTCATACAACATCAGCTGTTCATTAAGGAGACATTTATTTGTGGGGCCATGATACAATACTGCAAATGTTATCCCACACTTTCTAGTGAATTTTCTTTACTGCAAGACGTCCAAGTTTTTTTTGAAGTGGTCTGTTGCACACGAGTGTTGTACAGCCCAAAGTGTATCAAAACAAAGGATGACGAATCTGTGGCCCGGCAGATATTCTGGGACTCCATCCCCATCAAGCCCCAGTCAGGGATGACGATGGCAACAGGAGTCTAGATAGGGTTGCCATATGTCTGGTTTGTCCTCTTTTTCAAGGTTAAGATTTCTGTCCAGGCAGATTTTTTGAATTAGGCAAAATGTCCAGGTTTTTTTGTTTGTTTGGCACCATTAGTAGGTACCATTAGTAGGTGGCAATGCTACTAAACAGAAAGAAAACAGAAAGTCACCCCTGCTTCTCCTCCACATCAACAGACTATGGTCACTCTTGCAATTTTCCTATCCCTACGGTGACTTGCAGAGTCGCCGGCACCTCTGGCTTCTTCCACATCTGGGTCAAAAGATTCCGCTTTGTTAATTCCCTTTCAGCCGCCCAGGGAGCCTTGTGAGGCGAGACATGATGCTACGCAGGGAGGAGCAAACTTGAACCTCTTCCTTTTGTGTGGTGGGCCGAGGGTGAGAGCGAAGCATGCGTCTGGCTGTTGGGAGCTGAGAGAGGGTTGCAGAGGGCTTGCCTGCCCACCTCCCCCTTTCACAGGGTCCAGGCAGGGTGAGGGCGAGAGGCCCTTCCTGCCACCCTGCACCCCCAAATCACTGCTGCTCATGTTTTGCTGCTCCCCCATAGATCCCCCACACTTGATCTAAACAGATCCAAAAAGCCTGCTGACTGCTGACTGCTGCTCTGTACCATGTACAACGGTTGCAAACAATCACAACCCAGTTTGATCTTTGGCTTATTATGTAGGAATGATGCCATTGTCCCCTCTTCAGTGTCCGGCAGTGGTTCAGATCTCATGTCCCAGAGTACATTCACTGGAATTTTGCCCAGCCCTTTCACAAGAAAAACGAAAGAATGAAAGGAAATCAGTAACTAATGACTCAATTTGTTCCTTACCCATTTGAGGAACTAGAAACAGATACGGTAGGCCTTATGGTCTACTGAGCAGAGGGGGTAGAAACTGGGATTAAATTTTAAATCCACCATGGATTTATTGTGTGAACTTGGTCGGCTCGATTGTAATGTGTTGGCTGTTTACATGGAAGCTGCTAAAAATAATTTGGAGACATGGCGGTATATCTGCCATTGAAAATGAACCTCTGGGATAACAACAGGGTGAGAGATTTTACATAATTAAGGAGGTTAAGCAAAACTCTGTGGGGGTGGTGGCTTGATAATATAGTTCCTGAAATTGATAAACAAGTAACATGATCAGAATAAAAATATTTGGGGTGAGGAGAAGAGTTAGCAATTGAAGGAGAACACCGCTCTGTAATGGTTGTTGATTGTTTACTCATTTTTCTCCATTTTATATTTGCTGTAGGGGGAACAATTATAGAGGGCATTTTCCAGGCATTTGATGACACTCTCAAGAAAGAAACATTGTTTGTTACTGTTATTGTTAAAATGCAATTTGGAAATCGTGCTTCTGCATATTTGCTTGTGTCATAAGAGAAGCCATGATCAGAGAGGCGAGTTAATAAATGAACCTCTCAGTGTTACGTATTTCTATGCTAACAAAAGAATGTATCTTTTTACTTGTATCTTTTACTTCTGTATCGCTGTAATACGACTAAATAATGTAGCTGAGGAATGCAACTGTTGACTCTACCAAATGTATCACCTTTTGTATCTTTCAAAAAAGTGTTTTTCTTATCAAATGTATTGCCTTTTTGTATCTTTTTGTATCTTTCAAAAAAGTGTTTTCTTACACTAGAAAATGTAACTAGAATAGAAAAATGTAACTGGAAGAATGTAGCCAAAATATTTTATATTCTGTGTGACTTTCCATTGCCATATACTTAATCTGTCAGTATTCTACCGTTCACAAACTGTCAAAATACCTTCAAGCACCACAGCGCCACCTACTGGGTCTACAAATGACATCGTGAATACACACAAAATGCAATATAAAATCAGTTTAATTAATAAAAGTATGCAGAGCGGAAACTTCACACCAGCAATGATAAACATGCAGAAACAGGACTTCACACCAACACTGATAACCGTTTCCCAAATATCCAGCCATTTAATCTGCATACCGATCATCCCAAAACCTCCGGAATTCCTTCCTGAAAATGAAGCAAAAACAGAACTGTGAGTCAAGATCCGCTGAAGGGGAAAAACCACACAACACCTTTTGTTCCCAACCTCAAAGCGGACATCTTCATTAACAACACCCAAGATCTTACAACATCCCACTTACCTTATGTTAATCCTCTCTTTGCGCCATTTCTGTCATTTTTCTGTATCATTGATCTGTATGGAAATGAAAAGGTATTTAAGGAAAGGCAGTTCCTTTGTTCAAGGTTCTCACTCCGTCCTTCTGTTACGCCAGTGGGAATCCTATTGCAACAGTCTTCTGTTCTTTGAAAATAAAGATCAGACTTTGCTTTTTCGCCAATCCTGATCTCTGTTATTTCCTGACCGGTTCGGAGCCACCACAAGAGTCCGGTCCTCCTTACGAGGTTAGGACCCCCTTGGGGAAGCAATAATATTTATTTCACTTGTGTTTGCATTACAGCTGGAAGGTTTCTTATGCTTGCTATGTGCTGTAGTCCTGCAAAAAGGTCCAGTATAATAATTAAAAACTAGATGAATACAGGAGGCTAGAGCTTTGTGCTGTCCTTTTGCTTCTGTCCTTCTTGTAAGCAACCTTCTGCATAGGAGAGCATCCCAGCTTGATTGTGCAACTGGCCATTCCTCTACGTATTTCCCTAAAGACCCATCTTGCTCTAGGAGATTGAACTCACACAAGGCAAGAGGCAGGCTTCCAAGAGAATCATATTCACAAAGAATTATTCCTCTGTTAATAAATTTCACAAAGCAAGCCCGGTTAATTTGCTAATATATAAGCCTGCAGTGCAACATGTTTTTACAAAGTCTGTCTCATCCAAAATGAAGATTGTGCTTTATGCTAACAAGCAAGCCAGCTTCACAAACCATGGCTTGAAGGTGGGCTGTTTGAAGCTGGCCATAGGTAGCATTAAATCACAATCCCCTCTTCAGACAAAGCGAGAAGGCATGGTTAACAAAAAATGGAAAAGAAAGATTCTGCAAGCCTCTTCTTGGCAACACAAGAGGAAGAGAAGGAACTGTTTGAGTCTGGAAAGACACCAAACTCATTCCTGCAGTGCTAAGCCACAGTTCAGCAATATGTCCAAAAAGTCCCAGGAGTACAGCTTTTGTATCAATAAAATGTTAACTAAAGTCAAATAACAGTTCATGTTAAAGCTGTGATTGCAGTACAGTGGTACCTCGGGTTACAGACTCCGTTAACCCAGAAATAGTGCTTCAGGTTAAGAACTTTGCTTCAGGATGAGAACAGAAATTGTGCTCCGGCAGCACAGCAGCAGCAGGAGGCCCCATTAGCTAAAGTGGTGCTTCAGGTTAATAACAGTTTCAGGTTAAGTACGGACCTCCGGAACAAATTAAGTACTTAACCCGAGGTACCACTGTATTGTTTTTTGGGAGGGGTTTTTTTTGGAAGCCCATTGGTTTTTGTTGGACCCTGCTGAGCACACTGAACTTTGCTGAACTTGCTGGACCCTACTGAACTGGTTGACTGCGCTGGACTTCTTGGACTGAACTTGTTAGATCTTGCTGAATTTATTTGACCTTGGTGAATTTTGGTGGGCCTGGCTGGGCCGCTTTGAATCTTATTGGACCTTGCTGGACTTTGCTGCATTTTGTTGAGACTTGTTGGCTTTCAGCTGAATAAAGTAGCCAGTGCTGGCTGGCTGGTGCCCATTGGAGCAGAAGGCAGGGAGACCAGCAATAGGTGGAGCAAGAGCAGGCGCCTGGAGGAGAGTCAACAAATTACTGTTTAGTTTTGTCCCCATCCTCCTCCCTGCTGAGTTGCACAAGGCGATGTTGAGACTAAGGAGGCTGGTGCCCGCCACCACCACCCTGAGCTGGTTGCAAGAGAAGCAGATGGAGGAAGAGAAGCAGATGGTGGCTGATGAGACCAGGCTGAGTTTGGAGGGGCAGTTCCCCATTTGCCGCTCCTGGGCCACTGGCTAGTCTCCTCTGCAAGTAACAAAATTTAGGAACCTTTATATCTTATCTTGTTGGGATTTGAATGATATTAGAAATAAATAGATGGGTGTTTCTTCTCTTCTTACTTACTATGAAAAGTATACTTCAATGCCATGATCATACAAGAGCCAGTTTTGAACATGAATGGGAACAGGATCTCGGCAAATCAATCACTACAAAAAAAGGGGGAATTACTGTAGTTAAGAAATGTGATGCTAGTAACTCTTGAAGAATAGTTTAATTTTTGATAGATCACCAACCTTTAAAGAACTGTATTGGATGCCGATTTGCTACTGAGCCAAATTTAAGGTGCTTTTGACGACTTATACAGTTGTAAACAACTCAGGACTGGATATCTGAAGAAACCCCTGCCTTTATGTTAATATTTTATTGTGCAGCAGTTTGCAATTGTTTTTATTAAAGATTGTGCATCTGTATATATGTGCACTGGCCTGGTATCATTTTGTAGGAAGGGCAGTATAAATATAAAATGTCCACTATCACATCTAGTTTGGCCCTTAGAAGATTATAAGCTTAGTTACAGACCGATTTACCTTTTTTCATATACTTTGATTACCTGGGGCCAAAGAAGAGTCTGATGCCAATTTGCACATTGTACTGTGATGCAACATTGACAAGCTTAGAGCTGGAATTTTCTGTAATAATTTCCCCTTCCTCTCCACTTTTCATTACATTAGGCTTAGCAACTGCTGAGAGAAAGCATCCCAGCCTAAATTGCTCCCCTGCCTTTATGAGCAGCTTGAGCTTCAGAAATTAACAAGTTGAACATGAACAGAAGCAAGTTGCTGTCAAAGGCATTTGACAAAGGGAGAAAGTCCTGCAAACCCTACTGAGGGTACAATGCTATACTGTACAAAAGAACTTCCGGATTTCATAAAAGCTTCCCTTTACTAAAGCCAGAACTTGAGATTTGCCACTGTCATTCATTTATTACATTAATCTCTTGCCCTTCCTTCTAAAAGAGCCCAGGATGCTATGGTTCCTGTTGTCACAAGCTCATTGGTTCAATCAGCACATTAGGTGGATGTTGTTCCCAGCCCAATCACTGCCACTGGTGCCATTTCCAGGGATGCTGTGGGTGGGGCCTGTCTTGTCGTTTCTGTCCCATTTTCATTTTATCTGGTTGTGTCTTTAACTCCCCCCCCCCCCCGGCCATGCCAAAGCAGAGCAACCACTGAATAGGACAGCATACTGCCACAGCCAACGTGTGAATCTCAGACAGATCTGCCGGGCTCCTAGTTTAACCTCCTATCACCCAAAGAACCCAGGTTCCTTGCTGTCCACTCCCACCAACTCATCTCCTTTTTTGCACATGCACACTGTGTCCACAATCATTGTTAACGGTGCCTACATTTATTACAACCAAAGCTGAATGGCAAAAGAACCTGTTGTGTGCCTTGATGGAAACGGTTCCAAGAGGGGCAGTTTTCTTTCTTTCCTTTCCTATTTATTAGTTTGGTTTCACATATTAAAAATGACAGTCATTTTACAACACATTCCAACAGTTCAAGATTCCCACGAATCTCTCTGGACTTCCCACCTCCCTCTCTGTGGGTCCCATTGTCAAACCCTTTCTACTGCATCTTTTATATTCATCCAGATTTTTGTAGCACCATTATATCCATAGTTCTTGTTACATTACAAGTGGTATTACAATCCCGCTGACTACTTTAACTGTTTACAGTGGTCTCCAAGGTATGTTATAATCCCCCCCCATTCCTTATTAAAGTTTTGATCTTCCTTGTTTCTGATCTTTCCAGTCATTGTTGCCCTTTTGGCATAGCCCATCAACTTGATCTGCCATTCTGCTATGTTAGGGACTTTGTCTTCCTTCCATCTCTGGGTTATCAACATTCACACAGCTGTTGTAGCATACATGAACAGTCTTCTCTGGTCCTCTGGGATTTCAGCACCTACAATTCCTTATTAAAAAAGCCTCTGGTTTTTTTTTTTGGAAAAAGTTACTTTAAACATTTCCCCCCCCAATTCATTATATATCATTTCCCAGAATGCTTTTATCACCTTGCACGTCCACCACATATGATAAAAGGTGCCTTCTTTTTCTTTACATTTCCAACCAATATTTGTACTTTTCTTATACATTTTTGCTAACTTGCTAGGAGTTAAATACCAACGGTACATCATTTTCATATAATTTTCTTTCAATGTATAACATGCTGTAAATTTCAAATCAGTTCTCCATAACTTCTTCCATGATGAAAGCTGAATATTATACCCCAGATCTCGCCCAGTGTATCATTGCTGATTTAACCTTTTCATCTTTTGTATACCATTCCAAAAGCAGTCTATACGTTTTAGAAAGTAATTTTACAGTGTTGTCCAACAATTATTTTCTAAACCTTGAAGCTTCATTACTATCTTAAAAAAATCATTTAATTGATGATATTGTAACCAGTCAGTTAATAAATCTCATATCCTCAAAATCCTTCAATTTCAACTGGTGTTCTGCTTCCATTAACAGGTCCGTATATGTTGCCCAGTCATTTCTCATATTTACATTTTTAAAGGATATTGCTTCCAGTGGGGAAAGCCACCATGGCGTTTTCTGTTCTAGTAAATTATATTTCTCCCATACCACATAAATTGATTTTCTTACAAAATGATTCAAGAATCCTTTATGCACTTTTGCCTTTTCATACCATAGATATGCATGCCAAACAAACCTATTATCATGACTCTCAGGGTCTAAAATATTCGTGTTTTTTCAAATTATCCATTCCCGAAGCCAGCACAGGCAGTATGCTTCATAATATAACATTAGGTCTGGTAGTGAGAAGCCACCACTTTATTTCGAATCTATTAATAATTTTTATTTTTTTTCTTGGCCAAGAATAAAATACAAGAGGGGCGGTTTTCTGAGTCTATAATACATCCCGGAAACGCAGGGTCGTTCCTTCCATCTTGCGCCGGTAATCTGCATCAAACTCCTCTCTTTGAGCCACTGTGAAATAATTCTTCCAGTCGCCAACTTCACCTGAAGAAATTCAGAAGCAGAAAGAGAGAGCTTCACCCTGTGACCACTTTGAAAGATGGCATCCTCTCTCCTAACATAGGGGGTTTCTGTGATAACTATTACTTGCCTTTCTTTTTCTTTATAATTATAAAGGACCTTTATATTTACAAAGGTCCTCCTTTGGGTATCCAGCACAGTGCATTTAGGTTTTGTACATATTACCCAGGTTGTGCCTGAGCACATATGTTGTATTACTCTACCTATGTGTATCTGCTCAGAAGTAAACTACATTGAGTTTGGTGGGACTTCCATGTAGATATATCTCAGATAGCAGCCTAGAGCTCTTAGGACAGCCTTTACCAAAGGTGTCATGGACTTTGAAGAAGCACCAACTCAGGGTGAAAAGGAGAAACGGGCTAAGAGGAAGACATATTTGGCAAACCCTCACCTTGATCAACTCCCGCCCAGAAACCTATGTCCCCGCTGTGGAAGGATATGTGGATCCAGAATTGGCCTCCACAGTCACTTACGGACTCACTGTTAAGACCGTTTTCATGGAAGACAATCTTACTTGGCTACAAGTGATCGTCAAATAAGAAAGCGCTTGGTGACTACACACTTTGATTCCCTATAAAGTTAGCAAAATGCACTTCAGACCACCACTGGAACATTCTCTGGGAGATACATTAGGCCCAGACTGCATAAAATATTACTCTCCCCAGTTAAACTTCACTCCACTTCCCAATTATACCCTTCTTTGTGGGGAAAGGGGGAGCAAATGAAGTTGTGTAGCAGCGAACAACATCTTTTGAGGTCTTAAAAGACTAGCGTCACTTACTCACCTTTCCTCATAAATCTGCCTTTTGTCTTGTCAAAGATGGCGTTGGGGACGGTCTCATAATTTGTCATTGGGTTCTTCTTCATGGTCTGGAATGATGCGTGGTGGACAATCTTCTGAAGGGCGTCCTCAGGCAGATCAACCTCCAGGAAATCTTTCACGCGACGGACCTCGCGAGCCAAGTCCTAGCGGAGACATTCAGATGGGTGTGAATGGGAGTGAGGTCATAACAGAGCAACCTGGTACTGCAATTTGCCTGTAAGCTCCAGAATGCCTCTGAGGTTCCTGAGAGTGCGGGAAGGAAACACTAACTGTCTGGCTGGTTCTTTTTCAAGAAGCAAAACCCAATGGTCTCTGGATCCCTTCCACATTTCTGCACTTGATAAATTTACTTTTGCATCACATGCCTCTCTGTTTCGAAAACACTTTTTTTCATGTTGTGCATCACACAGCTTTGACCTGGAAGCAGTAGTGTTAAAATCTCACATTTCTGAGAGCAACCTGAGTGAGGAATGTGCCCTCTGCACATGCTGGGAGATTTGTATTACTTCCAGGGATGGGAGATCAATTCGGTTGAGTTTGCATTTTAATGCAATTCTACCTAATTTGCGCTTCTTGAAACAATAAACGAACCGAAATGCAGCTCTGAAGTTCAGACTTCTCTGAATTTTGCAGGAAAGCGAGCCAACAAAAAAAGGCATACAAGAAATGCATATGTTAGGGGAAAGTATACATAAATGGCTCAGGACCGCAATACCTTAAGGACCGCCTCTTCCCTGGACTCTGCATTCATCATCTGAGGCCCTTGTTTGTGTGCCTCCTCCACGTGAAGTCTGGAGGGTGGCAACACGAGATCGAGCCTTTTCTGTGGTGGCTCCTCATTGGTGGAATGCTCTCAGTGGCAAAGCTTCATGCTCCGGCACCGGGGGGCGGGGCTGGTGTGCGCCCCAGAGTTGTGGCATGCCGCCTGCGGGGGCATGGCGCCCAGCGCAGGCAGGGGGCAGCCGCGATGGCACCCCACCGGGATCGCGCGGCCAGGAGCAGTGCGCTCCCCCCACTCCTCTTCTTCCGCCAGTGAATGCTCTCCCCAGGGAAGTTCATCTGGAGCCTTCTTTATATATCTGTAGGCACCAGGTGAAAACATTTCTCTTCAACCAGGCCTCTGGCTGATTCATATTCTACACCCACCTCTTTCATGTCCTCGTAGAAGAGGTACAGGATACGGTGCTTTCCTTTCTCATCCCAGTAACTCCGGACATGGTCATACCAAGAGCCCCAGGCAACTGAGAGACAAGTGAGATAAGATGTAACAATGATTAAGTCTGTCACCTAGTTAAAGGAATCAATTAATCCAATGCAATCCCACAGTACTCTCCCATCCATGTGTACTTAGAAGAAGTAAGTACCACTCCATACAGGGGTACCTATTTCCAGGTATGTAGCAGAGCTGGGAAACCGGTGGATGTTGGGGGACTCAGCTCCAGCCAGCATGACCAATGGCCAGGGACGATGGGAGGTAAAGGCTGCATTGTTCAGTTTTCCTGACATTTCCCTAACCTTTAATTTGCACGTTACAGTAAAGGTTTCAAATGGTGTTAAAGGCACTTCTAGAAGTCTAGCTGAGTAAAGCACAAGATCTTGTCATTTGCTTCCGGAAAATAATCTGTTTGTAAGCCGGGAATCCTCTCGCAAACCTGGAAGTTTCTCACAGGAAAGGGGCTTTGTGCGAGATGGAAAATGGGTGCGGGCCAATGAAAAACCAAGGGAACCTGCTTTACATGAATCTATAAATTCCAGGAATCCCTGGATATTTCCCCTCTAACTCGGTGGCCTTCAACTGCTGTGGATTGTGGCAGCACCCTGATATAAGGGGGATCGCAGTGCTGTTGAGGTTCAAGGTGGGTCTCACAAAATTCAGTTGCTGCTGTTCTGATTCATTAGACACCCTCTTCATCATGGAGAGGGAATCGGGGCATCTTCTGTACCCCACCCTCCCCATGCCCAACAAGCACTAATTATTCAAGATGAGCTTCTTCTCCTAGAACTGACGTTTGCCCTCCATGAATTTCTTCACATAGCCATCCCACGGCCCAGGGTCTGGCTGTGTCACGTTCATCTGGTCAAAGAAGAAGTAGGAGACCAAGTTGTCCTTGGCATTACGAGCAACATAGATTACCTGCAAGGGACCAGAAGGGAGAATGGTATGAGGTAACATTGGGGCAGGATTGAGGGGTGCGGGGGTGGCAGGAAGGGATGAGGCAAGCAACACTTACTTTGCATTTCTGGTCCCAAAAGCTTTTAGGAACAAGCTGGAAGGGGAGGTGGGTTTTGATCACACGAGGAGATGGGGTATCTACCAGAATGCTGACCCCTAAGGAAGAATCAGAGAAAGGGTTGGATGAGTTAGTTCGCTGCCTGTGGGGTTTTTTTTTTTACAATCAGGGCTGTGTGCCTGGGATCTCTGGCTCACCTGAAGGCACCGGGGGTGGAGAGCAAATTTCTAGAAATGGGATCCGGATGTACACAGGAGCTCGACGAGCTTTTTCCACATCGCCGCCGTTAAGGACCAGGTCAACAATCTCTTGAATCCATGTGGTACCTGAAAGCCCAGAGGTACAGTAAATATAGAGATCTACTAGAACCTAAAACCCCTTGGTGGATCTCACCTATAGAAGCATTAGCTGTGAAATAGAAAAACATGAAAGAAAATTGGGCAACATACAAAATGTTATTAGAGGAGAAAAATAATAAATTGGGATTTATTTATTTTTAATGTCCTCACAAAATTGAAGTTGGTGTGAATTTCTCCTAGTACATAAACATACTTTGGCATGCAATTTTAACTAACATAAACATTTTGGGTATGTTATTCCACTAATATTGGCATTTTGAGGTGAACTTTGCCCTAGCACAGGCGTTTTTCCACATGTTACTTGGTTGGAGACCTATATTGCAAAATTTAAAGAAGTGTGAATTTGGAAGTGAAATATACTCAGAGTCGAGTGTGGATTTCATGCTCTTTATTCCACTCATAGTGGTGAGGAGGAATGGAAATTCCCCTGAAATGTCTGCTTTATATACATTATTTACACAATGGGCCCCATGTGATTGGCTAATTCTGGGATTCTCCTGTAGGCCAATCAGGTTGCGGATTCACTTCCACCCGGAGTTGGATTGGGTGGCTCCTGCGGACCAATCAGACTGCTGCATTCTGGATCCTATTGTTCTAGGACCAATCAGACTGCTGCATTCTGAATCCTATTCGAGGACCAATCAGACTGCTACATTTTGGATCCTATTCAACCCAGTACATAACAGGAAGGCTTATGTTATCAGCCCCACAAGTGCTGTTGGGATACGATTTGGCCAAGACAGAGAAGGAAAAGTAGGGGACTATACCAAGGGAACCAGGGGTGGAGGAAGGGCATCTCCCCTTTCCACTCTGGCTTCAGCCATTTCGGAGGGGAAATAGGGATGCCAGCTCTTGCCTCCGACCCTTCAGTGGAGCAGAGTGTGTCCGTGGAAGCTGGGGAGAGCTTTTATAAGCCAAGGGGAATGGCTGAACAGGAGGAGGCAGTCTTGTTACCCACAACAGAGCTCATGCTCAGCATTCCTGCAAGGCAAGAGAGTCTTATGAGTGAGTGCGTCACACCTCAACTTTAAAAACTTGGCGGGAGGAGTGGGGAAGCTTGTTGGGACATATTTGTTGCTCAGCCCATTTTGGAACTCCCTGCCCTGCTGCGAATTCCCAGCTCCAGAGGAGCGCTGCATCTGAATAAAGATTTATTTAAATAAGTAAGAGCCTCAGTCTGTGTTTTTGGGGAGCAGGAGCCGGGACAAGGTGACTGTGTTTTGCTTCACCTATTGTTTCCAAAAGTGCTGACTAGGCAGGTATACCTTGAATGTGAACTGCATGGACTTTCTCCCTCATCCATAGTTCAAACAAACACAAAAGCATTTGCCCACGTTGCCACCCCCTTGTTGTAAATAAAAAATATGCCCTTTCCCCCTATGGGGTATCCAAGAGCCCATATAGAGTCCTTACATAGGTTCCCTATTGGTAGAACATAATAGAGGCCAACCAGAGAATATTGAGAAGCAAAGCAGCTAGTAAGCTTGATCTTTATTGATCTGTTGCAACAGGGTGCTCCCCTCACCCACAGGAGAGAGGAGGGACCCAGAAAAATGGCATGCAAGGCCTTATGGACTTTGATGCACTTTGGAAATTCCCATCCTGTAGATCAAGACCACCCCCAGAAACACTATGCATACATCACAGAAGGGGTGTAACCTAAGACCACCCCTCAGATACATCCCACCTACATCACAGAAATTTAAATGTTGTTTTTCTCTTGTCCTTGTTTATCTCCTGTCTGGCAGGTTCCTTGATTGGATTTCTTGGGGAGCCTGGCCAGTCTTTTGTAGTGATAAATACTTATTCAAACACAGACATACCCTTAAGACAGGATTTGTGAAGGAAAAGACAATGGGGAGGCTTTTTCCAGTTTGACCTCGCAGAGAAAACGTTTGCTCAGTTTAGGAATCAAAATGGTTCCAGGTTGGCCTTCCTGTGCTGATCTATGTACGTGTGGTTATGAATATTGCCATACCATAAAATTCCTATCACACCCTCTAACTCTCTCTAACAATTGGCCATGCTAGTTTGACCTGTCCAACAGCATCTGCAGGGCCACAGCCTTGGTTCACTATCCCTGCTGTTGTCCCCCTCATGCCTCTGTTACATTTTTTTTGAGCAGGTACAAAAAAACTAAGCAACAACATGTCTGCTACTTGTTTCTTCCACTTATTTAATATCCTTCTCCTCAGTCCTGAGGGATTACAACACTCTTGCAGTGACTTAAAATACAAATAAATGCTATACACATTGCACAATGAAACCAATTTTTGGGAAAACAACAGCAACAACTTATGCATATGTTTATGAAATAATGTAGCTTCCTTTCGGAAAGAACATGTTTACTTTTTGGTGCTTTTAAAGCCATTTCCTCTGCCAAGACATATAGTTATGTAACTCCCTGAGAGACAATTGAGCAGCCCTACAGCAAAACAAACACATGAAACCAACCAAACAAAATAAACCTCAATTTCTGCTTCCTTTCTCCTGATTTATTGGGCCCAGTGCATTTCTTCACCAGAGCAGCAGTCACCAGGATGGGCAAATCTGTGAATTTTGGTTTCCCTCCGTTTCTTATCTTTCCAGTCTTTCAGTTCTCCACATTCCCATGTCAGTTTGCTCTGTTGTTGTCATTTTAAAGTCACCATGAAAGTTCACCAGCATTTTAGTGTGAAATTCCTCCATGTTTTTGTATAGAATTTCGCCTAACATGCACATTTTTGCATAGCAATTTCTCCCAGAACAATGCATTTTTCTATGCTGTTTTCACTCACACATGCATTTTGATGCATATTTTACCTTTCGTATATTCATTTTTGTACACATCAGCTGGCTGGATAATTCTCTTCCAAAATTTGAAGAGTGCCAAATAGGTTGGTTCAGCTTTAAAGGTGACCCAAATATAATTTCTCCCTAACAGTTCCTCCTTATTTCCTGGATAACAGGAGAACTTTGAGGGTGCTTTGAGGTTTGTCTCCTTGGTCTTCCCCAGCGGCGTAGCGTGGGTTGTCAGCACCCGGGGCAAGGCAAGTAATTTGCGCCCCCTAACCCATGGATTTGCGCCCCCTAACCTGTGGATTTGCGCCCCCTAACCCGTGGATTTGCCCTAACCCCAGATGTTGTGCCCGGTGCGGCTGGCACCCCCTGCACCCCCCACGCTACGCCACTGGTCTTCCCCCACCCCACCCGTTTTCTTGGAGGGGTGGCACCTATGATTGCTATGGCCCTCCTCCTTCTGTTTTTCCTCCTGCAGTCGTACACCCCGCCTGCTCCCCTTTCTGGTGTCTCACCTGCTTTGGGGTAAGTTGAGAGAAGCAAGTCATCTGGCCGCGCCTGGAAGTTTTCAATTGGAGCCCATTGTTGAGCAATGGGCTCCATCAGGGGGATCCCATGGACCAGCTCCAGCGGAAACCTCCGGAAGACATCCCTGTGCTTGTGCAAGAAGTCGTTGTAGTCTGTTTGGTTGGCCATGGTCCGAGGTGCAAGGGTTGTGTAGCCCTTCACAAAGAAAGCAGCAGCCTCCCAGGTGTTACTCTCTAAGAGGGTTCTCCACTTCCACTCCACAACTGTGTTTCTCTTCCTGCTTCCAGGCACAGTTGCTTCCCAGCCTGTTTTATTTCATCACTCTTATGCAATCTAAAGGGCAACAGGCGAGTTCCTCATTCAGGAAAAGTCCAACCCCAGGAAACAGCGTTGGTTTTATCATTTCAATCCAGCCCATTGTTTTACCAGCCAACAGAATGGCTGCAGGGGGTGGATGGGTGGAGTATAGGCAGACTGAATACTATGCTTTTCCTCCCAGAACCTCCAATTTGTTCATTTTGTCCGTTGTTTGCTTAGATCTCAAGATTTCTCTGCAAGTAATCCAAGAATCTTGGCTGCTTCTTCTACCCTCAGCCTGAAAAGCCTCTTTTCCTCTCGCAGGAAATCCAGACCTCACACAAGTTCTTTCAAACCACATCTAAACTCTTCCCATTGCCTGGTGGAGGGATTTTATCGGAGTCATTGGCTTTCCTGTGTTGAAATTCTTTGGCTCAGCACCAGCCTGTGTAAGAAAAACAAAACAAAAAACTAAGAGATAATAGCAAGTAATAGCTAATGGAGGAATGACATAAAAGCCCCTCTGGGTATATAAACAACAAATATATAGGGTAGCTGTGTTTGTCGGTGAGGGAAAACTCCAAAATCCACAGTTGAGTAATCATCTTTACTGGGACTAAGGAAAACATAACAAATTAGCATGCGAGTTCTGCAGAATTCATTCACAGGAGTAGTATCTGAGTGGTCCACGTTAGCAAAGTGGCTGGGATAATGCAGACAGAGTCAAGAGGGAAAATAAACAGACCAAATTTACTGAGGAGAACAGATCCAGGTGAACATATCCTGATCTCAAAAACAAATCAAGAGGCAATAGAGGCCCAGTCAGGCCTAGAGAATGAACCCTGGGATCTTGTACACGGCAGTCAGAAAGTCCACAAGTTCCACCTCCCATCTTCATGTTGGGAAATATTTCCCGGGTTAAAATTCTTGCACAAAAGACCTGCCATAAAAGAAAACATTGCACCCCCTGTCTAGAATACTCACCTACTCTAAAGGCAATACAGCTGCAATTCTGTGTACACTTACTTGGGAATATGCATTATTGATCTGGAGCATCGGGAATGTATATTTCCACAGAGATGTGAACATTTAAAGCAAGGGCGTAGCGGGGGGTGGGCAGGGGGAAGCTGCTCCCCCCCCATCAAGTAAATAAATAGAAATACTTAACCAACAGCTTAATTCTACTCCCCCTAACATAAATCCTGGCTATGCCCATGATTGAAAGGAATTTCGAGGATACCCTGCAAATATGTCTCCTCCTGTCCCTTTCACGGTTCAGTAAAAAGTATATTCAGTGAATAGTTTCAAAACAGAAGGGACAAGGCTCAGTTTCGCGTGGGGTACCGAAAGGCATGAAAGTCAGGAGGTCCGTGATCTTGCCCTTTCTCAAATACGCCACTAGAAAGGCGCTCTGCACATATCTCAGAAGAACTCTCAACAGAGCCGATTCCGAACACCCGGTTCGAGCGCGACCCCTAGTGGACATTTGTGTCCAATGCAACCCTCAGCGTCCCGTCATTCCCCGGCTTCCCTGTGCTGTCAATCAAGAGGACCGAACGCCCCCCCCCTTCGACCTGCCCCTCCCCAACGTGGCCGGCCTTTGCTCCGGCTCGCCCGCGCGGGCGAAGCCCAAGTGAGGGCGGAAGTGGCGTCGTCGCGGGCAGGTGCGGGCGAGCGGTCGCTAGAGTGAGGGCGGAAGTGGCGTCAATGGCCGGGGTAGGGGGGAAGAGGAAGAAAAGGGCTGGTGCATTTGGCGTGCGGGGTGCCGGAGGGACGGGAGGATGGTGCTGATCAAAGAGTTGTGAGTACTGGGAGGGGTGTGGGGGGCGCCAGCGTGGGTGGTGCAGGGCATGGGAAGGGTTAACTAGGCAGTGGGGAGGGGGCTTTCCTAAAAATGGGTGGGCGATAAACAAGGGACCCGTCTACATATGGCTGCCCCTTTCTACGGCTCTTCCTTCTGTATTTTGCTGGGGGTTTTTAGAGCGCCTAATAATGTGCGCTGGGTGAGATCTGATATTTTGGATGAATGGGGCCTTTTGTTTCTGCAGTGTAAGGGACGGCGCTTTCTCATATGCCTCTGAAAAGCAGAAGTGGGGGGTCGCCTTGGCCCATTCGGTTTACCCTGCGAGGAGGTTTTTCGCACACCCAGTCCTGCAATCCATCTGGGGTCCCTGACCCGGCATGTTTTCCCGACAGGAGGAGCCTTGCTTTATACCGTTTATACCGTTATTCTCCATTTCGATGTATTTTTTTCCCCTCTTCCCCACCCTCCACCCATGTTTTTTTCACCAAAGCTCAATGGAATAATCAGGGAGGAGAACAAATAAGTGCCATCCTCAGATCCCTGAATCCGTCATAATTTTTGTGCTCTGCTCGGCTCACTTTCTTTAAACTAAGGCCTGTTGATTTCCAGGAACTTATTTCGGAAGGAACACGAAATGTTTGCAGTTTCAGAGTGTTACCGCAAATCACGCTGAGCACTGTTTCAGGGGAAGTTGGCAGCAGCAGATTTATCTTTGTTAAAGCTAGCTGAGGCATGCGCTGGAGGAGAATTGTAGGAGAAAAGACCTTGGGGGTGGGGAGATGGCACTCCAACTTATTTCATCTGGCACATACAATAACATTGCCTCAAGGGATGCAGCACACTTCCAGGGAGAAAAAGCCCTTTTTAATTCAGTAAGGCTTACTTCTGTATAGGCCTGTTTAGGATTGCACTGTGAGTTTAGGAAGGTTCTCCGTGCATATTAGTGTGCTCTTCCTCAGGGCAAAGGAGACAATCTGCTTTGTGTTTCGATTTCAGCGAAACTTCTGCAACACCTTTAAAGCACATCTCCCCCGCCTCCCTGGGATTCTGGGCAACTCAGAGTTGCAATTCCCAACAGCTCTCAATGGACTACAGTTCCCATAGTTTTTTGAAGGGAACGTGTGTTTCTAATGGTACTTTAAAGGTATACCATGTACACGGCCTTCAAGTTTTGAGATACCAGGGTCCTGCATATGTATGTTATTGCAATGTGCTATATATGTGCTCACATTAGCAGACTGTTTGGAAATTGCAGCGAGTGTTCAGTGCAGCTGACAAACTGATAATAGGCACCAGACAACAAGTACAGTGGTACCTCACAAGACGAATGCCTCGCAAGACAAAAAACTCGCAAGATGAAAGGGTTTTTGGTTTTTTGAGTTGCTTCGCAAGACGATTTTCCCTATGGGCTTGCTTCGCAAGACGGAAACGTCTTGCAAGTTTGTTTCCTTTTTCTTAACACCGTTAATACAGTTACGACTTGACTTCGAGGAGCAACTCATAGCACGCGGTGTGGTAGCCTTTTTTGAGGTTTTTGAAGACTTTGGTGATTTTTGAAGCTTTTGCAAAACTTTTCCGAAACCGTGCTCCGCAAGACGAAAAAAATCGCAAGACGAAAAAAATCGCGGAACGAATTAATTTCGTCTTGCGAGGCACCACTGTACCTATTACTCTCATTTGCCCAGCTTCAGTGGCTCCCAATGGGTTCCTGAGACCAATTCAGAGTTCTGATTTTAGCCTAGAAAGCTTCTCACAGTTCAGGACCCCAATACCCAACAGAATGCCTCTGCCAAACACATGCCCTGTGGTTGTCATCAGAGGCTTTCTTCTTCCTCCAAGAAAGGTCCTGTGATTGGCAACAAGGGAAATAACATTTTGGCTTCTCTCTCCTCCCACCCCATCTATGGATTGGTCTCCCCGGTGAGGCCCACCTGGTGTCAAGTTTAATACCTTTTGGCACCGGGTAAGGTCTTCCTCTACTTCCACGCCTCTGGTGGTATTCGATAGGCTTGCTTATTAATTCAGTGTTACTGTTTTAAAGCTGCGTTTTACGTTGTGGCTTGTTCTTTGGTATTTCTAAATTTTTGTACCCTTTGATATATCATATTGTAAGTTGTTTTAAGACTAGTTTTAGTGGCAGTTTTCTAGAAACTTGATAATGATAGTTCAGATGCAACAGTAAGGTAAAGGGACCCCTGACCATTAGGTCCAGTCGCGGACGACTCTGGGGTTGCGGCGCTCATCTCGCTTTACTGGCTGAGGGAGCCAGCGTACAGCTTCCAGGTCATGGGGCCAGCATGACTAAGCCGCTTCTGGCGAACCAGAGCAGCGCACGGAAACGCCGTTTACCTTCCTGCCGGAGCGGTACCTATTTATCTACTTGCACTTTGACATGCTTTCGAACTGCTAGGTTGGCAGGAGCTGGTACCGAGCAACAGGAGCTCACCCCGTCACGGGGATTCGAACCGCTGACCTTCTGATCAGCAAGTCCTAGGCTCTGTGGTTTAACCCACAGCGCCACCTGCGTCCCACTAGATGCAACAGTAGTGCTTTATAAATGGTCTTGGTTGAACGGTCTGTTAAATACATTCCAGGGTGAATAAAGTGTGTATGTGCTTTTTATCTGGTGCGTGTGGCAGTGGAGTGTGAGGGCTTGGGCACTGGAGGATTCCCTCTCTAACTCTTGTTTCTCTTTCCTCTCCCTCCCCCCCCCATGCTGCTTTTATCTCCATCCTCCAAAACCAGCCGGGTTGTGCTGCCTTGCTCCGTAGAGGAGGTAAGTTCCATTTACATTCAGTGGTATTAGGAAGTGTGCAACTTTGCTGACCCCCTAGTTAATCAATGGGGGGGGGGATAATGGGTTGGCATAAATCAGCAGAAAGTTTGGGGTGCTTTTCTTCCTGTTTTTCAGAGGTGGGACCAGAACCAAAAACCAAAAGGGCATTGCTCTTTTCTGTCTCTCTTTCTGGTTCCCTGTTCTCTCCCTCTCTCTCCCCACCCAGCAGGAGTTGGGGCAGGCAGGCCTTGCCAAGTGACTCCTATGGCATTCCTCATCCCCAAGACCTGTGCCTTATTTGAAGGCCAATGGGGCAGGAGTATTTCCCCTTCTCTCTTTCCCAGTGCTCGGAATGAGCTTAACAGACTTCATCAAATTAGTTCAAAAGTCTCTAAACTACATCTGAAAGTAGTTTCCAGAATTGCCAAGTGATCAAAACTTGAATTACATTTGTTTCAGTTTAGAACTTTGAACGATTTCTAGTTTTATCCTCAAGTTCGTTCTCTCATCTGTGCTTTTCACTCTATAGACTCTCATCTTAAGTTTATTTCATACTTTTATTTTATACTTCAGCACAGGAGCATTTTGAATACTGAAAAAAATTCTTGAGGATCATTTGGATCAACTTGGAACTGTGACCTGAAGGCAACTACTTTGTTTTGTAAAGGGACAAATTTGAACTGGGACGAGTTCCTTTTGGGACATGTCGAACTTGAATCTCCTGTTTAAAATGCCCATTTCCAACCTCTGCTCTTTCCCTCTTCAGTATCAGGTGGGGCAGCTATTCTCTGTTGCGGAAGCCAGCAAGAACAACACTGGTGGCGGCGAAGGGATTGAGGTGCTAAAAAATGAACCTTACGAGTGTGAAGGGGAACGGGGCCAGTTCACCCACAAGATCTACCACCTCCAGAGGTAAGGTCCTTCCTGGGCCCGGGCATCCAAAGGCATGGGCTTCCTCTGACGCCCTGTTTTTCTCTCTCTTGCAGCAAAGTACCTGGATTCATTAAGATGTTCGCCCCTGAGGGGTCCCTAGTTGTTCACGAGAGAGCCTGGAATGCCTATCCCTATTGTCGAACAGGTGAGCCGGGGAGAGGGATGGGAGAAGGGGCTATGTCTGTAACTGGGACTCCCTAGGTCAGGGTTTCCCAAACTTGGGTCTCCAGCTGTTTTTGGACTACAACCAATGGTCATACTAGCTTGGGGTGATGGGAGTTGTAGTCCAAAAACAGCTGGCGACCCATGTTTGCAAAACCCCGTCCTACCTAGATGCTTTGGTAGGAGAACAAATTTGTCTGGAGTGTTCTCATTTTTTTCAAACTCTCTATCTTGAATGATCCTTTTGAATAATGGCTGAGTGGCAAAAATCCAGGGGTTGTTTGGCAGAGATTCTGGAAGTACTGTACACTCCATTCATCACTCCTCTGCTTAAGCTGAGAATATAACCTAGAAATGCACCCAGCAGACTCCTACAACAAGCAGCCTATTGGGAAACTCTTTTCATACATTACTGCTCTTCTCATTGACAAAGCCCAGAGGAACCTCAAGTTTCCACAGAACTGAGTTTGAATAAACATTCATTTTGAGCAAGTGCTGGGGAAGTTTTCATAGGCCAAGGGCCACATTCTCATTTGGGCAACTTTCTTTGGACGGTGTTGGGTGTGTCCTGCAGCAAAAGTGGGAGAACCAACAAATGCAAATTTTACATTTGTACAGTTGGTTTCTACACAAACTCGCACGCCCTGTCCAGTCCAGCAGGAAATATTATCAGAGTTCAGGGACAGTCAAAACTGGTGTGGGAAACCTTTGGCCCTCTAGATATTGCTAAACTACAATTCCCATCTTCCCTGGTTTTGGCCATGTTTGCTGGGGCTAATGGGAGTTGCAGTTCAGCAACAACTGGAGGACCATAGCTTCTCCACACTTTGTCTAACCTGCTGGATATATTGGGCTAAAACTGTCCTGTGTGATTTGGGTTACATAAATGGCAACTGTGGCTAGAGAAGACTTATATCAAGCTGATTAGGGAAGGTTTTTCGTTTCATTATCCTGCACTAACATGTTCTGTCTTTTCTTTCTTGTGGTCCCGTCTGCTGCAGTTATTACGGTAAGTGACTTGGGGAAGGGACATCTGTGGGTGGGCAGGCAGCGCTTCTCAGTGAACCCCAACTCCGTCAGATTCCCTGGGTACATCTGTGTCCTCGCCTATCTCCAGTAAGCTATGACACACCTTCTACCCCATGAAGTCCACTTCTCATGAGTCACACACCCACATCCCAGAATGTCGCAGAGCATTCTGGGTAATATGTCTGCTCAAGCCATGTGTGGCTTTAGGTCTGCGTGTGCTCTTGTTACCACAAAGTATTCTGGGTAACCATTCTTCTCTCCTCCCCACCCTTTCCTTTTTGGACAGAATGAATATATGAAGGATGATTTCTTCATCAAAATTGAAACCTGGCACAAACCAGATTTAGGTGACCAAGACAATGTAAGTGATGGGAATGAAACACCACGTTTTATCCACAGAACCAGGGTGCCCAAATCCTGCTGAATTGTACTCTCTATTAATAGAAAGACCATGGGCACAGATGCACTGTTTTATTATTAAGGGGTGGGGAAATAGTATTTGATTAACCAGCATTTTTTCTTTCTGCACAAAGATAATACTTTGTATCCGGAATAGTTGTTGTTGTTGTTTATGTCACTTATGAGTTGCTTCCTGTGAGGCATCTTGAAGTGATTTACAATACAATGGCGTATATAAAATAGTTGCATATGTAAAAACAACTGAATACAAAACAAACACAAAAAATTAAACATAAAAATGCCTTTAAAATAATACCACACACAGGAAATCAGTTCAAATCCAGGAAAGATACCAACTGGGATAAATAATTTAGACTTTGTTAAGGTTCCATTGCATATATAATAAGAAATAAAGCACTTATTCTTGCAAAGATCTTGAAAGCACTTTAGAGGAAACTGTATGGAAGAGAAACATGTTTTATAATTAACTATTGGATGCAGTTTGGGGTTACAGAGGTCTTTTTCTCTTCTAAATGACTGAAATATTTGGCAGTATTGAGGGATGCAGTCTTAAGGTATTAAACTTTCTGTGATTTTTATTGAAGCAAATCTGGGTTATGTATGTTATTATTTAATTTCTATACAGTCATGAGAAAATTGAATTCTGTGGTTTTACATATGAAAACATAACAATCATCTGTTTTTAGCAGGTCTTAAAATTAGGTAAATACAACCTCAGGGGAAGAACAACACATGACATATTATTCTGCGTCATGATTTATTTAGCAAAAATAAAGCCATAATGGAGAAGCCATGTGTGCAAAACTAGTACACCTTATGATTCAATAGCTTTTAGAACCACATCTAGCAGCAATAACTTGAAGTAATCATTTTCTGTATGACTATATCAATATCTCACATCATTGTGGAGGAGGTTTGGGCAACTCTACTTTACAATTTTGCTTGAGTTCTTTGGGGTTTGCTGGCATTTGTTTATGCTCGGCTCTCTCAAGGTCCCACCCAAATCTTGTGTGTTTTGATGTAAAATACATTATTATTATTATTAAATTGAACACATTGATTGCCTAACACTCGTTGTCTTTAGGCCAGTACAAAGCATATATCATAATATGGAAGCATATTAAAAAGTCAACAAAGCCCAATCAAACTTTCAGTGCTGGCGACTCCCATTTTTGTTTCGGGTGAGGACATAAAAACTCTTCTCTCTGCAGGTCCACAGCCTCGATGCGGAAACTTGGAAAGATGTTGAGGTGGTCCATATAGATGTCGCTGATCGGACGCAAGTGTCAGATGATGTAAGAGGCAACCTTGGTTTTTGTCTGGCAGTTGGAAGAGTGTTTGGCAAAGGTTAACATGACACAGAAGGCAGGGGAATTCTGGGAGGGAAAGCGCCCTTCCAGCCGACTGCTTTTGATAGGAAAGAAGGATCCCTTTGTGGCTCTAGAGTGTGAAAGCCGTGAGCACAAAGGGAATCTTTTTGGTTATTGTAGCATCTGCAAACACCCTGCTTGGAACCATTTGTTCTGTCGAATTGCTCTAGATTGGGAGAGCTCAGGAGAACAGTACCCCAGCAATTCTAGGCTACAGCTATCCTGCCCACCACTACCTGGCCTGAGGGGCCTTCATTTCCACACACAACTCGCTCCTCTTCCTTCTCCCTCCTTTATCCCCCCAACATTGACAGAGAAAGGAAGTTTGCTTATATCTGGCCAGGCTCCACATTGTGATTTCATTTGTTCCTTCTGGCCCATGGCCTACAGAAGGGATGAAAGCAGATCTCCCACTCTGAGTGAGGAGAGGCCCCTGAGTGGAGAGCTTGTCTCTGAGCATATGCTGAGCACTTTCTCTTCGCCTCCAAGTGACTAGTCTATTCTCTCTAAGGATGTACTTTCACCTTAGAGTGAAGGTAACAGTAGTGGTGGCGACGGCTGGTACGACTAAAACCACATTGTGGCTCAACTTTTTGCACTGCTCGTAGTATCCAAAATAGTACCCTTTTGCTTTCAGGACTGGCTCTTGGGTTTTAGATGCTATCAGGCCCTGTTTTTGTGTCAAGAGGAATCTGCCCTTTCTGACTGCTTTTCTACCTGCTGAACAAAGATCTTCATGGCATTTATCCATCTCTGCCCCCCTGTATCTCATACTGCTGACATTCTCATCTCTGCTCTCTTTCAGGATTACAAGCCAGATGAAGACCCGGCTCTTTTCAAATCACTGAAGACGGGCAGAGGGCCTCTTGGTCCTGACTGGAAGGTACGTCCAGTCCCCTGTCTTGTAATTTGTTTCAAGACACCTTATGGGATGCAATTCATAAATGAAATAATAGATAAACGGATGATAGCAAAACTTGCGAACCAGCCCGTAAGTGTGTCCTGCTCCCTCCCATCCATACATCTTGGGCCTCTTCGTTGTTCTGAAGACAGGCTTTGGCGGTGGTAGTGGGACCCCAGGGGTCTGCAGATTTCATCTTAGCAAAGCAAAATGTACGCTTGCTGTGGCACCAGACCCAAAAGATGGAGCCTTCTCTGTGACCTTTTAGTCATGGCAGGAAGAGAGAAATCAACTGGGTGCACGAACCGGCTGTAGGATTTTTTGGAGCAAGGCTGGGTCTTATCAAAACTGGAAGGTGCTACACCCACCACCTTCTATTAATGCTGCCAGGGCTGGGGCTGTGAGAGACATAAACAGCAGTCACTCCATGCCCTTACTCATGTGGAATTAGCACCCATCTGCTTCTACAGCCAGGAGATTTAGCTGCAGAATGGCATTTGTAGGAACTCTGGAGAATAAGGGGAGGGGGAAAACTTACAATAATCAGGGCAAAGGTGTATGTATCGCTGTCTGTTCTATTGTGTTTTAAATACATTGCAAGCCGCCTTGAGAACTTTGGTTCGTAGGCATGGTGTAAATACTTCTAAATGAAATATAAAAAAGGGGTATATTTCTTTTTCATCCCTGCAAATCCCCCTCAGATGTTTCACCTATAAGAGAAATCTCCACAAGTTTGCTTTGAAACTTCATCAGCAACTCCAGGCCTAATCTTCCTGGCTTCTTCCTTTCTCCCCCTTCCCCTTCCCCCCTATCTCCCGTCCATTAGCGGGAACTAGCCAACAATGAAGATTGCCCCCACATGTGTGCCTACAAACTTGTGAGCGTGAAGTTCCGCTGGTGGGGTCTTCAGGGCCGAGTGGAAAAATTTATCCAAAAGGTAAGATCAGGCTGAGGCGTTGGAGCTTGCTTGGATAGTAACAGATGGCAGAGCAATATTAGCAAATGGGATTTGAGACTTTCTCCAGCGTTGTTGAGGTTTTTTTAGGGGCGGGAAGAGGTGGGGGTAAAAAACCCCATCTTGAGCTTGCTCTGCAGAATGCAACCCAGGGACTTTTCCCCTCAGAGTGTAGACTATTATCCCCCACTTCAAGGTCTCTTGCATTCTTGTCATCCTGTTTTCTTGAAGCCTTTCTTCTCTTCCTACAGCAAGAAAGACGCCTCTTTACCAACTTCCATAGGCAGCTATTTTGCTGGTTGGACAAGTGGGTGGATTTAACCATGGCTGACATTCGACGGATGGAGGAAGAGACACAGAGGGAGCTTGATGAGGTATTTTGGGGCAGAGAACCAGGTTTGCGGGTGCAAAGGGCACTTGGTTTGGGTTGTGAGAGTTTCCCTTACTTTTGTGCTTGAACTCTTGTGGGTGGAAGGCCAGAAGTACAGTGGTACTTCAGGTTACATACACTTCAGGTTACAGACTCCGCTAACCCAGAAATAGTACCTTGGGTTAAGAACTTTGCTTCAGGATGAGAACAGAAATCGCGCAGCAGCAGTGTGAGGCCCCATTAGCTAAAGTGGTACCTCAGGTTAAGAACAGTTTCAGGTTAAGAATGGACCTCCGGAACGAATGAAGTACGTAACCAGAGGTACCACTGTACAACTTTCCCTGTCACTGGGTCTTAAAGGATGGCTTTGCCCTACAAGCCTGATCTCCGAGATCATTTCCGGGTGGCTTGCTTCAGATGCCATTGTTGTCAGAGAGTAAGGCGGATGGGGTCAAGCCGCCAGGCCTTTTCTTTTCATGGCTTCCTTATTGTGAAACTCCCTTCCCAAAAAGGCCTTCCATGGCCAGCTCAGTCCCCACTTGTAGAAGCTTAGTTAAAACCCTTAGAGCCAGTGTGGTGTAGTGGTTAAGAGCGGTAGTCTTGTAATCTGGGGAACCGGGTTCAATTCCCCGCTCCTCCACATGCAGCTGCTGGGTGACCTTGAGCTAGTCACACTTCTTTGAAGTCTCTCAGCCCCACTCACCTCACAGAGGGTTTGTTGTGGGGGAGGAAGGGAAAGGAGATTGTTAGTCTCTTTGAGACTCCTTAAAGGGAGTGAAAGGCGGGATATCAAATCCAAACTCTCTCTCTCTTTCCTGTTTGTTTTCCCGCAGCTAGTCTTGAGGCTTTGTTGATTTCAATGAGCCGAGTTGCTACGCAGATCTGCCAGGCAGGATTTTTTAAAAAATCGCTGCCACTGTTCCGTTAAGTGATGATCGGTACTCCTGTTCTATATTTGCTGCCCCTATGGCACACTTCTTGTTGTAGGTGCAGATCCCCTGACAAGAGGAGAAGTTTCCAGCTAGGGCCATAGGTTTAATTTAGTCGATGTGGTTTTGATCCACTAATATAGAAGCGGGAAACCCTGATTTGAATCCTGAAACGTGAAAATTGCCAATGGCGGACCCCATCTTGGGAGAGGCATTCCCTCTTCAGTCTCTCACAGGAGGGGACTCCACTTCCAAGACATATGCCATCTAAAACTTATAGATATCTATGCACCCTATACATATGCCATCTAAAATGGGGTATACTTTTTCCCCTTCTTCAACAGCGTTTAGTCATATGCAAGTTTATGTAGATTCAGTTGTTTTAAAACAGTTGATCTGCTTAAGGGTGAGAGAAGCTTTGGCCCTTCATACGTTCCTGAACTACAACTCCCATCAGCCCCTGCAAGCATCACCAGTGGTGAGGAATGATGGGAGTTGTAGTTCAGCAGCAAATGGAGCACCAAAAGTTCCCCACAGAGGCACGAAGATTTCCACAATTGGGTGACAGTCCTATATGATATTAATGTGGAAGAAGATATTTTGGTAGGCATGGGTTTTTTCCACTGCTGTAAGAGATGCGCTGCAAAAATCCCCTCTTTTTAAAATTTTTAACTGTTAATGTGCTTACCATTGTTTCCTCAATTTGTAGTTTTTTAATGTCTGTAAATGTATAGTTACATAAATATGTTATGCTTCTGTAAACATATTTTATATATTTGTAAATATATACCTTTCTAGTTTTTGATGATTAAAACCTTTTTCTATACAACTTTTACAAAATATATAGGAGTCCTGCCCTTATCTGAATCTGTTCCTCCTTAAAATAAAAGGGAGGAAAAACTGGTACATACAAGTGTTTTGTTTATAGATATATCCTATTTTGCACTTTGGGATTAAATGTGGTTCCTGTCTTGCCCAGAGAGTATTAAATATGCTTTGAACCCTCAAACTCTATAATGTTTGATAATATGCTGATGCATTTAAATACACTTGTAATTGATTATTGGTTTTTTTAAAAAAAAAACTTTTTAAATTTATTGGCAAATCTTTCTGGCAAGGCCACGTGGAAGTAAACAGAGCCAGTACTACCACCATGTAAAACTTGGAAGTTACCCAGCTGCTGAAGGATCTTGTTTTGTTGCAGATACGCCAGAAGGGCACTGTGAGAGGAATGACTGCAGGGGACGAATGAGTGCCCCCTACTGCCTGGGCCGAGAAGTAACAAGGTAGAAGAAACTGGAGAGTGGAAAGCTTTACATAGTTATGGGTGGAAACTCTGGGTGAGGGTGGGAGGAGACAGTGATCATATCTTGTCCTCATCAAGCCATGATATGCATGTGCCTATGCCCCCCCCCAGCCAATTTGTGGCATGAGAAACAAGCCTGGGTGCCTCTGATTAACCAAAGTTTCCTGTATTATCAAAACTTGGGAGATACAGTTACCACGTTTGGAACAAGCAACGATATTAAGGCAACCTAGAACTATGGTTTTAATATATGGGTTTGTTTTGGAGCCGGTAACCACCGTTTCCTGGATCAGATGAAACCAGAAACTATGGTCAACTAGAGACTTTCTGGTTTGTTTGCTCCTGCCACGCAGAGAAGGCCAACTTGTCTTTTTAAAGAACATTAAATAAGAAAAGGAAAGCTGTTGCTTTTCGCTGCTAATATTTCCTTTTTGTCTTCTTTCTATCCCAGGTGCAGTGCCCTTTCTGACCTGAGATTGGACCTCTCTTCGTGGGACTCCGCTCTCCCTCCCCTTGCCACCTTGGGAGGGGAAGATGGGTCCCCGTTCTTCTCCGTCCTTCTGGTCCGAAAATACTGTATTCAAAACTGCCCCTGCTTCTGCCGGCACGGGAAACCCCAGGAAACTGCCCTTTACTTCTTACTGATCATGGATTAATAGGTGCCCCCCTCACCACAAGTGGGGCCTTAAAAGGGGGAGGCAAGGACCTTCCAGGGTGGGGTGGGGATGTCTCTCTTATTTTTGCCCTGCAGGAGCAGGGCTGCATGACTATTAATAAGATTAACCTTAACCTTATTTGAAATTGTATTGGGGTGGGGAGGGGCTTTCTATAGGCCAAAGGGAAAGGAAGATCAGGAAAGCTTAAATGGGGGTGGGGAGGAAGAGAACGAGTGAAACTATATACGGAGCATCATTTTCGCCTTCACTGTGGATTTAAAATTGTCTTTCGGAGAGGCATGGAAGCGCTGCTTCAGCACCACATTCATCTCCTGGGATTGTGGGGAGCAATGACCGCAGCAGTTTCACTCTCGGTTCTTCCCGTGCCATATAGTAGAGTTAAAACGTGCCACTAAACTGACTCGTTTGTTTTAGGCAGCAAAGTTCACCTGCCCTGTTTTCCAAAGAAGGCCACATGTGGCTAAAATTTTCAGGGTCTGTTTCTTGACCCGTCATTTCCTCCTTTTTAATGGCACTGAACTCTACTCCTAGGTTGTTGGTTCGTTTTTATTTTAATCTTCTTTTCCCTGTCCCTCGTTTCCCAGTTGTGTTGGTGGGAGGGGCATGTAATTTCCCCCCACTTGGGAGAGTCACTCAGAAGCATTTCAGCTGCCCCTTTGGGTCTTAAGTGAGGGGGAAGTGGAGGCATTTAAGGCCCAATAGTGCATTACTAAGGATCTGAACAGTATTTTTTTTAAGCAAGAAAAACACTGAAATCTTTTTTTAAAAAAGTAAAACAATAAATAAACTTGAAGTTGAGTTCTTGTCCTGTTTCCTTCTTGTGGGGCGGGTGGGAGACACAGGGAGGGTTAGTGGCTGCTGTGGCTCATTTGAGTACCTCATAGAGGAGGGTGAGATCTTTCAAGTCCAACCCTATGTCAGTGGAGGAAATTTGCTGATCTGGATAACTTAGTTACCTGGCTTCTGCTTAATAAAAAACAACAGCAAGAACACCTCTAGCCATGGGAACACCCGCCTCCTCCTCAGGCAGCCTGCTCACACTCACAAACAGCTCATACCGTCAGGAAGTTATTCTTAAATGTTCCATCGAAAACCTGCTTGTCCTTCAACCCTGTAGTTCAGAGCCTTCCCTCCGCAGCAGCACAGAACAAATGTTCCCCGTATGTGGCCACTTTTTCAGGAACTGAGTAAGATGGCTACTTTTTCACCTGTTAATCAACTTTTCTCCAGGTTAAACATACCCAAATTCCTCAAAGGTTTTGGTCTCCTATTTTGTTCCTTTCCTGCAGTATAAGATGGACTAGAGAGAAGCTGGTGTGTGTGTGTGTGTGTGCTGGGTTTTTTTATGTACCCGATGCAGAAGTTTCCAGAATAAATTACAAACCTGCTCAGTCCTCCTTCCTCACCACTCTGTTCTTCCCTGTGGGGAAAGGCAAGAACTGACTTAATAATGCTGCTGCTTCCCCAGCAGGATGGAAGAGAAGCTCTCCTTCCTGTTCCAGCTGTGAGGAACCTCTGGCCCTCTAGATGTTGCTGAACTACAACTCCCACCATCTCAGCCCATTGGCTATGCTTGCAGAGGCCAGTGGGACTTCCTTATTCCTTTCCTAACCACACCCTAAAGAACATAGGGCGAGAAACAGAATCCCACAAAAGGTGCATTGTCAAGGTCAGGCATCCCCAACCTGTGGCCCTCCAGATGTTTTGGCCTACAACTCCCATGATCCCTAGCTAACAGGACCAGTGGTCAGGGATGATGGGAATTGTAGTTCAAACATCTGGAGGGCTGAATGTTGGGGATGCCTGGTCAAGTTCATGCGTTGCAGCTTTTGACTGTTCCCTTCAAACCCCAAACATACGTGGATGGAGCTCAGAGCAAGCCACTGAGAGACTAAAAGTTGAAGCCACAGTAGAACTAATTCATGCTCTTAGAATTTGTTTCAACTAAGGCTGCCATCTGATTAAAGGAAATATTGGTCTGTTCATCAAATGGGTTTGAACTGAGTGACCAAAACAACACTAATTTGCATAAGACAGTTGGTTTCTTTGGGGTTTTTTGAGGAGAGAATACTTTTTGTTTTTAGATAGCGTGTGTATATGTCAGCCAATGCCATTTCGGAAAAGGCATTCTGAGAGTGAAAGGGGAATGCCTCTAGTAACAGTTTTACAAGTAACTTGTATTTAACAATACTGTAACTTCTAAAAACGTTCTAATCCACGTGTTTCCCTCATGGATTGGGGATACTTGTTTATAAGGCAGGCATTGGCAAACTCGGCCCTCCAGATGTTTTTGGCCTACAACTCCCATGATCCCTAGCTAACAGGACCAGTGGTCAGGGATGAGGGGAATTGTAGTCCCAAAACATCTGGTGGGCTGAGTTTGCCTATGCCTGTTATAAGGAATCATTAAAATAAGGCTGAAATCCTATACCTACTTACCTTGGTGTAAGTATCCTGGAAATCAATAGGTCTTAGGTCTGAGTACCATGTATAGAGGGATGAGAGACCTTTGGTCCTCTGGATGTTTCTGAACTACAATCTCCATCAGCTCCTGCAACCATAGCCAATAGCCTCAGGTGATACAAGTTGTAGTTCAGCAAAGACAGTCCCTGCAACTGATGTATTACATTGTAAAAACTGTTGTGAGCACACATACAGCGGCTACCTGATGTCTTTTTGTGCTATTCCCATCAGGAATCCCACCCAGATCTTAGTTTTAACTGCTTAATGAAATTTTCACATGACAAAACAATTGTTTTGAAGTAACAAGAAAAACAAGCCTTTTCTAGCTAGTTAGCCATCTCCATCTTAAAGATAAGGTTTCCCTCCTGGGTGAGATGGGGGGGGGTGCCTCTTGGGTGTGTGATGCCTGTAGATTGCAGTTTAAGTGCTTAGATTTAAAGCACACAACCTATTTTAAAAGCCAATTTAATTGGTCGACCCGGCCAATAAAATTTTTGGGCAGCCCTAGTTCTAAGTGCTCCTCGGCCACATTTTTCCCGTCTGCATCCCCATCTGTATCCTGTTGCACAACTTTTGGTCAGGCCTCCAGAACAGGCAAATTGCCAAACCAAACGCAACACAACCACCCCTTGTATGGTGGCTTGCAAGGGGCTTGATTCTATATGCCCGGGGAGTCAGTGTGCACCTGCCGGCCCAGCCAGTGCATGGTGGGACGGCGCAAATTGTGCAATCCTGAATTTGATCGAACTCATTCTTGGAGCTGGCAGGGAGAACCCAGGAGGACTCCTAATTCCCACTCGCTGACTGATGGTAAGATCTTAGAGGGTGCTTGAAGGGACTATTTGCTCTGCTGCTCAGAAACAGTGGCTGCTCTAGGAAACAAGACATTTGAGCATCACTGATTTCACTTTCTGTTTCTTAGCATTTGAAAAGAAATGTCAAGACCCTGCTGGGACTGGCTTCTTAGAAAGGCACCCCAGGGTCTGACCTATACACTCCCTTCCCAAATGCAATCCTTGCCCTGTGGACAGCCGTCAGATGCAGCAAGCAAGGTGTGCTCCCTGTGAAAGGTGTCTTGTGATGGCAGGAGCTGTGTGTGCGAAAAAACAGAAGCATCTATGCGCAGCCTCAGTATTGTGGGAAGGCAGTTCCACAGCCTTTCAGGTATGAGGAACTCGCTCTTCTAGAGTAAAGTGATGAGCTCATCCCGCTGCTGATGAGCTGAGCTGGCCATGAGTCAGCAGCATCTGAGGCCATAGGGACATCCACCCCCAGGTTTCTGCTCTGTCTGCCTGGGATTTTCCATTGGCATTAGTTAAAATCCCCTTTGCTGTTTTTCCTACTTGTCTCTCGCTCTCATGATTCAGCTCCCCGCTGAAACAGAAAGACGCACACACTCCGTCCTTTCTTGCAGAGCATCACAGTCTCACATACCCTCCGACATTTCTCCGATGAAAACAGGGACATCCCAAGGAAAAGGAGGACATTTTGGAATCTGATCAGAAACTGGGTAGGCTTCTGTAAATCCAGAACTGTCCCTGGAAAATAGGGATACTTGGAGAGTCTGGAGCAGTAGCTGTTAAAAACAGTTGGCAGCTGAGGGGACACAGCTCACAGCAGCTGGATCCGTCCCTCTGCTGGATCAGGCCAAAGGTCTACCTAGGCCAACACCCTGTTTTCCACAATGCCTATCTTATAGTAACAATTGTGGGAATCTCAATCCTTGACGCTCAGGGTGGCCATCTCCCAAAACGGAGGGCAAAATAGATTTTCCATAATTGCATATGGATACAAAGCTAGACACCATTACTATAATTTCAGTAGAGATACTGTACATCTCACCATAGTGTAAAGACTGACCAAGTGACCTGTAAGGCCTGCTCCAACTGCTATCCAGGTGTTCACTGTTGATGGGCAACTTTCAGGGCCCTTCCGGTTTCTTTCCTTTCCGTTGGTTCTTTTATCTTGAAACCAGATTTGGACTGGACAATGTATCAAATAGAGGATTCCTTCAAGCAAGTCCTCTATGTAGCATGATACGTGGCGGCCCTACTTCTTCACGTAGGGCTGTATCTAGACACGTCAAAGAAGCGATTCTGTTAAACGTGTTGTAAACTCATACAGGGAAATCTGGTAGGGAAAGATAGGACTCCACAGCGCCATCTGGTGTCACAGTGTTATATCGCATATACAACGCACATAAAACACTTTTTCTTTACCAATCTAGCTCAGTTCTAGGACAACAGTCAGGATGTGACCACTGCAGGCACTTCCCTATTCTTCTAACATTTTTACTTAAATAATGAAAGCTATTTTAGAAGTGGGGAACTTCTTGTTTGTTTGTTTTTTAAAAAACAATCCATGCCAGTTGGTGTCCAGAAGGGTAATATTTTTCCAAATTCCACCCAGTTCTGCCCTTCTAGAATTCCCCCGGTGGATTTTTCCACATCACTCTCACTCTTACACTTCCTCCCCGCCCCCCCCCCCTTTAAACACACTACTTGGGTTAATTAGCTGATCAGTGCCAGGAATCTGTTTCTTTTGAATGGTTCCCTGCTCCAGGACGGATGCTAATACAGTAGTACCTCAGGTTAAGAACTTAATTCGTTCTGGGGGTCTGTTCTTAACCTGAAACTGTTTTTAACCTGAGGTACCACTTTAGCTAATGGGGCCTCCCGCTGCCGCCGCACGATTTCTGTTCTCATCCTGAAGCAAAGTTCTTAACCCGAGGTACTATTTCTGGGTTAGCGGAGTCTGTAACCTGAAGCGTCTGTAACCCGAGGTACCACTGTACAATTGTTTGAGCAATTACCTTCAATCTGCTACTGTAAGAGGTAAAGGTAAAGGGACCCCTGACAGTTAAGTTCAGTCACAAACGACTCTGGGGTTGCAGCGCTCATCTCACTTTACAGGCCAAGGGAGCCAGCGTTTGTCTGCTCCGCAGTTTTTCCAGGTCATGTGACCAGCATGGCTAAGCCACTTCTGGCGCAACGGAACACTGACACCAGAGCAGTGCACGGAAACGCTGTTTACCTTCCCGCCGGAGCAGTACCCATTAATCTACTTGCACTTTTGGGCATGCCTTCAAACTGCTAGGTTGGCAGGAGCTGGGATCGAGCAATGGGAACTCACCCCGTTGCAGGGATTCGAGCTGCCAACCTTTTGATTGGCAAACCCTAGGCTCAGTGGTTTAAACCACAGTACCACCCGCGTCCCTAAAATGTTAAAGGTATGCTTATTTAACATACCATATTTCTCGTTCTATAAGACACACCTTTTCCCTCCTAAAAAGTAAGGGAAAATGTGTGTGCGTCTTATGGAGTGAATGCAGGCTGAGCAGCTAGGCCAGAAGTCAGAACAGGGAGAGGGAGCGCTGCGCAGCGCTCCCTCTCCCTGTTCTAGCTTCTGGCTTAGCTGCGCAAAGCCTCTGCAGGACATGGGGATGAAGGCTCCCTGTGCCCTGCGGAGGCTTCGCACGAAGCTAAAACAGCTAGACGGAGCGCTGCTCAGTTCTGGCTTTGGGATAGCCCTCCGAAGCCTCCGCAGGACAGCGGGATGAAGGCTCCCCGCTGCCCTGCGGAGGCTTCGCATGGCTCTTGCAGGAGGTGGGGGGAAGGGACAGAGTGTGCAGCTCTGTCACTTCCCCCCACCTCCCAGAAAAGCCCCCAAGAGCTGCGCTCCCTTTAAAGAGCGTGTGGCTCTTGCAGGAGGTGGGGAAAGGGACAGAGGGCAGCTTACCCGCACGCAGCCTCTTCCGGGCAGGGGGAGCCTTCATCCTGCTGCCCGGGAGAGGCTTCAGTGGCTATCCCAGAAGCCATCACAGCAAGAGGCTATCCCAGAAGCCAGATCCCTCTTGCTGTTCTTGCTTCTGGGATTCAGAATTTTCCCCCCCTTGTTTTCCTCCCCCCCAAAACTAGGTGCGTCTTATCATCTGGTGCGTTCTATAAAGCGAAAAATACGGTATATTTAATTATCACTGACTGATTGGAGGTTTTGTTTTTGTTCTTTTGCATCTCATTGCCATTCATTCATTGTGTAGCATACAATTTATATGGATACACACACAGACACACACCTTAGGAAAGCTGAGGAAGTGGTCATGAGTCTACAAAAGTTTATGCCATAATCCTCATAAACGTAAACCTCAGAAGCAAACTTAGTGGTGACACAAGAGAGCCTTTTCTGCTTCAGTATTGTGCAACTCCCTCACAATAAAGGTTAGATTGGCTCCCTCTTTGTTATCCTTTAAAAAAAATTTTTTTATTTGGTTTTTCAAATTAAGATTTTACCACCACAAACATACAACATACAACATAAAAACAAGATTCCAAAGAATCTCCTGGACTTCCCTCCTCCCCTTTGTAGGTTCTATTAATAATCATTTCCTCCTGAATCTTGCATAATAGTCCAAATCTTTTACATCTCCATTATATCCAAAATTCACTATTAAACTACAACTGTTATTCAAATCCTACCAACGATTTAAACTGTTTACAATGGTTTTTAAGGTAAATTATAAATTTCCCCCATTCCCTATTGAAGTTTTGGTCTTCCTGATTTCTGATTCTTCGGGCCATTTTTGCCATTTCGGCATAATCCATCAACTTGATCTGCCATTCTTCTCTGGTCAGGACTGTCCTCTTTCCATCTCTGGTCCAATAATATCTGTGCAGCTGTGGTCGCATACATAGTCTTTTCTGCTCCATTGGGAATTTGGCACCTAAAATAAAGGCTTTGGGGTTTTTTAAAAAAAAGAAAGTTATTTTAAACATTTTTTAAAATTCATTCTCTCTTTGCTATCCTTCTGCCAGCAGGCCAAAAACCTTTCTGTTCAGATAAGTCATTGAAAACTAAGGTGCAGATGATGCTGATCACTGGGCCTTTGGTCAGCGATGCCATAGTCCCATCCTGCATTGGGGATTCTACACAGAGCAGCTGTTTGAACTATGGATGATCTCAAGGGTCACTATCCACTCTAAAATTCACTGGGCTGGATCCAGTTGAATGAATGAAACTCTATTTGCGCCAGCCATCGGCCATAGCAACAAAAGAACATTGAGATGTACACAGAACAAAATAAAAAGTCAATTATATAAAACACAGTTTAGGGTCATGAATCAGCAATCAAATAGTGGACCTTATTCTGATTGCCCCAGCTAGAAACCTTGCAACCTTTACAGTCATCTGCTCCTCTTGATCTGCCAGGAGAAAAAACACTGTGGCAGTGGTTGGGCGACCCGGAATGGACAATAAGAGAGGGGTGATAATCTTGTTCCTCAGGTCTTTGTAAAGAGTGCATGCCAGGTGGATGGCTAATGGAACTTAACTGAACTTAGGTCCCACTGATAGTGTTGGATAGTGTTTTCGAGGTTACCAGCATGAGTTTGACCAAACTGCGGGAAGTAGTGGAGGACAGAGGTGCCTGGCGTGCTCTGGTCCATGGGGTCACGAAGAGTCGGACACGACTAAACGACTAAACAACAACAACAACAAAAGGTCCCACTGAAATCAATGGAGTTAAGTTGATTTAGTTGGTTCGAGTCTAGTGGCTAGAGTCATGGGCACAGCCCAAGGAGACCTGGGTTCAAATGTCTGCTCATTCACAAAGCTCATGAGATTACATCATGCCAGCCTCTCATCCCAATCTATCATAGAATCATAGAGTTGGAATAGACCACAAGGGCCATCGAGTCCAACCCCCTGCCAAGCAGGAAACACCATCAGAGCACTCCTGACATATGGTTGTCAAGCCTCTATCTCCCAGGATAGAAGGGAATGTGGGGTATGCATGTTTCTCTTTTGAGGAAGAGTGGGGCTCCAAATGTAACACAAATAGTCATAAAGAAACTGTGTCTGTTTTCAAGAAAACGTGACTAGCTAGGTATTTATCAGTGACTCTTACACTGTGACTCAGCAGAGAACAGGAACTGTTTTTTTGCTGCTTCAAAACCAAAAACTCTAGCCACAAGTTATAAAAATAATCATTATACACTTACAAGAGATGATTACAGCAAATCAACCTCCTCTGCGCTTATCATGTAAAAAAGGGTTGTTTGTTAACAGCAGCCATCTCCAGGCCATAGGCTAAAACCATGGGAAAAAAAATTATTATTTAGTGAATTTGTGTACCTCTCTTCATCTGAAGATCACAGAGCCGTTTACAACATAAACATACAAAATGATAACACAGAATACAAAAAAAACCCCATGCTCCCACAAACACATTTAAAAGGACATATTGGTACATTGTTTAATTAGCCAAAGGCCTGGTTATAGAGAAAAGTTTTCACCTGGTGCTTAAATATATGTAATGAAGGCTCCAGGCAAGCCTCCCTGTGGAGAGCATTCCACAAACTGGAAGCCACCACAGAAAAGGCCTGTTCTCATGTTGCCACTCCTCAGCTGCAATTTGCCTTACACTGGGAGAAGCTCCCACTGGCAATAGTGCAAGCCTCACTTCTGGCGCAAACAGCAGCTTCAAGGGGCCAAATATTGTTGGGACTGCGGTGGGAACGAAAAGGCATAAACCAGGGGTCAGCAAACTTTTTCAGCAGGGGGCTGGTCTACTGTCCCTCAGAGCTTGGGGGGGGCGGACTATATTTTGAAAATAGAAAAGAAAGAATTACTATGCCCCACAAATAACCCAGAGATGCATTTTAAATAAAAGAACACATTCTATTAATGTAAAAACACCAGGCAGGCCCCACAAATAACCCAGAAATGCATTTTAAATAAAAGGACACATTCTACTCATTTAGACAGATTTAGAAGGTGATTGGGCAGGCCCCGGCCCCTGGGCCTTAGTTGCCTACCCATGGCATAAACTTTCCCACCCTGATTGAAAACTATCCCACTCTACCCCTGGTAGAATTTACATACAAATGTAAATTCAAGTGACACATTTATTGTCACATGAGACTGGTTCTCAGCCAGCTGCTACAAGAGGTGTAGTTGGGGGTACTATTGTAGTTGGGGCTACTATTGCATCGGGGGATGTGTGTGATGTCATGTTCTGCGTGTGTGATGACATATGTATGCAATGCATACTGGGAGCCTCCCCAATCTTGGGGGCCACCTGGTGCCTCTAGCTGCTGTTAATTTGATGTGAAATTTGCCTGATCCACACTTATCAGACTCATATGTAGATTGAAATATAGTTATCCTTTAAAATTTGTGTTTTACTGCACATTTCAAAAAAGTACCAACATGTATTAAAAATGCTTATAGGATAAACTTTTTCTTTTTAGAAATGTGCACATTGCCACAAAATATGTATTTAAAGACACATTTATATATATTTAAATGTGATTTTGGTGATTAATATTGAATCAGATTTTCAGATTATTGCAGAGTCAGGAGAGAACAGACATAGACTGGGAACAGACTGATTCATCCATCTCTAGGCTTACTGCCAACCAGGGCTGTGTTCACATTCCTGGCTTAAAGTGCAGCAAGGTCGTTGGATTTTGCTGTGTTTTGAATCACATATGCATGCTGTTGTACATATGAGTATGGTTGAATTTGTTTCTAAGTCACCTGCTATCTGTCCACATTAGTGGGCAAAGAGGGGCTGTAGTTGTCTTCCCATGCTTACATTTTCAAACCAGATCAAAGGTCGTTTGAACATATCCAAATGCAGCATTTTTCAACAAACGACAAGATATGTGTGGATAGTGGCTAACGTTGTGTGTACACGGCTTCATATACCAGTGATGGGAGTGCATTGGGTGCAGAGTAAACTGGAGTGTGTACATGGCCAAAGTGTGCCTGGGGTTGGAACCTGAATGACAGAACCTCTTGAGATGTGTGCAAAATATGTGAGATATATGGCAGAGATTTATTATCGTTTTTAAATAAGACACACATAGTGAGTAGCTCAGAAATGGACCATGTGGTGAATCTGGATGTTTGGACAGGAGCAAGTTAATGGAGCCAGGACAGGACTACAACCACTTGCTGCCTTAAAAGTAATCCTAGTACAGTTGCCTTCATTTTGCTTGTACACCAAGTCTTGGTCTGTGAGCAAATGTTTGGATTTCTGCATTTGCAACATTGGCAACACTCTTTTGTTTGGATTTCTGCATTTGCAACATTTGCAACACTCTTTTATGTAAATGCATTTGCAGAACTTTGGGACTTCTCCAGCAAAGGGGCGCTGGACCTCAGTGTCTGGGCTGAACAATGGGGGTGGAGACGCTCCTTCAGGTATACTGGGCCGAGGCCATTTAGGGCTTTAAAGGTCAGCATCAAGGTCAGCTCGGAAACGTACTGGGAACCAATGTAGGTCTTTCAAGATCTGTGTTATGTGGTTTCGATGGCAGCTCCCACTCACCAGTCTGGCTGCCATATTCTGGATTAGTAGTAGTTTCTGGGTCACCTTCAAAGGTAGCCCCATGTAGAGGATAACTTAAAAGGATTAGACAAATTCATGGAGGACAAGGCTATCCATTACCACTAGTCTTTTGCTATTAGACTCTTGATATGAATACTTTTAGCACCCACCCTCAGGGGCAGCCTGTCCTGTTTCACCGCTGAAGCCCACCCACCCCGCTTGAGCCTCTCTTACCCGGGTCGCATGGTACCACCACCTCATGGTATTGTGCCACCCAAAGCAGCCTTCTCACTGTGCCTTGTGGCAGGCCGGCCTTGCGCACCCCTATCATTGTGATTGTAATTTGTCTGTAACTGATTTTAATGCAGTGGTACCTCGCGTTACAGATGCTTCAGGTTACAGTCGCTTCAGGTTACAGACTCCGCCAATGCAGAAATAGTACCTCAGGTTAAGAACTTTACCTCAGAATAAGAACAGAAATTGTGTGGCGGTGGCAGGGGGAGGCCCTCATTAGCTAAAGTGGTACCTCAGGTTAAGAACAGTTTCAGGTTAAGGACGGACCTCCAGAACGAATTAAGTTCTTAATCTGAGGTACCACTGTATCATATTTCAATTGGTTGTGACCTACTCTGGAACCTTAGGTTGACAGGGTTGGGTGATACCTGGTTTTTAACATTGTGATATATCACCAGCTAAACATCGCAATATACTGATATATAATGATTTCTGAAATAAGGATGGAGCTATGTAGAGGCATTGGTTGGCTTTGCAGTTTTTCCCGCATTGGGATTTTTGCATAGCACACGGGCACACCATGATTCGTAATGTATTGCCAGGTCAAAAAAATTATGAAACCGATATCACGACATGGACTTCAAATTGGTTTTGAATGATATGTGGCCCAGCTTTAGCACACATTATGATTTGCTATATATTGTCAGGTAAAAAATTATGAAACCAATATCATGATACAGACTTCAAACTGGTTTTGGTCAATATATCAATATATCACCCAGCCCTAGTGATGGGTGGGTAATAAATCAAAATAGCAACAATAATAGTAATTACCTCCATTATCAATACCATGCCTCCGAAAAACAATTGACAGAGGGCTATTGAACACACGTCCTGCTAGTGATCTGATTAGCCACTGTGGGAAAAGAAGTTAGGCCTTTGGTCTGATCAAGGAGAACTCTTATTAGTCAGAGTAGACAGCACTGGGTACATGTACCAATGGCTGACCTTGCTGTCAAGCAGCCATCTTGAAGCCACTCCTGTGCCCTGCCTCACTCTTGTTCCTGGAAGACCAAGGAGAAGGAGGTGGCTGCTTGGTTACTGGATAGGAGCAGGAGGCCAATGATAGGGGGAATGTTGTCGCCTTATTGTCTCACGCAAAATGGTTGTCAGCTGTCCAGGTGCTATCCCTGGAACCATAACCCCCACATAAGCGGAGTGTCACCTGCAGAGTAAACTCCCTGACAACAGTGAAATGTGCAATACTAAGGCAGACCTTTGTCAAACAGAGATGGGCAAAGGTTTGCCAATGAGGGGCAGCGTATTCAATGTAACATGCAGAGCTAGCATTTGGGGGATGACTTTCTATTCCCTTATTCCAAATACTGCCGTGTATTTTATGATGAGGCGATTTTTAATAGTGTTCTCTGCTTGGATTTTGCTGGGAGGAGGGTGAGAAACATCAACAGAGACCAGAAATTGAGTACGTTGGTAGCATTGGAAAAGCCCCAGGCTGAATGAGAGGGTTCCCCAAGATGAGAGGGCATCCTGTGTCACATGGTCAGCTGAAGAAATCCTCTTTTCAAGCGGTTTCTTCCCCCCCCCCCCCAAGAAAAGAGGAAGCTGAGCAAGCACCCTGGCCGCTCCAATCCCTTGCTACTCCCTCCCCCCGAAACTACAGCAGAGAGAAACTACAGTAGAGGTGAAAGACGCAGTTCCAGAAATCAGATTGTTTCGCCTCTTTGAAAAGAGCACCCTTTGTAATCTTGGACATTACAGGTCCAAATGAAAATGAAAGCCGGTGGACATAAAAAGGCCCCCAAGATGGGCTGTAGGATCAAACATTGCCTTCTTGGACAGACAGGCAGATACCCCACTAATCAGAGATTCTCAAGATGCGTCTGTGTGGTAAGAAATGAGAAATTATTTGTGATCTTTACATTTCTAGCGTTTCCTCGCTTCGGTCCTGAAGATAGTCCAGGGTGAGGTTTATTGGGGCACTGTGTAGTGCAGGCAAGGGATGAGAGACGGAGGCTGGCTGTGTCAATGGCAAGAAGAGGCTTTCCAGGGCCGGCTCTAGCATTAGCTAGGGTGAGGCGAAGCAGCTCAGGTGGCAGGTTTTATAGTACTACTAACGGAGAAGCCTCCACTTTGAGACCCTTTGCCTTGGAGCCTGAAGGCAAGTGGCTATGTAACTTGGATGTGGGTCACAGCCGCACCATGCCTTTAAAGCAGTTTCGTACCACTTCGACTATCATGTATTCTCCAAAGAATCTTGGGGAACTGTAGTTTGTTAAGGATTCTGGACACTATAGCTCTGTGAAGGGTAAATTACAGTTCTCAAGATTTTGGGGGGAAGCTATGACTCTTAAAGCAGCACTAATGTGCTTTAAATGGCTAGTGTGTGGCCGTCTTAAGCAAATTTGAGTTTGGCTCCCCTTTGGGTGCGAAACTGCTGGAGAGGTGTTCATGAATATCAATTCTCAAGTTTCATGGCAGAGAGGGAAGGGGGCATAAGCAGTCATAACAAAACGAACAGCTTATATTTTACTCTGGAACAGAGGTTCCTAAAGTGGATAGTATTATCTGGGGTGCTAAGAGACAAGGGGACAGCAGGGGGATGCTGGAGGTGTGAGGGGAGCAGGTGGCGCTGTGGCCTAAACCACTGACCCTTTTGGGTCGAATCTGTGCAACGGGGTGAGCTCCCATTGCTCTGTCCCAGCTCTTGCCAACCTAGCAGTTCAAAAGCATACCAATGCAAGTAGATAAACAAGTACCATTGTGGCAGGAGGGTAAATGGCGTTTTCATGTGCTCTGGCACCCATCACGGTGCCCCGTTGCACCAAAAGGGGTTTGGTCATGCTGGCCACATGACCCTGAAAGCTGTCTTAGGACAAACGCTGGCTCCCTCAGCCTGAAAGCAAGATAAGCGCCACAACCCCATTGTCGCCTTTGACTGGATTTAACCATCCAGGGGTCCTTTACCATTACCGTTACCTTGCTGGAGGTGTAACTGACTGTGAAGCTTTGAAAAGCTGGTATCACTGGATCAAGCTCATCAGTTTTGTTGAATTAATTACATGAAATAGTTCTAACTGGATTTTGAATAAATGTGTAATTGTTTGTTACCGTTCTGAATTTTATTGTGTTATGATCTTCCTTAGTGGGCCAAGCAAAGCACTATTTGAATAATGCTTTTTATAGGGTAGGGGGCAGTAAAGTAAGGAGGGTTCCTCAAAAAAGTTTAAGAACTACTGCTCTAAGGGATGAGGGGAGGGCTATTTGTAGGATAGCCATGTGTGTCCTACTTCACAGTCCTCTATTTTGAAGGGCTGTCAGACAGTCCTCTGTTTGAAGGTATTTGTGCTGGTCCAGGGGGGAGGTTACCATGGGGCGAGGTCCAGGACCTGAGTCGAGGGTCGGCAGACAGTCCTCCACTGGCGAAGCAGGGTCCACAGCGAGGAGCCTGGCAAGGACAGGAACTCTGGGGAAACCGGACTGGGTGCTGGCCGAAACAGCTCTTCAATGACGTTGCTCCTGCAGCCTGGGACGGGGCTGACTGGCCTTTATCTTCTCTGAGGCCAGGGGCGGTCCCGGCCCCCAGGAGACCCGCCTCTCCTGGCCTTAAGGCGAGCACTCCTCCTGGGAGAAACCAGTTCCCTCCGCCTCTCTGCCCTGAGCCTCTGCAGTTCAGGAGAGGCTGAAGGGTTACTGGACCCAGGGGGAGACTCACCTGTAGGCACTGAGTCCTCAACCACCTCCGGAGCCAGAGTGGATTCACCTGGTGCCTGCTCCTGAGGATCCGGCACAGGTGCAGGCGCTTCAGAATCAAGGCCCTGCCCCAGTTCAGCCGGCCCAGGAGGCGGGGACTCCTGTGCAGGCTGGAATTCCTCCGGTTCAGCCTCTGAATTGGATTCCCAGGCCATCACAGTATTCCATATTTGAAGACTGTCCAGACTAAGTCCAGTTACATATAAATTACCATATGCAAATGTTAAGCAAATTGGTGTCACCTTTCACCCCTTTATTTTTGGAAATGCATTACTGGCCACCCCAGGCATTTGGATTTTCTACTTTAAATACCCTGGACCACTTCTAGACACCTTTGTCGTTGGATTCAATACACTGTATTCCAGGTTTGGGAATCCTGTGGCCCCTCAGATCTTGCTGGACTACAACTCCATCATCTCTGACCGTTGGCCAAAGGTTCCCCACCTGTACTCTAAAGGAGCCTGGGACGCTGTTCTATTTTGACTTGAAAACAAATCTCTGAGGTTGTTTAGGTCTGAGGGATCAATGGCTCGCCATTCCATGCTTTCCCTTACTGGTAAACATAACCTCCAAATCTACTGAAAAAACCTCAAAGTGGCCAGCAAAATTCCCCTCAGATGGGTTTCCCCTCTCCAGATGGTGAGGTCACGCTGTGTGACAGGCCTGCAAACCAAATTTGGGAGCACGTGTGTTTGCTAAGGTCCTGTGACAGGAATCGTAGGAGCCAAAATGGTGTTGTTTTAATCAGTGGTGCTGTTGGGTAATTTTTGACTCTGGGTTGAATGGTTGAGCGGGGCAGGACTCTTTCGATGGTACTGCTGTGTATTCAAAACATGGTAAGCTGCACTGCATTTGTAGACCTTCCTGCTCATTTTGCCAAAGTGGCTCTAGATATTGTGGGATATGAAACACAAGAGCAGTCAAGTACAACATTCCTAGAGTATACATGTTTAGACATGGGGAGGGATGTTTGTCCAGCCAGCAGGTAAACTTCCTGTTTCCCTCTGGGCTGGGACAGACTTCCTCCACATATGACTAGAGGTGGGTGTGGCCTCACCTGTGCAGGTAATGATAAAACCACAGGACAGGGCAGCCATCTCTCTCTCTCTTTCACCACATGCATCGAAGGAACAACATCTCCTGAGTGCAAGATGTCCTCTTGGCTCCCAGCCAAGAAAGGACAAAGGGACTATCTTCTTAAGAGATAGACTCCAAATGTATATTACTTCACTAAGCTTAAGTCTGCCTTCTGGGATCTGATTGTGAACAGAATGTAAGTAAACTCTTTTTACAGTGGTGCCCCGCAAGACGAACGCCTCGCAAGATGGAAAACCCACTAGACGAAAGGGTTTTCCGTCGCGGAGGCGCTTCGCAAAACGAATTTCCCTATGGGGTTGCTTCGCAAGCGTAAAAAATCTTGCGCGTCCCCGTGGGTTTTTTCCGCTCCCCCCCTTTTCCTAAGCCGCTAAGCCGCCTATCAGCTGTTCCGCTGATAACCCGCTTAACAGCTGATCGCGAAAAGCCACTAGACAGCTGTAGCGCTAATCCACTAAGCTGTCAATGGGCTTGCTTCGCAAGACGAAAAAACCGCTAGACGAAGAGAATCGCGGAACGGATTCTTTTCGTCTTGCGAGGCACCACTGTATACTTTTGTAAAGGACTGTGTCGTGTCTTCTATTTTAAGAGGAATAAGGGGAAATTACCAGAGTAGTTATTATAGAGGCTTTAGCGAGCCTGAGCAAACGCTATCGTTGCAAACTTAAGATAAAGGGAAATGTTTTACTCTGCAGAAATTGGGAACTTGTTAGCACAAGTTGGATAAGCATATAATCAGACAATATATCCTCTCCTGCATCCCTGAACATTCCCACAGATATCTGCCTCAAAGTTGTACCCTGATGGTACCACCCATTGCTCCCTATGGACAAACTGAGGCTTATCCCACCACAACCCTAGCTCTGAATTCTTGTCCCAAGATCAACAGGTATCCAGCTCAACAAATTTGCTGCCTTTCCCATGTAATGGCACCACCTTTCCCTTCTCCCCACAACTGTCTAGGTGCAACACTCCTTCTCCAAGCTGTCCTCAATGTTGACCTTTTCATTGCTGCCACCACGGCTGGGCTTCAGGAAGAGAATGGCTCCAGTCTCATCCCACAGTGGCGGCTGACGCTGCAGAAAGAATTTGGCATTAGCTTAAGACACTCCCGGCAACTTCTCTGCAAAATACAGAATATTTCACGTCGCTTCGTAAGTCTACTCGTCTTTCTAACTCCTCTGCACACACAGTGTGACGGGCCTTGAGATAGGAACTGGCTGGTTTCTGGAAGGGAAAGCTAACAGCTTCTTAGTTCATTAGTTCTTTTCCCTTTCGCTGTTTATCCTGTTAATCATGCAATGGTTGATGGGGATATCGGAAGGTTCTGACACATGAATAGTAGTGGAAAACTGAAAACTTGGAAAATTCTGTGTCCTTAGTTATTGCTGATGGGATCAAACAGTAATCAATCTGTGATCTATGAAGGCACAGTATAAAATTAGAAACTTTATGAGCAATAGTTAAATTTATTTTTGGTAGTTCCTGCTAACATTATAGTGGAATAATTTTTTACACCTCTCAGTTCCACTTTTCCTCCAAATTTGCTAACATAATAAATAAATTTGAATAACTTGCTTCTGTCCCTTCCTCCATCTCAAGTAAGGTATATTTCTTAAGGCACATTTGCATCAGCTGGTTGAAAAGTTGGCAACCCCACCTAGAGTCTTGGTGTTTTCTTTCTTTCTTTCCAGCTCTCTGAACGTCTGTCTGGAGTGCAGCCCACTTCTGTACGAAGCTCAGGGCAGCTTCCCTCAGTCAGCCTTGATCTCTACACGTGGCTTTCTCTTCCAGTAAGAATAATTATTTATTTGAAAAATTCCTATCCCGCTTTTCATGCCCTTAAAATGGCTTAAAATGATGATAGAAAGCAAGTAACAACATAAATTGTGTTTAACAACATTGTCAGTCTCTACAAGAGGAGGTAAAAGCCCCTGTGAACTACTCAATGCCACCAAAAGCCTGATAAAGCAAACAAAATGTTTTGCTACCTGGTGCCTAAAAGATATGAAATGTTGGCTTTGGGTGAGCTGATAAGGAGAGGGAATTCCGTCACTGAGGTGTCACCATTGAAAAGGCCCTCTCCCTCCAGGAGCTACTGACCTTGCCTCTGAAGGTGAGGTCACCTGGAGGCAGATTCGCGGTCGTGGCTTCCCCCACAGAATCTTGGAAAGTAAGGTTACAGGGAACCAGGCAGAGGGCCTTCTCGGTAGTGGCACCCACCCTGTGGAACACCTTCCCATCAGAGGGCAAACAAATAAACAACTATATGGCTTTCTGAAGACATCTGAAAGCAGCACTGTATCAAGAAGTTTTTATTGCTTGATGTTTAGTTGTGTTTTATATTATGATGGATGCCGCCCAGAGTGGCTGGACAACTCAGTCAGATGGGCAGGGTATAAATAATGTTGTTGTTGTTGTTGTTGATCAACTTGAGTGGGGGCAATATAGATTGGGGAACTGGTGTTAGGAAGAAGGTTAGACACTCTTACCCTGAGTTATCTCCTTGACCAAATTAATTAGCCTCCTCTTTCTGTAGGCTGCAATTTGTTATTTGTTTTGAACTAGGCTATCCATTATCAATTTCCCAGATTAACATGTAGTTTGGGCCTTAACCAATGATTAGTATTTTGGATGAGCAGTTTTGGCAGAGCTTTGGGACACTCCATAGCTGCCTGCTTTCGCCAGGGTTTCTTTCCACATCTCAAGGGCAGGGAGGGAAGAGGCAGGGCACCTGGGTGCTCTTGACTGGTTTGATTCCTAATCCTGCCATTTTCCCAGGATGCCAAGCGCCTGACCTACATGTCCAAGATGCTGCCATTTTATCAGGGTTTGGCACAACAGCTGAGGGACCACGAGGCCACCAAAGAAGACTCTAAATTCCTATCTAACTTTGAAGACATCAGTCTTTCCCTCCGAGACCTGGACCATCACGTGAGTTATCAGGTAGGTCTTCCTGCCCTTTGGGACACAGCTCGGTGGGGCAAAGGCATCCTTTATCTTTTGTGCTGTTTTAACACCTTTCCTTGATTCTCCCTGTAGATTTTGCTTTGGGGCCTGCCGATTGAAAACGAGCCTGAGCCAACACTCAAGCCCCTTCGAATTCTTCAGCACCGGAGTTGGTGGAGGAATCGCCAGGAAGTATATGTCATCTTGCGCTCCCTCAACAGTTTCCTGTGCCGGGTCACAAGGGAATTCTTGCTGCTGAGGACTCGGGTGGCTAAAGACACTTCCTTTTCCAAGGCTTCCAAATCTACACCACTCCCAGCCTAGATCCCCAATCCGCTGTCAGAGGATGCTGGCATCCTGGCATCCAGACCTCAACACCTCCCCTACTGTAATTTATGGATTTACCAATTGGTTATCTTAAAATATTTAATTTATAAGTATTTATTTTTTTCTAAATGTTTATATTTTGTATTTTTAACTTATTTTTTTCAATAAAACCAACACTGCTGTGACCATTTATGGAAACTGTTGTTTCAGTTCAGCAAAGGTGCTTTTCTTGGGAAAGAGATAAGAAAGAGTGAAAGAGAAAGCAAAGCTAGGAATGTTTGACAGGCAATTCTAAACCTGCCTTAGGCAGCTGGCTTTCTGCTGATCTGGGCAGCATATGCACCACACTTTTAAATCACATGGTGGCTTCTCTGCAAAGAATACTGTGCCTCCTTGCCACAGCCGCTCCGGGTGCATGTGGCTGCAGCGGGGGGTGGGGGCAGAGGGTGGGGGGCGTATGCAGCAGTGGAGGAGCAGGAGGAAGTGGCGAGCTCCCAACAGTGCAAGGAACCGAAGAGGCACTGACAAACAATAAAACTCAGTTGGTTAGAGCATGGTACTGATGATGCCAAGGTTGCAGGTTCGATCCCCAGCTGCATAGGAGGTAGGACTAGATCAGGGGTAAAAGGTAAAGGGACCCCTGACCATTAGGTCCAGTCGTGGACGACTCTGGGGTTGCGGCGCTCATCTCGCTTTAGTGGCTGAGGGAGCCGGCGTTTGTCCGCAGACAGCTTCCGGGTCATGTGGCCAGCGTGACAGAGACGCTTCTGGCGAACCAGAGCAGCGTATGGAAACACTGTTTACCTTCCCGCCGGAGTGATACCTATTTATCTACTTGCCCTTTGACATGCTTTCAAACTGCTAGGTTGGCAGGAAGATCAGGGGTAATCAACCTTTTTATACCTACCGCCCACTAATACATCTTTCTTGATGGTAAAATATCCTTACCGCCCACCACTGCTCGATGGAAGGAGGATTCAGCTTGTGCCATAGAACCCCCTACCGCCCACCTAGAATCCTGAAATGCCCACTAGTGGGCGGTAGGGACCAGGTTGACAACCCCTGGACTAGATGAGCCTCAGGGTTCATTCCAACTCTATGATTCTATGAACACAGACATCTAGATGGACCAAATGCTCTGCCTCATGATTAACATTAGGCACTGTTATAAGAATTCTAAGGTCTCAAATATAGAACAAATGTTCATAAATGTACAAAGCAAACACATACGTAAGTGTATAAACCACGTGTCTGAAACAGTACAGGAGAGCAATCCTGAAGCCATTTTGACTCTCTCCAAATTGACCTCAAATATTTCTCTGCAAGGAAGAAGGAAATGGGAAAAGCTTTCCAAATGTCTTTGGACTGTATTGGCTTACACCTCCCTGCAAATACAGTCAGGCAAGTATCTGTTAAGCTGAGTAAACCATCAATATGTGTAAGAGATTCAAGAACTTAAGTACCATACTCTGGGCAATCTCCCCCCATTTTCTTAATTTTGAGTCCCCCAAAATAGGGGGTGTCGTATATTTGTGGGCGTGTTATACACGGAAAAATATGGTATTTACCATCTCAAAGGGATGGCCAGGCTACCCAGAAAATGCAATCAAGTAAGGCATTATCAGGTATCCTGGCAGACAGGAGAGAAGCAACACTCTGCGGGAGTCTGCCTCCTTCTGTGATTTATGTATGATGTTTTGGGGGGGATGGTCTTGGGTTACAGGGTGGGCAATTTCAAAAGTCTTTATAGGGGCTTGTGCACCATTGTTCTGGGTCTCTCCTACCTCCTTGTAAGGAGGGGAGGGAACTCTGTTGCAACAGAAAAATAAAGATCTGCCTGGCTTTCTGTGGATCTTGCCTCCATCCATCCATCTCTGACTGATCATGGACTTACGGAACTCAGTCCCTTGGGGAGTTGGGCAGCAAAAACCAACCCCCCTATATATTTTTTTCTATAACAGCACCCTCACTATAGTATTTTAGAGGTTTCCCAAAACTTTCTTCATTTTAACAAGTCTATCCTGATTATGTAATTAAATATTTGTTTTAAATTTTGCTCATCTTCTCTGCATATTGTTGATAATTATTTTATACCACTTGATGCAACTTGGCAGGGAGGTAATTTCGCAGTTTATGGGCTGTGGAATTAAGTGTTGCATGTGCATACTCTCTCTCTCTCTCTCTCTCTCTCTCTCTCTCTGTGTGTGTGTGTGTGTGTGTGTGTGTATTACATACATGTCATAACTGAAGGACACATTTCACTCAGATTTCTTTTTTAAAACCTATTACTGTGATGGAGAGTGATCTGGTAGAGAGATGCCAGCTACGTAGCTGGAGGTACAGGGTCCCTGTATCTTCCACATCTGCTGACAGGCAAAGAGCCAAAAATGATGCAGTTCCCCTCCCCCACAAGAGAACGCAGCTCTACCATCCACTTTATGCATTTGGTGTAGCAGACTTGCTGACAAAACGGGCTGTAATAATTTGATTGTTGCTCCCTCAGAGAAGGCCTGAACATTGTGCAATTCTGGAAACACACAATCAAATGTCCAAACATTGTTTTTAAAGCTTAAACGCAGCAGCAGCCTGCAGGAGAGGGGAAGATTGGGTCAGAGCAGTGAGACAGAAGCAGGCGGTGTTCGACTTAACAGATGGGCAACAGAAGTGGGTTCTGTGATGAGTTCTAAGAGGCTTATAGTGCAGAGCTGGAAAGACAAATTCCACCATCTATCACCCAGTGGTTAGAAGATCTCACTGCTCTTTCCACGTTCGAGCATATGGTTTGTAATCATCAATTTAATCCAGGCACCCATTTGGAAATTTGGACTCCCTATATAAATGTATACGCTTAAACCTGGATTGAGGAAATATTGTGTCAAGGTCGTGTGGCAATGGATTGCTTTTTCCAATCATATATTATTAGTATCCTTTTTCTGTTACAATTGCAAATTAAAACCTCAAGGGGTGGGGGGAATTGGGAATGTTTAATCCTCTTCTCTGCACCGTTTCCCCAGTAAAAACCCCCTCTCTTTTAAAAAGGTGTGGGCCACATAATCCCTTTCATCCGCTGCCTAAAAAATGTCAACAGGGAGAGTGAAACCACCTGATCAACAGCCAAAGCAAATGGGATTTATTGATTCAATAACCATGCTCATGCAAAGCAAACGAAGTACAGTGGTACCTCAGGTTAAGTACTTAATTCGTTCCGGAGGTCTGTTCTTAACTTGAAACTGTTCTTAACCTGAAGCACTTTAGCTAATGGGGCCTCCTGCTGCCGCTGCGCGGCCGGAGCACGATTTCTGTTCTTATCCTGAAGCAAAGTTCTTAACCTGAAGACCATTTCTGGGTTAGCAGAGTCTGTAACCTGAAGCGTATGTAACCTGAAGCGTATGTAACCCGAGGTACCACTGTACCTCAAGGTATTTGCCTACCCTGTGAGGCACCTTTGGATCAAAAACTCTGCTCCTGAGTTTACGGCATGTAATGCCTTAAAAGAGAATTTAATGAAAATGATTTATAGGTGGTACATAACACCAGTCAAGCTTGCAAAAATCTACCATATGCCCGATAATAAATGCTGGAAATGTAAGGAGACTGAAGGTACATTCTTTCACCTTTGGTGGACATGCCCAAGGATTAAGAACTTCTGGGAGATGATTTATAATGAAATGAAAAAGGTATTTAAATATACCTTCCTGAAGAAACCAGAGGCCTTTCTCCTGGGCATGGTTGGCCAATTGGTGCCAAAGAAGGATAGAACTTTCTTTATGTATGCTAAAACAGCAGCAAGAATACTCATTGCAAAGTACTGGAAGACACAAGATCTACCCACCCGGGAAGAATGGCAGATGAAGCTGATGGACTACATGGAGTTGGCGGAAATGACTGGCAGAATCCGTGACCAGGGAGAAGAGTCGGTGGAAGAAGAGTGGAAAAAAATTAAAGTTTATTTACAGAAATATTGTAAAATTAATGAATGTTCGAAGGATGCTGGAATGAAGTTATATGGCTCTAGCAGAAATATCATAGAGAATTAAGTAAAAATAGATTGTTAATGGGTCAAAGTGGAAATTTAAGATTAGATTGTGATAAGATAAATTATAGAACAAAAATAAGAAAGATGGAAAGGATTTGCTGAAATAGCTAATTGAACAAGAATACAAAAAAGGGAGGTGTGAAGAGGTCGACGATATAAGTAAATGAAAGGTAGAGATATAGAGATACTGGATGTGTTTTTAAATGTTTTTGTTTCTCTTGTTGTTTTGCTGTGTTGTTTTTAGTTTTTTCCTTTTATTTTTGATGTATTGTGAACTTTTTATTGTTTTTGTTGTTTTTCTTTCTTTATTCTGTAACTATTAAACCCTTAATAAATATTAAAAAACAAACAAACTCTGCTCCTGGAATTGTCCGCCCCTTCTGTAGATAGATATTCCCACAACAAATCCACAGAAATCTAGATAATGCAGATTACCAGTGCTAACACCATAGAGCTCTTGAAGGCCACTTTCTAAATGAATGAGTGGTAACTTTGAGAAGGAAACCAGAAAAAAACACTCCCCACCCACCCGCTTCCTTATTGTGAAACATTTTTTCCCCCTGGTTACATGAGCATAAATGTTTCGTGCTATCCCACATGCTATTTGTCACTTTCCGCATTCAGCTTTATGGGAAGTACCGTATTTTTCCATGTATAAGTCTAGATTTTTTTAAAAAAACATTAGGTTTAAAATTGGGGGTTGTCTTATACACGGGTAGTGCTGAGAGGTGTTTTCTTAATTTGGAGTCCCCCAAAATAGGGGGCATCTTATACATGGGGGCATCTTATACGCAGAAAAATATGGTGTTCTTGGGCTGTAAATGGCCCCCTCCCAAGACTGCTAATTGCCTTTCTGGAGGCATGGGGAGGGGCAGACACAATATTTCTGCTCATCACTGCTCAAGGCAAGACTGTAAGCAGCTTGGATAGGGAGCAATTTTGACTGTGAAAATGCCAGATTATTGGCTCCCCCCCCCAAACCGGTTTACCCCCAACACTGCTACTTCAAGCCAATTCAGTGACACTCACCACAGCTTTATGGAAGATTGTGTCAGGAAATCCACTCACATATCTTCCCTATTCAGGTAGGTAGCCGTGTTGGTCTGACACAGTCGAAATAAATTAAAAAATTGTCCAGTAACAAACTTAGTTGGTCTCTAAGATGCTACTGGACATTTTTTAAATTTATATCTTTCCTAGTGTGCTGTAGTGGTTAAAATGTCAGACTAGCATGTGGACAACCAAGGTTTGAATCCCCCCACTCTGTCATGAAGCCCACTAGCTGACTTTAGGCCGGTCATTGCCCCCCAGCCTAACCTACCTCACAGGGTTGTTTGGGGGATTAAATGAGGAAGGGGAGAACCATGTTGTCAGGGGCTCAGGGGCAGAGCCAAAGGGGAAAGAGGAGTTGGAGAGCGAAGGGGAGGAATCTGAGGGGAGCTTAGGAGGGTATGACAGTGACCCGAGAGATTCCATGAGTCTCTCCAGCGAATCAGAAGATTCCCAGAAAGAGGCGCCCAGGGTCAGGGCAAGGGGGGCCAGCGGTGAGTCCCCAAGCGGCAGCTGGAGATCAGGGCCAGCTTCCCTGCCAGAGCGTAGCGGGGGGGAAGAAGCCCACAGATCAGAACCGGCGTCCACTCCAGCAGGTAGAAAGAGAGAGTCAGAACTGACCACGCCTCCGTCGGAGAGTGGAGGGGCGGAGCGGAGGGCAGTCCCAGCCAGCCCCTCCGAAGGAGGAAGCAGTGACAGGAGCAGTGTAGCCGTTAGGAGGAAAGTGGCCGGCTGGGCGCGCGCGCCAAGTTCAAATGTGCAGGCGCGCGGGTCAGCAGAAAATCCGGATTGGGAGCCAGGTCCCAAAGCCCGCCGGAGACAGGGGGAGGAGTCAGAGGAATCCGCCTCCGAAGAGTCCAGGAGGGGTGGAACCCCAGGGGGCAGGAGGACCCAGAGGAGAAAAGAGCAGAGGAAGAGGTGGAGCAAAGCTCGGGTGTTAAACTGGTGTAGGGGAGGGGAAGAGTCAGACGGAGCTTCGACGGTCTAGAGTTACAGACGTAGGGGTGCGCGCCACGGATGTAAAACCAACAATGAACTTCAATAAAGACTTTTGTATATAAAGAGACACTGGCGTTGGTCCTTTGTGAGCTGGGACCTGAGGCACCTCTGACACATGTATTTGGAGAAAAATGGTGGGATATAAATGTGATAGATAAATAAATAAAATCAGGTATACTCTGGCTCAAACAGTGTTTCTCACCTGAAATTTGTCTCTGTAGGCTCCATGATCATTGGTTCTGATGGTAAGAGTACAACCTTAACAAGCAGAGTAATAACAAACAATAAACCTTGGAGTAGCTCTGAAAGAACCTCTCTTGTGTTTGTTTTTTTGATTGATGGGATCTGTGTGCAAAGGACGTATATCAGTCTGAACCAGAGACTGACTGGTTTGCGCGTAATGGCAAGCCATGGTTTGTTCTGACAAACCACAAACCATTAATTGTCCAACAGTCAAACAAACCATGGCTTGTTTCTCCAGTTTAGTTTTTCAGCTTCTTTTGTTTGGTGCTTAATGAGCGTCAGGGGTGGGGTGGCCAAAACAAACATGGGCTGTGTACATTGCTGCTCCCTCTGCATCCACTACACTCCCACTGCTATTTTGGGAAGCAGTCTATGCACAATGTTAGCCACAATCCATATCTTTCCTGTGTCTATCCTGTTGTTTTTAATGAAATATTGCATTTTGATGCATCCCCCCCTCAGCCAGCTTTAATCCAAATTGGGGTGGAAAGAAGAACCTAGCTGGATTTTAAGATGGTAAAAAGCATGCAGCCATGGTTAAGAAAGGGTGCTAGGTTTGCACATAACACCAAGCCCTAGTTAAAACAACCCAACATGCATAAGTCATCAGCAAACAATGGCTTAAAATTGTGGTTTGCTGGCAGAGGTCTGATGTGGGAGCATCTGCCTCTCTTTTGGCAAGATTAAACTGTGTGTTTTCATTTTGTATTTTTATATTGTGGACCGCCCTGTGAACTTTGGCTTAAAATTTGTGTGTGTGTGTATAAATGAACATAATTATTACAAAGCATCAATAAGTCACTCCAGTAACCTCTTTCCAAAGGAAATCAAACCCCCAGAGCTTCTCACTGCTCAGAGAACTGGAGTGAGTGTAACTGTTTGTTACAGAGGATTCTGGGTATTTTCTAGGGAGCATGCACCGTTCCTGACTGGTACTGGCCTGGCTAATGTATCTCACTGTTGCCTTAGGTGAACAATGTACACTACCAAACTCTCCAGTAGCTGCATGTTCTAATGGAAGACTGGCAGCAGCAGGCAAGTCGTTTTAGCTCGCCTGCCTATAAGCTCCCTGTGAAACAGTATGACAACCACTGACATGGATTTATTGATTCATTTGAAAGATTTCTTGTTTACCTCTCAACGGAAGCTTTTGAAACACGGCAAAAAACAGTGCAATTAAACAATTTTTAATACCAACATTTTGACATTTTAAACCAGCCAGAAACTGCACATCTGACGGTGAAAACAGCAACTAAAAACAAAAGTAGAAATAACAATTAAACGTGAATAAATGAACTACATTAACTAAATTTAGTTAAATGAACTAAAGCTATCGTTAAAAAGCCAGAAAGAAAAACATCCTCTTCACTTAGTTACGAAAAAATATTTTAAAAGTCGGGAGGACACAACCACTGAAAAGGCTCTCTCACATTTGAAAGTTGTGGCACCCTGATGTAGATACTCTTACAGGGGTAGCCAGTGATGTCCACTGCAAGCTACTGGATTACAAATGCGATCTGACCCAGCCAACATAGCAAGTGGCCAAGGGGGACAGGATCTGTTATCCATTGACATCTGGAGGGCACCATGTTGGCTATCCCTGTCTTAATGGATTGAGCAGGAAGGAATTTTTAGGGAGGAAAGAGCTATATGAAGTATTACGTGGAGTGTTAATTCCACTTCCAGATTATTGTGGAAAAGCAGTGCCTCAGCAGCGCTACAAGGCTCTAATGCAGAAGGAGACATTGATATGAATGGCAACCGGTATCATTAGCCCCATTTTCTAGTCTTCCTCCCCCAACACACACACCCTGTGCCTTAGCCTATCACAGGGGTAAGTTCAGACATGAGAATTTTGTGGTGGTTTTCCTGATTATAACACTAGCACTCCTGCCCTGTTTTCTAACGTTGCTTTCACACTGCTGTAGCTTTTTGAGCAATACGCTGGCATGCTGCACTAATTCTTTTTCACACCAGTGGGTGAGGTGTGATACAACAACAAATGTCATTGGACATGAGGCCGCTTCCCCACCCTTTCCGCACCTGCGCACTTCTGTCCCCCCATGATTCACGCATGAAAATGGCACGAGAGAACTGTATGTCGGTAGAGTACCCCCAATTCCATCACTCATCTCCCACAATTTTCTGCATTAACAGGGTTGCAAATGGATATCCCCCACCCTGAAAGCAATTAACATGGAAATGAGTGCTAAACTGCCCCTAGATTTCCAGAGGCGGCTTTTACGTCCAGTGAAAGCTCAAATATAATGCAGAAATCAACCCTTGGGTCACTGGGGCTTGCGCAGGCGGGTCTGAAGTTCAGCCATCATGTTGGGGTGCATAGGCCCAAACCTGGGGAGACAAAGAGAATGAATGAGCAGAGTGAGGCAAAACTCCGAGGTTAACTCCTGGGGTGGTGGTGATAGGATATTCATATTTACCCAGAAAGCCTTGGGTTCTGCCTGCGCGGTGTTTGTGGTTGAGCTGGAACCTCCTCAGCTACGCTTATCGTCTCTGGCTGGGTCTCCACTGGCTGTCTCTTTGTGCTGGGCGCCCGCCGGATAGAGCTCTTGCGGCGAAGCAGCACCCGCTCCATTTGGTGACTTGTATCCAGGGCCACGACCTGCACAGGAGAAGTGAATTGGTTAACTCCAGAGTCCGGACTCCCATCATGCTCCATTTTTATTTTAGTTTCGCTTACCTTAACTGGGAACGTCCCAGCGATGGAGGAAGTGCACACCATGGGTTCTTGCTGCCGGCCACTTTCCATCTCTTCTGTTTGCTTTGCCTGGACTCCAGCTGCTTCCAGCACCTCTTTGTCAAGAAGACCACTAGCTTCTGCCGGCCTCTCTGATTCACCCTCCTGGTCACTCTCCTCCAGCCATTCTTCTCCTGCAAGTTCCACTTCTTCTTCTGCTGCCTCCTTTCTCACAGGTTCCTCTTCCTCCCTCTGCTGGACCCCTTCTGTCTCTTCTGCACCTGCCACTTCTTCCCACCGACCACCCCTGTTCTCTGCTATTCCCTTTGGCTCCCCATCCTGCCCTTCCAAAATCACAGCAGTTTCCCTTGGCTCCCACTGGTGGCATCTCCCTGCCTCTTCTTCCTCGTCTAGCTCCTCCTCCTGCCCTCCCTCAGTTTCTGCAGTGCCCAGCATTGTTTGCTGAATTTCTTCTTCTTCGGCTATATCTAACTCCTCCTGCAGGTTCTCTTCCACCTCTGGTTCTTCTTCCTGTTCCTGCTTGACCTCCAGCTGTTGACCATTTGCCATCTTGACCTCTTCTTCCTCCTTCTCCAGCCCTCTGTGGTGAAATCCCACAGCCCATGTCTCTCCCTCCTGCCTTTCTGCCTCTGGATCTTCTTTGTGTTCCTGCTCGACCTTCAGCTGCTCATCTTCTGCCATCTTGGTTGCCTCCTCCAGCCCTCGCTGTTGTACCTCCACAAACTGTGGCCAATCTGGTACCCTTTCTTGAATCCCCTTATACCAGAAAGTTTCTCCCAGTTCCTTTTCCTGACCACAATCAGTCTCTCTTGTGCCTTCCACTTCCTCCTTTGGCTCCCACAGATGGCTTCTCCCAGCTTCAGCTTCTCCTCTGAGCATCTCCTCCTGGTCTTCTTCACTCTCTGCCCTGCCTGGCACTGCTTGTGGAATTCCTTCCTTTGCAACCACCATATTGGTTTCCTCCAGCAGGTCCTTTTCCATCTCTGCTTCGTTTTCCTGTTGTCTCTCAGCCTCTAGCTGCTGTCTCTCCACCATCTTGACCTCATCCTCCACCCCCCCACTGAGCTGAAACCCCACATCCCTCACCATCCCTCTCTGCTCTTCTCCCACAGATAGTGCCCAATCTGGTGCAGTTTGCTGGATCCCGTCATACCACACAGTTCCCACTTGTTTTTCCTCCCTCTCCTCTGAAGTCTCTTCTCCCTGCCCTTGTTCCTCTGGCTGTTTGCCTTCGGGCTTCTCTGCTTCCCCATGCTGATGCTGTTCTGTATCTGCCTCTTCCTCTAGTGCCCCCTGCTGCTGAACTCCTCCTATCCAGCTGGTTCCTTCTAGCTCCCGCTGATGGAGTCCCTCAGTAGCAGTTGGCCCCTCCACATCTTTCTGTCTGATGCTGCTGATCGCAGCTGCTGTGGGGCTTGACTTTGGAGCATCAGCTGGGAATTGAGAGGACTCTGTGGGGGAGAAATTAGGAAGGTCACATTTACAGTATTTATGTATTTGGATAATGCATTTGAATTATATAGCTCCCTTTGCATAAGCCACAGGGCAGCTTACAACAAAGCAAATAGATAAAAATGCATACAACTGATGAACCAGGATCTTTCAAAAACACGTAGCAGTTATCACTGAATCACAATTGCTAATAGCATTCAGGTCTCTCCTCCTCTGAACACCCACCAGAAAAGAGGAATCTCAATGGCCTCAGTTATGATGGAGTTACAAATACTAGGAGTTACTGCTGAAGGGGCTCTTTCCTGGGTCCTACACTATGAATCTCATACTGTGGTCACACAGATCTTGGTCTCTTCAGCTCTGCATTTGAGCACCCCAGAACCTAAAGATATTGGTTTCTCCCCACAAATATACACATTCCTATATTATTGTTCCACCCAGAAATTAAGGATGTTTTCTTATTGTAAAATATTTTTATTATCGTACTTTCTTGTAAACTGCAACAAGGCTAACAAATTATCATCATCATCATCATCATCATCGTGCAAGATCTTAGAATAAAACATCATCCCCAGTAACAAAGCGCCAAAAAATCTGAAGTTATGCAGGACCATTAAACGTTCAGGGTCACTATCAATAAAAACAATAGCAGAGAAACATCAGTGCATGCACAGTGCCCAATACAAATATATTGATTTCTCTTTCCAGGATGAGCCATGGGTCAGTAGTCCCAGCTCTGGAACCTTATTCAAATGGCATAAATTAGCCCAGGAATGTGTCAATGGGAAAGATGGAGGTTTCTCTGCTCATATGCAGACGGTTTTATCCTCAAGACTGAGCAACCACAATCGCTTCCCACACATTTATGTTTAGGATGGAGACTCCAAGCTAAATCAAACCAGGTAGCAACCCATGCCTCCTAGAAACACCCGTCGGGCCCTCCACAGTGTGACTTTGGCACATTCTAGAATTTTCCATCACCTGAGAGCTTTTCCTCAGCCTTTTTCTGTCCCTCAGATCTGTTGGGGAACTTGGAAGGTTTGTGAACAGACTCTGTCGCCTGAGCATCGTGATCTGCTGCTTCTGATGCTGCCTGGATTTCCTGGTTGGCTGGGGTTATCTGAAAAAGGAAGGACCATGGTGAAGGAGAGGCGGAGCTTAAATGACTCTTTCCCCGCCTCCTCTTTTCCAGCACCTACCTCTGCGGTGAGCGAACCTTCAAAGACCTCCAGATGTCTCCTTGGAGGAATGTCCCTGCAGGGAAGAGGGGGAAAGGGTGAATCCTTCCACTCAAGAGGTAGAAAGCTCCAAGCATAAATAGCTCCCCCACTCCCACCTCAGCCAGCGGCTTCATTACCCAGAGTGTGCTGTCTCCACTTCCCCGTCATGGCTGCTGCCTCGGCTGCTCCTATCCCTTCTATGTCCTGACTCTTCTGCTCCTGGGTAAGTTTCATCTCCAAGCAGGTAAGTGGTGAAGGACGAAACATAATCCTGAAGATGGGGTGGAGCAAGGAGACACTGAATGCAGACGGTCTGTTGAGCAAGCCAGCAGACGCACCCACCTCCCTCCACGTAAGTCATGGGCCCTGGAGTCCACCCCAGCTTGGCTGACGACAAAAGGGGGTTTCTTTACCAGAGCCCGTTGCAGGGTCCCCAGCAGCCGTTGAAGGTGCTCCATCGGACATCTGGGTCAGGTGGAGAGGAGGTATAGCAGCTTCTCCTTTCTCCCCAGGGAGGGAAGTAACGCCGCCGTCAAAGCTTCTGACCACATCCTCCTCCTCCCCTTTGCAACTCATTGCCACAGTCCGTTCTGGCTTTGCACAACTGTTAAAAGCAGCACACCACAAACTTGATGGAAACAAGAAGCGGTGAGAGACAGTCAGTGTCAAATGCCGACTAAATCAGCCTCCAACTCAGGGGAGTGCAGAACCATAGTTGGAAAATTCAGTCCATCTTGTTCATTAACCCTCCCTTTTTTACTTTCACCCACATATCAACCCTTCTAAAAAAGAGAAAGATTCGCTCTCTCTCTTGACAATTTAGTGGCAACTTGACCTGAACCCTGTGCAATGAACTTTGACCAAAACACACCCAGGTTCTTTCCCAACTTGTGGAACAACCCACAGCAAATTTCAGGGTGGGGTTCTGATTAATTACAAAATAGAGCAGAGATTAGCGGGCCATTAACACGATTACAAGTAAGGCTGCTATTTATTCACTCATCTGTTTATTAGACCATTACGATCATGCCTTCCCATCCCAGAAAAAATACCTTTAAGGTAGCTAGCCGTTGTTACAATAATAAAAATTCAGGAGGTTTGAAGGGAGAGAGAGAGAGAGAGAGAGAGAGAGAGAGAGAGAGAGAGAGAGAGAGAAACCAACCAACCGAAGGAGCATTAACAAATCAGTTCCCAAATGCCAAATGATGACAGAATGATCCAAGGCCATAGCAGCCAAATTCAGTAGGCCTGCACGCACACCGTACATTTAAGCTGTAGCTTTATCCTCGCAGAGCTACAGTCCTCAGCAAGCTACAGTTCCCAGGAGATGTGGGGTGTGTATGTGTGTTCATGCTTTAAATGTGTGGTGTGTATGCAGCCCCAGGTGAGGCATCTACATTTCTAGGTAAGAAAGAAATGAATGGGAAATCAGGCAGCTTCCAGACTGTTGCTGTTTTGCAGGTGGGATTTAATCCCATACCGGCAAATTCAGGTTGCGTGATTAAAGTTGAGCTAACGCTCTTTCTCAAGAAGCTCATCCGCTCCGCCAATCAAAAAGGAAGGTGATGGGGAAATGCACTCAAAAGTGTGGGATTAAAACTTGCTTGATGCAACGCTGTATAATCTCCCTCCAAAGGAATCGGAGCGAATGCTCAGTCTTTGTGCAAACAGATCGGGATGAATGCTCCATAAATAGCTCACCTGGAAGTGACCTTCGGTTATTTCCTCAGAAATATGGCTCCAACATAGGATTAGACAAATAAATGGAAAAGAAGAGACTGAGAGGAAATATGATAGCCATCTTCAAATATCTTAAGGGATGTCACATGGAAGACAGAGCAAGCTTCTTTTCTCCTGCTCTGGAGACTCAAACCAATGACTTCAAGTTTCAAGAAAGGAGATTCTGACTAAACAGGCAGAAAAACTCTGACAGTAAGAGCTGTCTCCCCTAGGGCGGTGGTATACTCTCCTTCCTTGGAGGTTTTTAAGCAGAGGTTGGATGGCCATCTGTCATGGATGCTTTAGCTGAGATTCCTGTATTGCAGGGGGTTGGACTAGATGACCCTTGGGTCCCTTCCAGTTCTATGATTCCATGTTTCAAAATGCAGGATAAGGCTATCAAAGGCTACTAGCCACAATGGCTATGCTCTGCCTCCACAGCAGGACATTGTGTGAAGCTTGGGCTACATACACACAGCACACTTTTAATGCACACGACTTTCTCCAAAGAATCCAGGGAATTGTAGTTTGCTAAGGGTGCTGGGAATTGTAGCTTGGTGAGGGGTAAACTACAGTTCCAAGAATTATTAGGGGAGTCATGTGCTTTAAATGTACGGTGGGTGTGCAGCCTAGAATGCCTGAAGAGTACTAATAGTTACAGCTCCAAATCGCTCGCATATATCTTCTGCAGGGTTGTGTTTCCTGAGAGGAACCAGTTAAGAATAACATCTATTTCCTCTGGCCTGAGTGCAGAGAGAGAGGTCACAGATCAAGGAAGCTCTGTAAACGGCGTCCATAAAATCAAACTCATTGTTGGTTTGTACAATATAAAGATCCTTCGAGAGAAGACTTCTTCAATCCAGAATCTTTAAACAACTTGCAAAGGGCCATTTTATTTAGGAATGCAGGAAGGATTCCAGCATCTAAATTAAAAAGTGGGACTTCCTTTGCAGTTGATCTGGAAAAATATGGGTGGTACAGAGATCCACAGAGCTGTAGTCTGGGAATGCCACGCTGCCCCTCAGAGAGCAACCAAAAACCCAAAATCTGAACATAGTAGGGGATAATATTTTTTCTCTCTTTCAGAAATTTACCATGTGGAGCAAAGCTCATCCCCTCATCAGAATATGCCCTCCTATTTATTTATTTTTTGCCCTGGTCTGCATGAATTGCATGTGCATGAAAGGTCATGTATTTAAGCTCAGGATAGCAAAGCACAGACAGATTTATAAATTCATGTGTATGTGACAAATTCCAGAGGGGCCATCAGGTTTGGCTGCAATATATTGTAATGGATTGTTCTGAAGTAATTTCAGCACCAGATTAAAAACAAAATTTCCCCAACTCCCCCTGCCCGCCCGCCCGCCATCCTGTCCTGTATTTTGTGAGAACAAAGTTGGCAACCCTACTTGGGATGACTGGGCCCCCCACACTTTTACTTACTTTTTTAAATGTTTCTGTTCTGGAAGGTACTAAGGAGTCTGTTTTGTTTCCGGTTTACTTTGTGATTTTTCTCTAGTGCTGTGGTTTCTGCTATAATTTTAAATATATACATTCTACTGTAATTCGAGTGTTTTGAATGGTCAGGATAGAGGGATGCAAATGTTTCAAAATAAAATACATGGCAAAACTCTGCAATTGGTCACTCCACTAAAAACATGCATGCTTTTAACAGTGCTCGTGTAGAATGCCTAATTTAAAATGATAACGAAACGATACAATACGATAATCTTTATTGTTGTTGTCCCATACAGAATAACGAAATTGAAAAAATCTACATCAGACATTTTAAAACCAACAAGCCTGCTATCCCAACTATCCCAGCCTGGTTAACCCCCTTAAAACTCTGATACCCCATAATTAAATACAATATACTCCCACAGAGACTACTTTACACTGCGTTTAAAACCAAAATCGCATTTGGATAAAAACTGTTTCTCAGGCGGCTAGTCCTAGTCTTTATAACCTGTACCCTCTTCCAGAAGGCAGAAGCTGAAAGAGATCATTACCGAACCTGTTCATATCTGCAGCTACCCGATGAATAGCGTTATTGCAATAAATTTCTGACAATCACGCTCTCCCGGGAGAGGAGATTGTTGTTGTAAAGCAGCCATGTATATTGAGGGCAAATCTAGCTTCATTACACCGGCTTGTTTGCCAGCGTGTGCTTGCGTCAATGTATGGCTTTATCGGCAGGGCACACAAGTGAGGGCACTGGGAGCAGGAAATGGCATCAAACCCGGAAGCAAAGTCAGGCGGCAACTTCAGCTTCACATGACAGCCGCTTAAGAGGAAGCTTCTTGGATCTGTTACGCCTAGATATACTGAGAGGGGCGGTGATGGCCTAAAGCTACGCGGTGATGGTCTAAGGCTCCGATTTCTTAAAGGTACAGAAAGAGAGACTGGTGTGTGCAAGAGGGAGAGGATATCTCAGTGTAGTTAAGAAGTTTCTAGGGCAGCTATGGTTTCTGTTTTTATCTATGCCCCCCCCCATTTTTGTTATAGGTAGTCGCCCCCACTACCCCATTCTGTCCTGCCTGCCATGGGACCTGCTGGGAGTCTGTGGCAGCACATCCCGAGTGATTCTGAAGGTGAGTCTTCTTTGCTCCCATCTCTCACCCCCCTTCCCATTCAACACCCCCCCCGTTTTCTTCTCTGACTCTGATTCTCTTCCACCCCCTCAAGAAACAGGGGAAGATGAAGATGCCTCACCCTCTGCCGAGCCTGAGACCACCCTGGATGCCTGTAGCCAGTGGAGGAACAACGTGGGCTTCTGGTGAGACCCCCCTTGCTTTATTTCCACAGGTTTTCTAGGCTGTGTAGCATGAACAAAAGCAGAACCTCCTTTCTTATTTTATTTAAAGCAGCTTCTCTGTGGCGTTCTTTCTTGCACAATGACAGCTCGAGGTTTCTCTTTCTATGCTTTGGTGCATTTTGCTGTATGCTCTGTTGACACTAAACGGATCAGATTTCCTTTTCTTTTGATCTCCTCCCTTGTTGCATCCTCCACATCTGAGCATATTGCAACATACTGGAGGGCTGTGTGGGGCTTGCTGTAGCCGGATTTGTACGAACTCTCTCACACACCCCTGGGGAACTGAGGGTGTGGGGATGCCATTCTGGGCTTTCAAAAGGGACTATAGTTGAAAGTAGGGGTCAGCAAACTTTTTCAGCAGGGGGCCGGTCCACTGTCCCTCAGACCTTGGTGGTGGTGGGGGGGGTAGACTATATTTTTTTGGGGGGGATGAACGAATTCCTATGCCCCGCAAATAACCCAGAGATTCATTTTAAATAAAAGCACACATTCTACTCATGTAAAAACACCAGGCAGGCCCCACAAATAACCCAGAGATGCATTTTAAATGAAAGGACACATTCTGCTCATGTAAAAACATGCTGATTCTTGGACCGTCCACAGGCCGGATTTAGAAGGCGATTGGGCTGGATCCAGGCCCCGGGTCTTAGTTTGCCTACCCATGGTCTAAAGGCACGGTGCAGCAACCTTGCTGAAGCTAGGCAGAACTGAATCTGGATGGGAGGCTGCTTGGGAGCAGGGAACCTTATATATGCCCCCTTGAACTCTGGCCTGGAAAAAAGGCAGAATAGAAATGAAATAAATGATATGATAACACTGACTCTCCTGTCTTGCATTTCTGGGTGCTCTGACTTGCCTGCTTTCCCCTCCACAGGTTGCTGGGACTCTGCAACAACTTTGCCTATGTGGTAATGCTGAGTGCTGCCCATGATATTCTCAGCCATCAGAAGGTGCCAGCAGGCAATGGGACTGAGCCAGTGAGTATTCAAAGGAGAGGAGTACTTGAGTGTTTGTGTACAAAACAGAGCAAGAAACAGATTGTGCTGGGTGCAGGAGAAAGTGAGAGAAAGTATCTGAGCCTGGATGAGAGAGATGAATAGAAAACAGGGATGGAAAAACATCTGTGTGCCAGATCTAGTGCATTAGAGCCCACACATGCAAAGGACTGTGGACGGTGGCAGAGGGTGCATCACATGTGTGTACAAAAGATGAAAAAGGATTATTTGGATGTTGGCACTGCACTAAGGCTGGCTCTAGCTCTTAGTTAGCCAGGGCCTTTGTATATTTGAAAGGCCTTTTAAGATCAAACTACTTTAAGCAGAGGGGAAACTTTAGGCAAATGTGAAAGCAAACATCTCAGAGCGTTGGATCTGACCACAAATAGATTTGCTCTGTAAATTAGTGGACTAATAAATGGGGAATATACAGAACCATTCAGATATTGTACACGGCAAATAAGGCATTGGCATGCCCTTACACTGCTAGTGAGCACATGCACTAATCGAGAAGATTGTGACATTACCCAGTGCTCACTAAGATGGCAGCAGTACGTAATGGCACTCTCCTCCTGGGCCCTGCAACATGACCAGGGAACCTTATACAAACCAGCCATGCTGGTTGCTGACATTGGTCATGAACATGAGCAGTATGTTTGACAATGCCGTTTAGTGGTGCTAATATTGTACTGTTGAGTATTTAGAATAGGACCAGGGAGATCTGGGTTCAAATCTCCACACAGCCATGAAGCTGATTGGGTGATCTGGAGTTAGTCAGCCTAACCTACCTCCCAGAGTTGTTGTGGAGAAAAATGGGGGGAGCGGAGGGTAAAACCATGTTAAACTACCCATTGATGGAGAGTTGGACTAAAATCATAATAAAAAGTGTCTGAAAATCTGCAAAGGTCAAACTAGACACGACTTCTAACTGCATTTTTTGAATACTTCAGACTGGTCATGTATCTTTCTTTGCAAAAAGCAGCTCCAGGGGGCCCCTAATCTTTTCCCCCTCTCCCCATTCCAACCCCCCCCCCTAAAGCTGATATTTGCCCCTATTCTAAAAATCAAGAAAATGGCAAGGGAGAGAAGGGTTAAAGCTGGGTTGAGGAACCTGTGACCCACCCCCCATGACCATGGTGTCTGGGGCTGCTGGGAGTTGGAGTCCAACAGCATCTGGAAGGCCACAGGTTCCCATCCATGGATTAAACCCTGCCTCCCCTCACACGGCAGCCCTGATCGGGATTGTGACCCAAGTACGGAACCCCAAAGTGGGTCTTGAGTTCATGGAATGCCTGACTGAATAAGTTATACTTCCATACTGGAATGAGGAAAATCTTGGAAAACAGATCTTGGAAATGATGGCTGATGAAATTATTCTCTGCTACATTTAATCTCTTGTGCCCAATTTCTCCCTCAGACTCCCCCCAGCGTTCCTGCAAACGCTTCTCGTTACGACTGCAATGCCATCTCCACGGGGGTAAGTGTCGGGTGCAGGGAGATGACAGGGGCAGGTTTGAGTGTGGCACCAGCTACTGGCTCACTCCCATCTCTTTGCTGCCCCCTACAGGCCGTGCTGTTGGCTGACATTCTGCCCACCCTTCTCATCAAATTCAGCGCACCTTTTTGTATCCACTTGCTCCCATATGGGTGAGTTGGCTCAGATCGCTGGAAGTGTCGTCTGGGTAGATACCAAATTCCCTCGTAACTCAAGACGGAAATGGGAACTTATTTGCATGTGCGATGGACGTACAATTTGGCAAAGTGTATTTGGAACAAAATCATATAATCCGTGGAAAAGATAAGATGTTAAATTACATTATGTACTTGCGGACTTCTGTTAGCGTATACAAAAAAATAACTTGCCTTGTTATGGTGAAGTAATATCCAAGCCAAGAGTTGCTGGGAATTGTAACTCTGTGAGGGTCAAACCACAGAGCCCAGAATTAAGGAAGAATGAGCTATGAATGTGCTTTAAAGGTATCATGTATAAACAGCCCTAGTAGTCACGAGGGGTTGTCTTTGTATGTGACATATGGGCAAGAGGCATAGCTGTCAACTTTCAGATTTGAAAATAAGGGACCAGCAGCCTCACCTGTCCCAGGGACAGTCTACGGGATATCTAACAATCCAAGATAGCTGCGGGAAGCAGCGGGAAACGGCGCTGAAATAAGGGAATTTCCCGCAAAGAAAGGGAAGGTTGACAGCTATGGCAAGAGGCTTTATGGTTAGTTGAGGCCTCATCCATTTGCCCATCTTATATCTCACCCCCCCTTCCCTCACCCCACCCCTCACAGCTTGCGTGTTATCATCTGCGTCATCACGGCCTGGGGCAGTTTCCTGGTGGTGGCCTTCTCCACATGCACAGTCCAAAGCCTTGCAGGTAAGAATCATCTTCACGGGATATGGGGTTGGCAGGGGTGGCAGGTGGGCAGGCAGGTAGTCCTCAAATTATGGCAGGGAAACCCAGGGAGCTTGTCCCCCTTCTTATTTATTGTTACAGCCTCTGCAGCTGTTTTTTCTCATGCTTCGAAGGCATGATTTGACTAAAATTGTGGGGAGCAAGAGCATGAGGCTTACGGGTTTTATATTGCACCACCCATATCTTTCCAGCTGTGATTTGAGCATAAATGATCTCTTGCTTTAGAATCGCTGCCTCTTAATAGCAAGCTCCGGCGGTGAGGGCCAACAGAAAAGAAGAAGGAAGCATTAGCATGTTTTGTATTGACTGGGTTTTTCTCCACCTTCTAATTGCTGTAGGTGTCGTGCTGGCCAGTATTTCATCTGGCCTGGGTGAAATAACATTCCTTGCGCTCACGTCTTTCTTCGACAGGTAACTAAAGGGTCGCAGTGGCTGCAGGATGGAGATTTGGTAGTGGGGTCAGATGCATTAGTTGCTCAATGGGTGCGGTCTGTTTCTTTAGATTAGGGATGGGGAACCTGTGGCACTCCAGATGTTTATGGACTACAGTTCTCATCATCCCTGACCATTGGCCATGCTGCCTGGGTTGATGGGAGGCCGAGTCCAACAACATATAGAAAAACCACAGGTTCCCCAACCCACAAGGCCTTCCTTCCTTTCTTCCAGCCATAGGGAACAGCTTTGAAAGAGGAAGGCAGATATAACATTTTTATACAGCCACAGGTCCTGTTTCAAAGCATCCTTGTTTTGCCTTTGATCTGAAGAAACAGGCTCCATAGCCTTCCACCTTAGTTGCTTTGTACCACCCCAGCAACTTTAGAAAAAGATACTTTGTTGGCCTGCTTTTTGTTTTTGTTTCGTTTTCACAGTGAAGGATGGATATATATTTAACTAAACAAACATGCATACCTATCTGATAATGATAATAAAAATCAGAAAGGCCTGATGTATGAGGGGAGGGACAAGATTGACAGCTGGGCCCGTGTTTGGTTTGAAGTGTGAGTAGAATAAATTTGTGCAGGATTTGTCAATTAGGTAATGACGCTAGGTCTGGGGGTGCTTTCTGCTACCCAGAAATCACTCCCATTATGACTTACATTCTTTCTGCTTCCCTTCCCACCCTTCACAGTGCCGTGGTGTCTGCCTGGTCTTCTGGAACAGGTGGGGCTGGCCTGCTAGGGGCACTTTCATACCTTGGACTGACAGAGGCAGGCTTGAGCCCCCAGCACACCCTCCTCCTCATGACCATTGTTCCGGTCATCATGCAGGCCAGGTGAGGACTAACTCTCTCATATTAGGTATCTGCTTATAGCTGTAGAAGTTTAAATGATCATTCAAGGCCCCTGGGCTCCTTGACCATCTTCCTCCCCACTTTCTCTATAGTTACTCTTTTGTGCTGGCTCCACCCCCCGGGGCCCCTCGCTGCGGCTGGGGCAAGCGTCCACAGAAGTCTCTACGTTCTCCTTCCTCAACTCAGCAGCCGCTCCTTGAGAATAAAGCTACACTACAAAACAGTAAGCAATCCCTTTACTGGTGGGTTCACCTTCCTATGGTGCCACCTGTTGCATATAAGGGACAGGTTAAGTATTTATACCCATAATGCACCTTGTTTATCTCAAGACTTTATCCCTGGGAAGAAATGCTGTCACAGCTTCTTTACCCATGATGCACTGTGCTCATGCCAAGCACAAGAGAGAGTTGCTCACAGATATTGCTGTAGTTCTTCATGTAATGTCCTTGGCACTTGGCTATGTACAGAATTTTTTCACAATTCTTCCAATAAGGTTGTTTTATGCTGTCTCATTTCAACCGTCCTTTTCTTCCTCCAGAGGCACAAAGCCCTCAGCTCAGCCTGCAAGAAAAGGGGCAGGTGGTCAAGGTAAGAATCAGGCTCAGCATGTGGTTTTTTGGTTTTTAATTTGAGAGAGGGCGTAGGATATTTCGGAGCACATGTTTAAAGGTGTCCATATCACAGATCGTATCAGTATAAGTTTGCGTGTAAATATGTCCCTATTCTAGAGTATATCAGGGTGAATAATGCGCAAAATGGATGCGGGGAGAATGCTATTCAATTGCTAAACAAAGGCCAGGTCTCTGTTCTTCCTGGAATTTATGCCTCTTTATCTGGAAGCCCTTCTCATTGATCCCAGATGTAAAAGACCTCATTGTGAGTTTACCCCTCACCTTCCCAGCACCCTTAACAAACCACAGTTCCCAGGATTCTTTGGGGGGGGAAGCCTTGTTCTTTAAATGTATGGTGCAAATGTGACCCCAGTAGTAAAGGGTGCTGTTTGTGAAGCCTGCATTACCCAAGGCGACCATATACCTGATTGACTCATGGTTTCACGGCCTTCTCATGATGCACTAACATGTGCCTTCTCTGTTACTAGGGTCTCTTAAAATACCTCATCCCTTTAGCTGTTGTGTATTTTGCTGAATACTTCATCAACCAGGGCCTGGTGAGTAGTGTGAAAGTTGGGGATGGGTGGAGACTTCTTTACCAGGGAGGTGGAGCTAAATCTTCTGATCCATCGCCATTAACGGTCCTCCCCCACTTTTTGTCTTCTTCTTCCTCAGTTTGAACTGCTGTACTTCCATAAAGCGCCATTTACTCACGCGCAACAATATCGTTGGTGAGTGAAAGTTTGGGAGGTGAGACGAGATGGGATTTTGGAACCTCTGTGTGACTTGGGTTGGTTGGTTAGAATAGAAAAGTGTTGGGAGCTAAAACTCCTGATTCCCCCCTCCCCCGCCTCCTATAGGTACCAGATGCTCTACCAGGCTGGGGTCTTTGTCTCTCGTTCCTCCGCCACCTGCATACGGATTCGGCACATATGGCTCCTTGCGGTGTTACAGGTAAAACATTCCCCTCGCCAACAGACACCTGCATGAATGATTCCTTTCTGCTCTTCCGAGACATGTTCATCCCCCCATTTCTGTTGTAATGTTGATGTTGCAATCCAAGTATTGTGATCTTTCTCTGCCAGTGAACGCGTGGTCTTATACGGAATCACATCCTTGGTCTATCTAGCCCAGTTCTGTAGAGTCTGCAGGGAGGCCTTGCTATCTGAGCTCCTTTCAGCTGGGGATGCCAGGGACTGAACTTGGGCCTTTGTGTTTTGCTTCTGAGGTGGAGGAATGGGGTCACTCCTCCCACCTGCTTCGTAGGTGGGGCTATGCAAATGACTTGGAGTTTGGTCTGCTTCAGTGGGAGGAGACTCCACCAGTTTGTCCCACCTGCTTTTGAAGCAAGAAAAACTAGACTTCTGTGAACCTTTTGGAGGATGATCACACATTTATTGCACTGCAAATTGTCCTTCTGGATAGGCTGGCCTAGTCTCCTGTTGTGCCTTTAAGAACTGCCTGAGCAGCAGGAAGGAGCAGGCAGTGTTGCCTGCTAATGTCTGCAGAGCAGTGCCGAGTCTATTATTTTGGTCTGTTTTGAAGTCTCCTACCCTTGTCATATTTTCCTGTCCTGCTTATTTCCCATCACTGCCACCTTTCGCTCCTTTTTCCACAACAGACTAGCCTTATTGTTTTCTCCTCTACTTGTCAAGGTCTTGACATGCTATCTCTTTCTTCCCCTCTCCAACCTAGTGCCTGAACATGGTGTTCCTCTCGGTCGCTGTGTCCAAAATGTTTCTACCCAGCATCTATATAGTTTTCGCTCTGGTACTCTACGAGGGATTACTGGGAGGAGCTGGTTACGTGAACACTTTCCACTGCATCAGTGAAAAGGTGAGCTTGGCGGGGGTGGGGGGGAGATGGTGGCCCAATGGGGAAGAATGTCAATGGAGCACCCAGGAGGGTGAGACTTCAGTCACGTGACTGAGGGGTAGAGGAAAGGCATATCACTCAGAGCTTGAGAGAGATGAGCATGAGGCCAGTTCCCTTATTTGGAGGGAGCAAGGAACAAGCAAGTGGACCTCTTTTAACCAGTTAGAGGGGTGTGTGTGTGTAAACACCTCTCTCCTCTTTCCCCTTCCCCTGCTCCAGCAAAGCCTTTTTGTGTTGCAGAAGACACTTGGGGGAGGGAAGCAGGTGCCTGGGAAGCTCAAAAGAAAGATGACAGTGACTAGGAATAGTACCTCCCATTTTCAGAAGACATAGTAGAGGATCACTGTCTAATATATATCATCATCATCATCATCATCATCATCAATCTTTTTACAGTCCAGAGACCCAACAAATCATTACAAAGCAATACACAATTCATACAGCCTACCTCCAGGTTAAACAAGCATTTTGTTCAGAATATAGGGATCATTTGTTCTTGCAACCACCGATAAAAACTTTGCCACTGCTAATGTTCTAGCATTTGTCCAGTCTTCCAATAGGAACCTGACATAGTGAGCCTCTGATTTCCCCGGGAAAGGTACCAGCAAGGGTAGTATCAGTTCAGCCCTGGCTTGCTCATATTTTGCACAATGCAACAAAATACGTTTTATGGAATCGATGTCTTGAGCACACGAGCAAAGTCTGTCCTTGTAGGGAACTCCTCTCAACCTGCCATCCAACACTGCAGAAGGAAGTAACTTGGGTAAGGTACCATATAGCTGGAAACATGCTAATATATATATATATATATGTATTCTCTCTCCTCCTTCCTCCCTCTAAATGCAGAGCAAGCCGGAGCACCGTGAGTTTGCTATGGGAGTTGCTTGTATAGCTGACACGTTGGGCATCTCGCTTTCAGGGGCTGTTGCTATCCCTATTCACAACCATTTCTGTCGCCTCCCTTGAGGCCCACTTCCCAGAGGGACCAACGGATGCCTTGACTTACCACATGCCTGTTCCTGAATAGTACATTTCCCAGTATGGAGGAGGGAAAGATACTGGGATGCCTGTGCTTATGCCTCCTCCTCAGGCTGTCAAAAGAGGAGAAAGGAGGCACGCGGAATTGAGGTGTCGGCTTTTGGCATTAATTTCCTCGTCTGTTTTGATTTTGGAGAGCATTTTATTTTAACTGAGCCTGAATGGGAATCTACTTTTATCCCATGTTGCACAGCAGTGGGAGGACCTAATCAGAGCACACAATGACAGATGGATGGGAAATCATGTTCTGCAGTTTGTAGGGGGGAAACATGTGAATGTTGCATAAAATAGGTCACACAGCACATCCTTGTGTTGGGCAGGGGAAGCAGAGGAGGAATATTTAGTGTGACACTCCTACGTAACCAGAAGATACTGCAGAAATGGGATGTGCAGCTGCATAAGTGCATTAATAACTATAGATAAATACGGAAGGAGGGAACGAAGATTGTTAGGGTGAGATGCACGCTCAATTCAGAAAGGGGCAAGGATAATAATTTTGCACAGTAATCAATTTCTGTCTCAAGCTCAATCAATAAACCAGTCATATTTCAATTATTGCTGTGTTGTTGCCCTTTTTCAAAGATATACCAATTATGGTACGGGCTGATATGTTTGGGGGATTTGTTGAGACAGTGGCTAGAAGTAGTGAATGGAAGTAGCAAGGGTGCAAATTTTGGCTCAGAACATTAACAGAAAACTTCCTAATGGGAAGAGCTTTTTGACAGTGGGAAATGCTGCCTGAGGAGGTAGTGGTGTCTTTCATTGGAAATATTTAAGTACAAGGTGGACACCCATCTGTCAGGAATGCTGAAGTTGTAAGATTCCCGCACTGCGCACAGCTGAACTAGAGGATACCCAGGGACTCTTCTAGCTCTAAAATCTCCTCTTCCCCAGTGTATGCATATTTGTACAGAATGAAACATATTTTAAGTAAGGTTTTTAATCTTTGTCGTCGGGGTAGGTAACAAACAATAAAGCCACAATAATGTAGGAGTTAAAAGAGTGTTGGAGATGCGAGTTCAAATTCCTGCTCACCTGCAAAGCTTACTGGTGACACTGTGCAAGACACACTTTCTCTGCCTAACCAAACAAGCAGTGTGGTGGGGATACAGAGAGAGGGCATGTGTTATTTATGTTATTAAAAGTATTTATAAACTGCTTTAAATTTCTTTGCCACCCTTCATCCGAGCACAGGGCGGTTTACAATACAGTCGTACCTTGGAAATCGAACGGAATCCATTCCGGAAGTCCATTCGACTTCCAGAACATTTGGAAACCAAACTGCGGCTTCTGATTGGCTGCATGAAGCCCGTCAGACATTCAGCTTCCAAAAGTAGTTTGCAAACCGGAACAGTCGCTTCTGGGTTTGCGGCATTTGGGAGCCAAAACATTCAGGAACTAAGCTGTTCCAAAACCAAGGTACAACTGTATTAAAAAAATACACAATGTAGCAAGCAAAAACAATAGCCCACAGTTTAAAAGGCCATAGATTGTTTAATTAACCAAAGGTCTGGGAGAAGAGGAATGTTTTTGCTGGTGCCTGTTTTCTTTTACATTTCTAAGCAGAGTGCACACAATATACAAACCAACCTAATAACATGTTATTGGCACCAGTCTGTCTTGGGAGACAATGAAGAAGTGTGCCTTTTGGGGGTGAAGACATATTGCTGGAAGTTTACGGTGCCTGCTGCAGCTGTAGAGACCGATATGGGAGAGACATGCCTTGTTGCAGCTCAGGCAGATAGCAGGAGAACAAATAAACATAAAAATAGAGATCTAGTAGTGACACAAGTTCCAATTTTCTAGAACAAGGAATGCCTGTATATTACCATATGTCTTTGTAGGATATCCAAAGCAAATTATGCTTCAACGATGTTCCAAAGTACAAGGGCAGCAGCTGAAAATACTCATTTGTGCGCCAACGCTTTTCTGATATTATACAGAGTGCGTTGCCGCAAGTAAAATTTCTCCAGATGATGCAAGTGATCTTAACAGATCTATGCAAGGGCAGACAATCTTTCATGTGAGCCTGGTCCAGATTTCTTAAGGCTTTCTGCATTAGCAAAAATACCCTGAATATGGCCTGAGAGCAAATGCACCTCCTTTGGCACAGGTGTTGAGTCCAGAGGTTATTGCAAGAAAGACAGGATAAACAGATGGAACAGTTTAGGAAATTCCTAATTTAAACCGTTGTGCTTTTAACTGGGGTAAGTAAGGGGAGCAAAGATTCGCCTGCGTCACCGTCGATGACTAAAGTAGTGAAATGGTTATTTTCCAGAAAATACGGTACAGAATCATTGCTCTGAAGCACCACCACGGCGAACAAAACGACAAACATTGCCTTTGCAGTTAAGGGCAATGACGTCTGCAACTTAAAACACCCAGCATCTCTATTTGGACTACAACTCCCACCATCCCTTTCTCCAGGTCACTTTGCCGCAAAGTTTAAGACCATAGAAATTAAAATGTAGAATCTCTCTCTCGGTAATAATGGAAAGCCGCCTCTGTAGTCGTGATTTCCGCCCCGCCGCCCCCCCCCACCTTCCGAATGGACAAGGGGTGCCGCTCTAGAATTTAGCATCTCTATTATCTTAGCATTTCCCCTCTTGGGAAGGAAGTAGTCATCAGGGCCGCGCCGGGGTGTTGATGAGCCTGCAGAAGGCTTTGCGCATGCGCAGTGGCCGCGGGAAGCGACGCGCCTTCATTTTACCAGGCCCGGGCCGGGTAAGCGCGTGCGAGAGGCGCGGTTCTTGGGGCCCCGGCGGAGGAAGGAGGCAAACCCCGAAGGTCAGGGGAGGGAGGAGTAGGAGGTGTCCGAGGGGGGCCCCACCGGCTCCCTGGGTGGCCTTCGCTCTAGGAGGAGGGGGGTTTTGTCCCCATTGGGGAGATGCGTGCTTGTCTGTTTGGGCTGTCGGAGTTTTAAACCCAGCTGAGTGTTTAGAACATTTATACTGATGAGGTTTATATGTAGTTTTATGTAATATATGCATTGGCATAATCCCTGGTGCGCTGTTGGTGATCTCAGTTCTCTGAGCGCTGGTCCTTCCTGGAGCCAAAATGGCTCCACTCCTAGCAAAGAGGAAGGATCGCGGCAGGATTGGGGGAGGCCCGAGGCTTCCAGAAGTAGCGTGTGGGGGGGGGGAGTTCAGTTTCCCACTCAGTGATGAACCTCACTGGATGAGCTTGGGCCAGTCACTGTCTGTCAACCTTCTCAAGCTGCTTGTGAGGATAGAAAGGGGTTGGGTGAGAGCAGAAGGATGTAACCCTCAGGCCCTCACAATGCTGGACAACAACTCCCCATCATCCCTGACCATTGGTTTTGCTGGCTGGGACTGATGGGAGTTGCAAGTTCAACATCTGGAGGGCCAGATGGATGAAAGGTGTGATAAACATAATATAAACCAACATCAGTGTGCTTGATGTTTTATGAGAAACACAAAATGACAGTCTGTGCCCTGAGATGCTTATAGCCTGCAGTTTGGTCTGCAGGGAGGCATAGAACAGCTGTCTCTTGCCCATTGCTGTACTCTGTTCCCATCAGCCATGGCCAATATCGGGATGATGGGAGTTATCGGCTGAAACATCTGGAAGGTGCCAGGCTGAAGAAGGGATGATAAACATGAGAAGAATATGCAATTAGCTAGTTATATGTGCTTAGGCTTAGTTTCCATTTAGGCTGGTGACAAAGAAGTTTGCTGGGGTTTATATCAAAGCACGCACAATAATTAATTCAACGACCATTTTGCATGGGGATTCTGTTCCTGGCCCTTATGTGCGTCAGCGGAGTGTGCATAAGCTCGCTCCTCCATGTTCTTCCCTCTTCTAGATCCAAAAGGACCCACACATCAGTGGTCTTGTATCAGTTGGACACACCTAAAATGGTTGCTGCCTGCATACCAGGTGTTGACATTATAAATGGAAGCAAATGAACTCACCCTTGATATGATCATTGCACTCACTGGGCCTTTGGCTTCTTATCTTTCCCATCCAGAATTGGGAGCAGTGGGTTGCTGACAACCCAGAGCCACTGCCGCCATGTCGCGTTTCTTTACCACTGGCTCGGACAGTGAGTCGGAGTCGTCACTTTCTGGGGACGAGCTTGTAGCGAAGCCTGTTGGGGGCAATTTTGGAAAACAGTAAGTATCTGGGGGGAGGGCTGGGAGAACTTGAATGAGAGGGTGGGAACAGAGGTTCCCAGGGAGTGATGAGTTGGAAGAAACAGACGGATGCCAACAAGAAAAAGGGGAAGCATTTCTGATTTAAAAGTCAGAAACAGGTAGTGAGGACCACATACACATACTTTAACCTGAACCCAATACACCCATAAGATACCTGTCTTGGGATTCCAGACCAAGCATCTCCTACTTCTGGGTTGTGCACTGCCTCTTCCTCTCTCTGCCCTCACCTCTCTCACCTCCTTCCACCGATCATTGATAGCAGGGATCCATTGCCTGTTTCTTTCCCTTTCTTGTAGGCCTCTGCTGTTGAGTGAAGATGAGGAAGATACAAAGAGGATTGTGCGCAGCGCAAAGGACAAGAGGTAAAGTGTGGTTGGCTTTGTGGGAGAAGTGGCCCCTCTGGTTTCTGGAGGGCTGCACCAATGCCGCATTTTTGGGTAGCTGGCTAATTTCCCGTCCTGTTGAGCAGCATGTTGGTGGCATGTTGGTGTTCTCTAAGGGCATATCAATGCCCCAAGCTTAACCATTCCTTCTTTGTTCTTCCCTTACTGCAGGTTTGAGGAGCTTACAAACTTGATCAAAACAATACGGAATGCCATGAAGATCCGGGATGTCACCAAATGCCTAGAGGAGTTTGAGCTGCTGGGCAAGGCCTATGGCAAGGCCAAGAGCATTGTTGACAAGGAGGGCGTTCCCCGCTTCTACATCCGCATCCTCGCAGACCTTGAGGACTACCTCAATGAGGTACAGGGACCAGCAGGGAGCTTTTGGGTCCACAAAGTCCCTGTGCCTGGCTCAAGAGGGTTTCGTGACAATTTCAGAAGTCTGGTAGAGTCTGACACCTAGGGCTAAGGGGAAAAGAGGGAATCTGTTCTCCTACCCACCCACCCCAACAAAGAATTATGAGCTTCGTTGCAAAAGGGAGCTGAATGTAGAGCTCCCAGGATCAACTTTGATGCCTTTTTGGTGTCTCCTTTTACTGCCTGTTTGTTCCTACATGAATGGAGTTGGATTCAAGGTATGGGTGCTAATTGGGGAGAGAAGTGCTCTGAAACAGTTGAGCAGTGGAGTCAATGCTCATATCTGAAGGGCCACCTTCTCCCATGTGGATCTTCCTATTTGTTAAGATCTGAACACACACCCCACTTTGGCGATTAGCCAGGTGATGACCAAGGACATGGTCTTTTGGTAGTGGTGTTCTGTTGGCCTCCCCAGAAATAGCCACCTAGCATCTGCTTATTTACTGTGCAGGAGCCAAGTTTAAATGTGTGTTGTGTTCTTCATGTTGCTCCTAGTTTAGTGTATCATCTTGGCATGGATGTTGGTTTTCAAAACACGTAGTTTTTGTTGTAAAGCTGTTGTGTTCTGTAAGCTACCTTGAAGGCTTTGCAGAGTGGAACTGGAAAATTGAATGTCTGAAATATATAGAGAGCAAGAAGGCATATAGGGAAAGTGAGAGCAAGATGCCATCCACCTGCCTCTCATCCAAGGTACTAGGGCAGCCTATATGGTTGCTCTCTTCCCCATCCCCACGATAGCCCTGCAAGGTAGGTTCAGCTGAGAAAAGGTGACTGAGCCTAAGACACTTCACAGCTTTCTGGGAATTTGAACACAGATCTCTGGTCCCAGCTCTGATACCCACTGTTGCACCATTCTGAGCCTTCATGTAGCACTGGGATGGGGAGTGGTAACAAGCCAATCCCACAGACCCAAGACTCTGGGATCCTGAAGGGAATAGCTAGAGAGCAAAATGGCTGTCCTCTTGCACATAATTTGGTTTGCATGTTTAGAGAAAAAGGGAGATAGGCTGGTGTGTGGACCAAATGGCTATGGGCTGCCTGTAATTTCATCTCCCTTCTGGCTTTCGTAGCTCTGGGAGGACAAGGAAGGCAAGAAGAAGATGAACAAGAACAACGCCAAAGCCCTAAGCACCCTCCGCCAGAAGATCCGGAAGTACAACCGAGATTATGAGGCCCAGATCATGAGCTACCGCCAGGTACTGATGCATGGTTGGGTGGAGGGCATTCCAGGGAGGCGGCTGAGACATTGGGAATTATGTAGAGCTCAGTCAGTGCAGCATGAGACTCTTAATTTCAGGGTTGTGGGTTTGAGCCCCATGTTGGGCAAAATATTCCTGCATTGCAGGGGATTGGGCTACATGACCGTCATGGTCCCTTCCAATTCTATGAATCCCTTAGGACCTCTGACCTTCAAGATGTTGCTGGACTCCCAGCTCCCATCTGCCCCAACCAGCATGACCAAGGGTCAGGGAAACTGGGAGTTGTAATTCAGCAAGATCTGGAGGTCCACAGTCACTGTCCTTGCTTTAGGCAAAAGGGTTGATTACTGGCTTTGCCAGTTGTGTTAAGCATGGGTAGGCAAACTAAGACCCGTGGACCGGATCTGGCCCAATCGCCTTCTAAATCCGGCCCACGGACGGTCCGGGAATCAGCGTGTTTTTACATGAGTAGAATGTGCCCTTTTATTTAAAATGCATCTCTGGGTTATTTGTGGGGCATAGGAATTCCCCCTCCCCCCCAAAAAATATAGTCTGGCCCCCCACAAGGTCTTAGAGACAGTGGACCGGCCCCCTGCTGAAAAGTTTGCTGACCCCTGGTGTTAAGGCTCAGGTGAAAAAACAGGTGAAAGCGGAAGGGAGGGTTTGGAGGAGTCAGGCTGTGCTGGAAGAGCGATTCTGTACGGTTCAAATTAAAGAAGAGTACCCAACATGCATCTTGACCACATGTCTGCTTTCGCCTAGAACCCCGAACAGTCAGCTGATGAAGATGAGGACAAGAAAAGTGACGATTCAGAGGGTGAGTGGTGATGATGGTGTGTAGGAGATGGAAGCTGTGCAGCTCACTGGCTAATCCTTCTTTGTGTGAGGCGGGGAGCGGGATTTGAGATTTCCCCTCTCAGTGACACACCCCGCTTTCTGGCTTCAGGCTCCTCCTCTTCTGGTGAGGATGACGATGAGGGAATGAGCGCCGCGGCTTTCCTGAAAAAGAAAGAGGGGGCAGCTGAGGGACGGGGCAAGTTTCTCAAAAAGATGGAGGTAAGAGCTGAACGGGGTGGGGCGGGGGGGGGGGAGACACATTGTGGTGCCCTCCTCTGGCCAGCATAGGCATGGCATCCGGTGCTTCCCTCAAAGCAGCTGCCAGAAGGATTTTTGTGCCAAGCAACTCAGAGGGGAGGAAGGCAAAAGATCACTATTCCTTTTGCAGCACAAAATAATAATCCAGAAGCGTGGGGAACAGGAACAGTTCCCATGGGACTTCTGTTGCTCTGTGTCACTTTATGGCCCTCCCTGGCTGAATCTGAGTGAAAACTTTTTTCGTCACATGGTTTGCTGGTGCATAATTTTTCTTCTCTCCAATCCCCCCTCCCCCCCCCGCTCTTGGCAGGATGAAGATGAAGAGGAGGAGGACTCTGATGATGATGAAGACTGGGGCTCGTCAGATTCAGAATCTGACTCCGAGTCAGATGAAGATGAGGGCAAATACACCTCCTTGGCCTCCAAGTTCCTTAAGAAGTAAGGAGGCAGCTTCTATGGGTTCAACACTTCCCGTCATCTTTGGATGACAGTCTCCAGACCTCTGGCTGAGGGAACTGTCAGTTGTGAATCTACCTTTGATCACAATCTGGAATTTCAGACTCAGGACCTGAAGGTGGAACACTGTGTGTTGTCCTGTTCACCCAGCTCACTTCTGAGCCTGAGTTGTTGAGGAGCCAGACCCCTTACTTTGACCCTTGCTCACTGCTTTAGGTGGCAGCATCCATGTCAGGGCACAATGGATGTCTATGGTGCAATGGTAGTTAGCTATCTCACATTAGGGGAGCGTCTTAAAGTTTGATGGACACTTTTAGATCTGAGAAATAATGGCCCCATCTGGGCTGTGACAGGTGCTCTGTACCATGGAGCAGATTTGTGCTCTGTTCCCCCAAGAACAGAAATAAAACCAAGAATTGCAGGGAAGTAGATCTTGGCTAAACAAGGGGTGGGGGACCTCAGGTCTGGGTCTCTGTAGGTGAGTTTTTAAGCTTCTGCATTGGACATTTTGGTGACTGCATAGGTCTGGATCAAATAAGCTTTTTAGTCTGGCTTTGTTAGTGCTTGAACTGTGGTCGAGGCCAGTGGCGGGGTCTGGGCTTGTATGGTTCAGGCAACTCAGGAAGTAAGAATTCCAGGTCAAAAGGGGGATTCAGTCCTGTTTTAATTCTCCCTGACCAGAACTGGCACTGAGGAGGACAAAAGAGTTTTGGAGAAGAAGCGGGAAGAGAAGGCAAAGAAAAAGCAGGACCGCAAATCCAAGAAATATGAAGATGATGAAGATGACAATGAGGGTGGCGAGTGGGAGAAGGTTAAAGGAGGTGTCCCTCTGGTCAAGGTGAGTCTCTCTCTGCAAGCAGTTGGGAGTGTGGGAGTAGAACGAACTGCATGGTGTTGCTGCCTTTATTTTTACTTCTCTCCATCTTCTAAACATGATTTGAGCCTAACATTCCTCCCCCCCCCCACCCTGCCTTGCAGGAGAAGCCAAAGATGTTTGCCAAGGGTACAGAGATAAACCACACTGTAGTCGTGAAGAAACTCAATGAGATCCTCCAGGCCCGTGGAAAGAAAGGCACGGATCGGTAAGGCCAATGAGCGTTGATGTGGTGGAGTGGAGGGGAAGGTGGCCTAGGAGACCGCGCTTGGGAAAAACTGAGCGTGGTTCTCGTTACCTCGCCTCTAGAAGGCTGCTGCAGAGCTGCAAAAGGTTCAGAAAAGAGCAGCTAATGATTGACGGCTTGGACAACTCTGAAAGAGAATTAGACAAATCCATGGAGGATAAGGCTGGCAGTGGCTGCTTAACCCTGATGGCTGTGTTCTGTCTCCCCTGTTGGAGGCAGCATGCTCCTGGGTACCAGTTTCTGAGCATCACAAGTGCAGAAAGAGTGCTCTCATGCTCAGGCTCTGCTTATAGGCTCCTTGTAGGTAGGCCTTTGGTTGGCCACTTTAAGAATAGGACGCCAGACTAGGTAGGCCTTTGGACTGATCCAGCAGCATCTGCTAAGTATTTTTAACTGGAGGATGGGACTTGGGACGTTCTGCATGCTGAACCCACATCCTCCGACCCTTCCCTATAGACATTGCTCCCAACCCTCTGCAGCAGATTCTTAGGAGCGGGGGATAGAATTCTGTTGTGCAAGTGGAAGCCTGTTCCAAAGCAGAAATGCAGTGTTGGATCCCAGGTATATCTACTGCCGGATATCCTAAATAGGACAAAGGGTGGCGCATAAATGTTTTAAGTGAATCGGAAAGTGATGAAAATGAAGGGGGTTCACACGGGTGTCAGTGGTTTTGGCACAGGGCACAAGGAGGGTTGTGCAGAGTTGGGGATGTATCTCAAAAGAAGCATGCCCGGCCATCTGCTTCCCCCGCCCCCCTTCTGCACTGAGCTCCTTCACCTCCTTCCCCCTCCTAGAGCGGCTCAGATTGACCTTCTGCAGCTTTTGGTTGGAATTGCGGCAGAGAACAACCTGGGGATTGCCATCGATGTCAAAATCAAGTTCAACATTGTTGCTTCTTTGTATGACTACAACCCTAACTTGGCTACTTACATGAAGGTATGGAATTAGGAGGGGAGGGGAGGAAGTGGCCTGAAAGCACGGCACGTGCATAGGGGCCACAGGAAGCAGGCGGTTTCTTTCCCAGAATGCCAGGGGGCCTCAGTGTTTCCCTCTTCACTCCTCTTCTCCCACCACATGCAGCCAGAGATGTGGCAGAAATGCCTGGGCTCCATTGAAGAGCTCCTGGACATCCTCTTTGCCAACCCCAACATCTTCATTGGCGAGAACATCGCAGAGGACTCTGAGAACCTGGCCAACAGCGAGCAGGTGAGCATTTCCGAGGCAGGCGTCATTTCTCCCCATCCTTGGGGCATCCTGCAAACCCGGTAAGATGGGCTAGTTTGAAATCTACAAGAAGCAGCAGGTGGGAGGCTGGTACAGATTGGTAGGTCAGGAAAGAAAAAGGCTTTGGACTATATGGAACTGGCAGAAATGACCGGCCGAATCTGAGACCAGGGAGAAGAGTGGGTGGAAGAAGATTGGAAGAAATTTAAAGACTATCTACAGAAATATTGTAAAATTAATGAATGTTAGAATGATGTTGGATGAAAAGTTATGTGGTTTTTAGCTATAACGCTATAAGGAGTATGAAAAAAAATGGACTATTAACAGACAAAAAATTAATGTTACATTATTTTAAGATTAAAGATTAGGATAAACAAAGAGGGGAAGGATTTGCTGAACTAACAAATTGAACTGGAATACAAAAAGGGAGGTGTGAGGAGGTCCGGGAAATAAACAAATGAAAGAAAGTGATGGAAAGATGGAATTGTTTTTTATCTATTTTTATTTTGTATTTTTCTTTTTTCATTTTGTAAAATTCTAATAAATATATTTAAAAAAAGAAAGAAAGAAAGAAAAAGGCTTGTGTGTGTTTGCCTAGCAGTCTTGACCCCTTTAACCCACTTGTGTCTCTCTCCCTCTCTAGCCCTACCGTGTTCGTGGCTGCATTCTGACTCTGGTGGAGCGCATGGATGAAGAGTTCACAAAGATCATGCAGAACACAGATCCCCATTCCCAGGGTGAGTGTGCCTGTCACAGAAAGTGGGGTCTCGGAGGCATAGCCAGGGTGGAGTTGGACTGAAAGTTTCAGCTAGTGGAAAGCTGGTGTGGAACAGGGAACTTCTCAAACAGAGGGAACCCTAAGGAATCTGTGCTGTATTTTCCCCTGAAAAGACACCTCTGCCAGCTGTTTGCCTCTTTTGGAACAATCCCTCAAGAACCAGGGATTGAACTCGGAATGTTTGCCAGCCTTTTCTGTTTTTGTGCCTCCCAGTTTGCTTGCTTGCTACAAAAAGCTTTTTTTAAAAATGACTTCGGAGCGTCTTTGAAAAATAAAAAGTTTAGCAAAAGCAGCAGGTCAGAAAACTGAGTAGGTGGTAGAAAGTGGCCGAATGCCTTGGAAAAAGGTCACCCAGTCTAAGCAGAGAGGATCTGTATGTTTTCATGTCTCTTAACTCGGCAGTCATGTGGACTAGAAACATGCTCTTTGGGCCCCAAAATGGGAAGCTGGGGTTTCTCAGGAGTGTCAGATTCTTCATGGCAAATAGGGAGAAGCCGGCAGCCCCAGCTCTAAAGACTGCCATGTGAACGCATGTTCCCCTTTCCACCAGAGTACGTGGACCACCTGAAGGACGAGGGCCGAGTCTGCAAGATCATCGACCGGGTGCAGAACTACCTGCAGGACAAGGGAACCACGGAGGAGGTGTGCCGCATCTACCTGCGCTGCATCCTCCACACCTACTACAAGTTTGACTACAAGGCTCACCAGCGGCAACAGGGCCCGGCAGGAGACAGCAAGGTAGGCCAGCCTCTGGGGCAGCAAAGCCCCCCCACCAGCCGTCCTTGCTTTGCCCAGGGTATTCGCACTCTGCGGTTGCACCCATAGGTTTTGTGCTTGGGGCATAACCCCATGGATGAGAAGATGTTTCTCATGCCCTAAATTGTCAAATGCATAAGAAGCTTTCATGTATCTGGTCGTACTCACCCTGCTTTTGACCAGCACGGCCTGCTCTGAATGGTAGCTTCTCTCCAGGGTCTTAGGCAAACCTCTTTCTGTTGCCTTCTGAATGGAGCCTTCTAACTGGAGATAACTAGGGGATTGATCCTGGGGCCACGGTCAGGCAAAGCACTATGCCAGCGGTGGAAAACCAGTGACTCCCACCAGGTGTCTCTGTGGATTACAAGTCCCATTGCTCCTGACCATTGGCTGTGCTGGTGAGGGTGATAGGAGTTGGAATCCACCAGTATCTGGAGGGCCACCTCTGCACTAAGCCATGGCCTATTCCCAAAATAAGGTTTGGAAATGATACTGTCAGGCTGGGAGAAGTTGAGGTGGATGCTGAGGGTTTGGCCCGGAAGCTTCATTGTGATTCAGTTTAGCTGCCATGGCTTCTTTCAAAGGATCCTAGGACCTGTGTGTGTGTGTGTGTGTGTGTGTGTGTGTGTGTGTGTGTGCGCCCAGAACTACAGTTCCCAGCATTCCTTGGGGCAGGGGAAGTCCTGACAGTCATTCTAATTTGAAAACTGGTTTCAGGTTTGCAAGTTGGACAGGGCCCTTAGTATTGTACCAGCGAAGGAAGACCGTGAAAGTTGAGGGGCAATTGATATACTAAGTTTTGGGTAACCAACCTGGTCCCCTCCAAATAGGGTTGGACTCCAACTCCCATCAGCCCCAGCAAGCATGGCCAACGGTCAGAAATGATGGGAACTGGAGTCCAACAATATCTGGAGGTTTGCTATCTCTATGCAAGGGTAACATTTTGGTATTGGGGAGAGGGACTCCTCAAGCTAAAGGACATGTTGCATAACCTGCTTGCCCGCAGTCGGAACAAGACCAGGCCGAGAACGAAGCAGAGGACTCGGCGGTGCAGATGGAGCGCCTCTGCAAGTTCATCTACGCCAAGGACAGGACAGACCGGATCCGAACCTGCGCCATCCTCTGCCACATTTACCACCACGCCCTGCACGACCGCTGGTACCAGGCCCGCGACCTGATGCTCATGAGTCACCTGCAGGACAACATTCAGCATGCAGACCCCCCTGTGCAGGTCAGAGAACAAAACTGGGGAGGCTGGGGCGTATGCTGTGTTGCTGATGGTTTATTGAAGCAGTCTTAGTGGATTTGAGTCACAATAAAAGCCAGTCCTCCAAGAACAGGGAATGAGAGGCTCGGAGTGGCTGCCTTGCCCCGCCTAAGAAGCTGCAAGTTGCTGATGCAGACGATTGTAAAGGGTTTGGAGAGGAGCAGAGCCCCCTCTCCTTGCTGCTCCATGCTTTTCCTCCTGTATGTGGGCCACACTTGCATCTGGTGACGCCAGCCACAACATCCTATGTGGTTGATGAGACTTCCTCTCCTAACTTCACAATGCCACTGCCCCGCTTGGCAACCTGCTGTCTGCAGAAGCTGCCTTGGGGCGAAAAGTGGTGGGCGAAAAGGGCCAGGAGCGGTAGATGGTAACATAAAGGAGTGGCAGAGAATTAATGGAGGCTGGAGAGGGTTGACAGAGTGCAGCAGTGCCCATTTGTGTCCCACCCTTATTACAAAGGAGCAGTTGCAGGAAGCGAATGTTTGGGGAGTGGTTTTTCAGGTGCTGCCTTTTGGAGAGGGCAGCTGGGTCTCCGCCTCCACCTCCTCTGACCTTCTCGGCTCTTGCAGATTCTGTATAACCGGACAATGGTGCAGCTGGGGATCTGTGCCTTCCGCCAGGGCATGATCAAGGATGCCCACAACGCCCTGCTGGACATCCAGTCGAGCGGGCGGGCCAAGGAGCTGCTGGGGCAGGGCCTGCTGATGCGCAGCATGCAGGAGCGCAACCAGGAACAGGAGAAGATTGAGAAGCGCCGCCAGGTCCCCTTCCACATGCACATCAACCTGGAGCTGCTGGAGTGCGTCTACCTGGTCTCGGCCATGCTGCTGGAGATCCCCTACATGGCCGCGCATGAGTTTGACGCCCGCCGGCGCATGATCAGCAAGCAGTTCCACCACCAGCTCCGGGTGGGCGAGCGCCAGCCCCTTCTTGGTTAGTGGCTTTCCTCTTTTCACCGTGAGATGCATTTCTGGGTACGCTGGCCAGGGGGCTTCTTTTCCTCTGTCATGCCGGGCCTTCTAACAAGAATCTTCCCAGGCTTGACTTAGAATCCTTCCTGTCTCTCTGGGCAAATAATGGGCTCTTCGAGGCAATTGCAGGTCTGGGCCTAGAGGTGCTTGAATGCTGCAGTCTGTTGGTGTGTTAAGCAAAGGAGCATTTTGCTTGTTTGCCTCTTCCTAGTTTCTTGGGGAGGGGCAGATTTTCCTTTGGCCTATGTGACATCGCCAGGCATGATCCAGGGTTCACAAAAGTTGTCTTGCCACGTTAGCCAGCCTCCCACTATGGTTCACTTGCTTTGGCACCGTTTCCCAAACTGCTTCTTGTGTTCTGTTGGTTCTATATTTTTTTAAAAAGTTGCTCCCTCATCTTAATTTGGCAGCAGTTTATTATTATTATTTTGTAAATGCATATTTATCAGAACTGCAGGTGGCACTCGACACCTTGGAGTCATTCAATGCTGTGTTGGAAAACAGAGCAAACGATTCTTCACAGATGATGCCTGCTGCCAAATTGTGTGTCTTTGTTTTTCCTTTACAGCTACTTTTACACATCCTTCCATAACTATTTGTTTAAACCTAAGAAAAAAATCAACTGAAGTTATGCAGATTTCTCTAATAAGTTTTATTTTTATTGGATTATTTATTTATTTATTTTGACACAAGGGCTAGAAAAAAATCTTTTTCTGGATACAAAAATGAAAGCTGGTTTTTGTTTGCATTGTCTTCATGTGCAATAGGATGTTAAGGGGATGTGGCCTGCCTTGCTAGCTAATCAAAATCCTGTTCACCAAGACAAGGAATGCCTTCCCCATTTGATGACCTCTTCCCCCCTCCCCCCCATCTTTCTTCAGGCCCCCCAGAATCAATGAGGGAGCATGTGGTGGCAGCATCCAAGGCTATGAAGATGGGCGACTGGAAGACGTGTCACCGTTTCATCGTCAATGAGAAAATGAACGGGAAGGTCTGGGACCTGTTCCCCGAGGCTGACAAAGTGCGAGGCATGCTTGTCCGGTCAGTTGCATGGGAATGGGGTGATGGGGCAGTTCCTCCATAGAATCGTAGAGTTGGAAGGGACCCCGAGGGTCATCTAGTCCAGCCCCCTGCAATTGCAGGAATATGCAGCTGTCCTGTAGAAAGCTGCCTTATCCTGAGTCAGACCATTGCTCTGTTTAGCTTGGGCGTATCCACCTTGATGGATAAAGGGGCGAAGCCTGGGACCGTCAGTGCTCCAACCCCTGAGCTATGGGGGCCATCTGTGCAGGCTAGGAGGGGAGGGCTTGGGACACAGATCTTGAAATGGAGAAGAGGGACCAGAATTGGGATGTATGTGTTGAGAGCGGCCACCTTGTCTGTGTGCAGGTGGGTGCTGAGAGGCTGGGGGGGTGTCTGCCTGGGGACTGGAAAGCGTAGCTCTGCCCCCCTTTCGTGGATCTCTTCCTGGCTCTCATGACTGCTCCCCTCCCTTGTTTCTCCCTGGCAGGAAGATCCAAGAGGAGTCTCTCCGAACCTACCTCTTCACTTACAGCAGCGTCTATGACTCCATCAGGTATTGTGTGAGGGTCATCATGGCCTCCTGGTTGCTCTTTCAGCCTGGCAGCTTTTTGGCCAGGGTGTGAGTGGCGGATGTGGCATAAGTGGCTGAGTGCATCTTTATGGGTGCACATGTTGCTTCAGCATCCCCTCTGCAGGCTCCCTATCCATAAAATATATCAGTCAAAGGAATCCATCCTCTGTACATGGCACACTTGGGTACCTTCTCTGGTTGCCATTGACCTTTTTGGGTTTTCTGCCTGGCCGGCTGCCGATGGCTGAGTCTCACAAGCTCAGCTTCCACCTCTTTCTTCCTCTCTCTCTCTCTCTTCCCATGCCCCCTCCCCCAATTATACTTCCCTTTCTAGCATGGAGATCCTGTCTGATATGTTTGAGCTGGACCTACCCACAGTGCACAGTATCATTAGCAAGATGATCATCAATGAAGAGCTGATGGTGAGTGATGCTTTCTCGCATGGCAGACGGGTGGCTTGAGGAGACCTAGAGATGGGTGGCCACTACAGGAGGGGACCCTTGACCAGGAGAAAGTGGGTTGCCCTTGTACAAACCAGCTCAAGGGGTGTGGGAGAAGAGGGTCAGGGATGGGCTTCTGCAGCAGCCGCACCATGGACCCTTTTGAAAGAAATAAGAGGCAACGTGGGGTCAGCATGAGAAGCGAGTCGTCCAAATATAAGCCACCAACCAGTATAGGCCTCACCCCTAAAATGAGATCTCTTTGTGAAAGAGAAATATCTAAATCTCTGGTGTGCAGTCCAGTGCTTTTGGCAGTCTCCAGCCCCGTTGCACTATGAATAACTCAGTTGGCAAACAGGGTACTGAAGTTCCATGTGGTTCTCGAGGTCACATCTTAAATCATGGCTTCTCTTGCCTGTAAGTGCTATAGGCAGCGTCCAGGTTTAATACAAGCCAGATTTGGGAGGGAAAGTAGACCAACACTTTAGAAGTGTCTCTCCTTCGCTGGGTTTGTCTGAGCCTCCCAAATCTTGCCTTCCCAGGCCTCTTTAGACCAGCCGACCCAGACAGTTGTGATGCACCGGACGGAGCCCACGTCCCAACAGAACCTGGCGCTCCAGCTGGCTGAGAAGCTGGGCAGCCTCGTGGAGAACAACGAGAGGGTCTTTGACCAGAAGCAAGGCACCTATGGGGGCTACTTCCGGGGTGAGCCAGCGTCCTGGAAGCCAGTTGCAGCCACAGCTTCTTGCTTCTCCTATCTCCATTCCTTTAGCCACTTTGTGTCAGTTATCTGCCTGGGGACAAATAGGGCGACTGTTCCCATAAGTATCTATTTCTCTTTAAAAATTCTGGCCTTTGTGGTATGGGGCAAAAGCTAAGGAAACCAGTTCCCATTAATGATTGTCAGCTTCTCTTGGTTCCTTGCAGCCACAGCTTTACCTGCATCTCACCTGATCTTATATCAAATCAAATCCAAACTTTATTTATGGAGTCGAGTGAGTGGCAGGTAGGTGTGGCCTGCAAAAAAACAACCACATGGGCCTGATTGGCTGGCCTGAGTTGGCCCACCCGCTGGAAGTTACCACCCCTGCATTCTTTGAATGGTTTATCTGCTTTCCTTCCCTCATCACAGGATCCAAATCCTCCTTTGGTTCAGCACTTCTCCCTCTATACAGGACACAAAGATGACAGTTGTTCTCTCCCCGCATTTTCTAAATCCAAAGTGTGCCAATTTCACTGCAAAACGATGGTTTGTTTTGGTTGAAGAACCAGGAAGTGTGGACTCGAGAGCCACTTTGCTTTGGTCTCCGTGTACCTGTCTTGTTTTCAATAAGCTGCGCAGCAAACCCATTTCTGTTGTAATCTTGCTGGCCCACTTGTAGCTGAACTCTCTCTTCTCTCTCTCTCTCTCTCTCGCCCTCCAGACCAGAAGGATGGCTACCGCAAGAACGAAGGAGGCTACATGCGGCGTGGAGGGTATCGGCAGCAGGAGCGACAAAGCAACTATTGATTCTCTAAACCTTCACAGTAGAGTTTCCTGGTGCAGGGAAGATCTTATTCCAGTTCCCATTATTCAAATACTTAATAAAGAGTTTGTTTGGAGCGTGACTGGTCTGTGGTGTCTTTGGGAGCACAAGAAGCAGCGTGGGAGATGAGAACCAGAGTCAGGAATTCATTGCTGTTCTTGCTGCGTCCCAAGTGGCCACTGGGGGCATCACCCAACCTTTGCCCTTTGGCTTCAGGCAGCGGGGCCAAATGTGTCTTGGCCTCTCTTTGTGGATTTTGGCCCTCTTCCCATTCCATAACCCATATCTGCAGGCTGTGCCCCTCAGTGAACCTGCTCTGTGGTCTCCCCAAGTGTTTTTGCCTGCCCTGAATATGCCTCTTGCATACCTGGATGGAGAGATGTGCTCTGGCTGTGGCTGGGAGCCAGGTGACTCCCAGAATGTTGTCCTCAAGTTGAAAAAGTTACGGTACCTCCCCTGGAAGAACCCTGAGAATGAGTGAATGTAGCTGCCAGGAGTCCCACTGCAAGGAGAAGCGAATGATGGACAGTTTCAAGGCCGAGTCCATTCATTTACAAGCTGCCTCCCCCTGCATCACGCCAGCATCTGTACCTATTGGGAATTTGTCCACAACTGCACCTTTTTTAATTAAAGAGAAAACAAACAGATGAGACTGCTTCCTGCCGGGTGTTGAGGGGAAGCACAAGGAAGGGAAGATGAATTTCTCTGTGAGGTCACTAAGTGCATTGTCAAAGGACTTTGTCCTTAAAACCAAACTCCCCAGCTGGATAGGGCTCTCTCCATGGAGGAGAGGGACAAAGATGCTTCTTACTGAAGCAGAGCTGATTTATTGAGTTAATAAATATGGTGGTTCTGACAGGCTGAGTTTCAGTAGGGTGGCATCCAATGCTTTTTCAATTTAACAATATTTAGCAAAGCCCACTCCTGCCAAGGGTGTTGGTAGTGCTTTACCTGTCCTTACTGGACTGTCTGGCACTGTAATTTTGCTCAAGGTCAGAAAAATTACCACAGACCATGTCTTGTTTTTTAAAAGGGGGGAAATGCCGACAGGGAGTTGTAACCCAGCGTTAGTGGGACAGCCCACAGGCTGGCTTTGGGCTACAGTCCGGAGTGGCGTACTACCAAAAGGCAAGATTCCTGCACTTAACCAGGCCTACAGACAATCCGTTGCAGATTTCAGCAGTTTTAATGTCTCTCCTTAATTTCTTGTGATAGGGTTTTTTTAGTTCCATGTAAGCCTGGCTGGACGTCCGTATTAAGCCCTTGGCTCAGCTTCCGAAGCTAAAGCATTTATTTCTCCTTATCTTGGCAGGCCTCAGCTAAATCACCTTCAGTACTTAAGAACAGAAGCTGCAAAGTCTTGCGCTGCCTCCACTCTGGGTGGACTGCATTGCCTCACTGTATCTTCTGCCCTCTGCGCATTTGTAGGGCCCACTTTGGCAGGTGACCTAGTCTTTTTTAATTAGAGTTAATAAATTCCTCAGGGAGACCTCCTAAGACACACCTCTCAGTCCTGAGGGGAATGCCCAAGTCGGCCATTTTTGGACCATGTCCCAGCTACCTTGTGCTTGTGTGTTTAAGCAAAAACATGTTGAGTTTCCAGGCAGAAATGCAGAATGGCGCCACCCCACCCCACGGGGGAATTGTAGGTGGGAGTTATGTGCTTTGTCAGAGGCTGGCTTCTGTAGGAGCAGAAATTCTCAACCCTCTTAAGAAGAAGAAGAGTTTGGATTTAATATCCCACTTTATTACTACCCGAAGGAGTCTCAAAGCGGCTAACATTCTCCTTTCCCTTCCTCCCCCACAACAAACACTCTGTGAGGTGAGTGAGGCTGAGAGACTTCAGAGAAGTGTGACTGGCCCAAGGTCACCCAGCAGCTGCATGTGGAGGAGCGGAGACGTGAACCCGGTTCACCAGATTATGAGTCTACCACTCTCAACCACTACACTACACTGGCTCAACCTTTCACAGAAACAAGACACGATATGTTTGTCACTCTAAACTAGGGGTTGTCAACCTGGTCCCTGCCGCCCACTAGTGGGTGTTTCAGGATTCTAGGTGGGTGGTAGGGGGTTCTACGGCATAAGCTGAATCCTCCTTCCATCAAGCACTGGTGGGTGGTAAGGAAATTTTACCATCCAGAAAGATGCATTAGTGGGCGGTAGGTATAAAAAGGTTGACTACCCCTGCTCTAAACCAGGCATAGGCAATCTCGGCCCTCCACATGTTTTGAGACTACAATTCCCATCATCCCTGACCACTGGTCCTGTTAGCTAGGGATGATGGGAGTTGTTGGCCCAAAACATCTGGAGGGCCGAGTTTGCCTATGCCTGCTCTAAACCATTGGCTGCCATGCTATACCAGCCTCCCCCAACGTGGTGTCCTCCAGATGCTTCGAACTACGACTCCCATCATCCCTGGCCATCATCTGGAGCTCCAAAATGTAAGTGCTGTGATAGAAGGAAGGATCATGGAGTCTCAGAACAGTAGAGGGAGGGACCCAAAGTGCCATCTAGTCCAATGCGGGAATCACAGCTAAGGACCGACGGATTGCAAGTGTGGAATAAATGTGGTAGCAGTAAAATGGCCAGTTCCACAAATTGAAGTGGTCAAGTAGGTGATCCTTCAAATAATGGGTACCCTTCAAAAGAAACGGCCTCCGATGGGATAAAACAGTTGACTGCCTTGGAGTGCTGAAGTTTAATAAGTGACTTCTCCTCCTCAGCAGTTTTTCTACCCTACTAAGCTGCTCCCCCTCCACCTGCCCCCACTAACCTGCTGAGGCAGCACCTTGTCAGCTGGGTCTTGCACTTTTTCTCTACTTCACCCCTCCCACCGGGGGTTTCCTGCTGGCCCCAAACGCTGTGGGATAGGCAGCAGGTGCTACACTCTGTCCAGAGCCGTGGCCCTTGGACGGAGCTGGCGGCATGCTGAACTGCGGGCCTCGCTTGCCGCACCGTAGGCTGGCTTCCCTCTGGGCTCCCCAAGCCGCTTCTTCGAAATCTACATCTCCCCATCCAGCCCTCCAAGCTGCTGCGAAGGACCCCACGCCTGCCCATCTTTCCCTGAACTTGGACGATGGGAAGGTATTCCACCTGAAGAGCAACTGGGAGCTCACTCGGGGGCTGTTGGTGTTCCGGCTCTGCTCCTCCCCATGGCTGGTTCGGAAAGCGCCCACGGTGAGACCAAGGGGGGGGCCTCAGATCTTGACCCACTGCAGGCCACACACCCACGCAATCAATTCATTTCCAATCACCTGTAGTAGCTTAAGGGGTGCCCCAAAGTGCTCTGTTGTGGCTGGGGCGAGTGGGGTAGGTTAAGGGTCTTTGGGTCAAGCCGTGGGATGGGTCTGAACTGTATTCAAAAAGGAGTCTTGTTTCACCTTGTCTGCGACAAATTGTTGCAGCATGAAGCACTGCTGCTCCAGAGTCCAGTCACTCAATTCCCTTCCCATTCCTGCTGGTTCTTCTTGCCCCCACCCCCACTCCTCCAGGAGCCAGTCAACTTTTCAATAGGTGCTGAAGATTCATAGCCCTCATTTGCGATTATCTGCCCCTTCCCCCCCCCCAAAAAAAAATTTGTTGAACTTCTGCAAGCCTTGCGGGACTCCCCGGCCTGATGATACTGCCCTCTTGTGTGTTGATGGGACATTTTGACTCCATAAGCACCAACACACACAAAGCCAACATCAAAAATTACAGGGAACAAGCAGAAACTGCAACAAAATGGTGCAGAATGCAGCAATCCTCAGGATTCCCAGCTGCTCCATTCCACCACCTCCCCAGCATTCCAGCTTTGACTGAGCACCCTCAACCTCAGCGAGATGCTCTTGGTGGGGTGTCACTCCCACTTCAGTTTCCTCCCCCCTAAAGTTTATTGAGGTACTTCTGCAAACTGTGATTCCCCCAAGGCTACTGATATGTCCTTCCTGTGCAAGGCTGCTGCTGTTTTGGCTATGTGAGCAACGGTGCTCAAAATCTGAACACTGGAAATGGAGGGAATGATTGTGCCATAAAGTTTCGATCCCACTTGATGCCCAAAATGGATCCTTAATTGGCAGGTGCACCCATTCCTTGAACACCTCTGCCATGCCCTATTTGTTAGCCTTTCGGACTCGCCGTCGATGTCTACGTAGAAGTTGTTCCATAAACCTTTTATTTCTCTCCATCAGGTCCTTTCCATCTCCCAGCGGGTTCTGGGCCACCGACTCTGGACTTCTGTGCTCCGTCTTACGCTTTACGGACAGTTTGTTGCTGGCGAAACCCACACAGAGGTCAAGGAAACACTGCGACGGCTCCAGAACTTGGGGATCCGTCCTCTCCTTGCCGTCCCCATAGAGGAAGATGTGGGGCAGGCAAAGGAAGGGTGAGTGTCAGATGAGAAAAGTGAGGAGGGCACTATTTGGACAGCCAAAGAGAAGGCTGTGTCTTGATACTATGAGGAGAAACATAGGCAGGCCAAGGAAACAAGTTCTCTGACAGGAGTTTAAAGGCAAGGCACACAGAATCACAGAATCATAGAGTTGGAATAGACCACAAGGGCCATTGAGTCCAACCCCCTGCCAAGCAGGAAACACCATCAGAGCACTCCTGACATATGGTTGTCAAGCCTCTGCTTAAAGACCTCCAAAGAAGGAGACTCCACCACACTCCTTGGCAGCAAATTCCACTGTCGAACAGCTCTTACTGTACATGATTTAGCTAAAACTGGTGAGAGGCTGGTGGATTTGATTCAGCTTAGTCCTCTGTACTCCACTCACATATGATTCAAGCATAGCTCTGGACGGATTCATATCAGCACTGGATTTAGGGTGGTGCGGGCGTCTCCCTCTCACAGGGCCCCAACCCGAGGGGGTGCAACATTGAGAAGATCCATAATCAAGGAGATCCATTTGGGGCACCAAGTTTTGACCTTACTACAAAAGATTACCAAAGTCTGCCCTTGCTTTGTCTTTTACCTCTGTGAGAGTGTCACACTTTCTTGGCGGATAAATGAGCTAGCTAGCACGGTGACCTAATGGCAATGGTTCATGTGGCCCCGGAGGATAACAATAATTTAATAATTTTTTTATTTGTACCCCACCCATCTGACTGGGTTGCCTCAGCCACTTTGGGCGGCTTCTGAGATATGATAAAAACGCAGTAAAACAACAAACATTAAAAAACCTCCCTATACCAGGGCTGCCTTCAGATACAGTCTAAAAGTCAGATACAGTGGTACCTCGGGTTAAGTACTTAATTCGCTCCGGAGATCTGTTCTTAACCTGAAACTGTTCTTAACCTGAAGCACCACTTTAGGTAATGGGGCCTCCTGCTGCCGCCGCGCTGCCGGAGCACGATTTCTGTTCTCATCCTGAAGCAAAGTTCTTAACCCGAGGTACTATTTCTGGGTTAGTGGAGTCTGTAACCTGAAGTGTCTGCAACCTGAAACGTATGTAACCCGAGGTACCACTGTACAGTATTTGTTTATTTCCTAGACATCTGATGGGAGGCATTCCACAGGGTGGGTGCTGCTACCAAAAAGGCCCTGTGCCTGGTTCCTTGTAACCTCATAGTGAGGGAACTGCCAGAAGGTGCTTTGCCCTTTGGGGAGAAGTGCTCAAGTGCTCAAATGTCAAGTGAGGAAGCATGATTCACATATCCTTATCTGCTGCACAAAGCTGTCTTCACAACCTGTTTTTTTTATCCGGTTTGTGTTCAGGAAGTGGTTATCCAGAGGTTAGGTGCTAAGGGTAGCGATGCGTACTTTCACACACAGCACATTGCAGCCGCTGCCAATGCAAGATATAAATCATTCGCCTTGTGAAATCACCTCTTGCTGAAAATGGCAAGAAACCCCAAAACAGCCCCCTTTAAAATGCAATCTCAGAGTTTCAGAAGAGCACCGCCGGATGAGGGCCAGGCAGTCCAGATTCCTGCTTCTCACAGTAGCCAGCGCAATGCTGTCAGGCATAAAGCCTTCTCTGGCAATTCTCTGTGCTAGACTGCCCCTGGGTCTGGAGGTTCTATTGAGCTGACATGATTAAGAGCTGCTCATAGACTTATCCTCCATGAATGTGTCTGCTTTCTAAGAGCGCTTCCAGATGGAGGATTAATTTACAAATGGCTTGTTGGCAACAGCTTCTAAAAAAACTTATTGCGGAAAGGGTAAATCCAGATTAAATGGCGGGGGCGGGGAGTGCAGGCTGGCATTTTGGTCCTAACAGTGTTGTGCGGACACTGTGAAAAAACAAACAAAAAAACACCTTTCATGTGTGGAAAAGCTGCCCATAATAAACAGTCCATCTGGTCACAGTTTTCCTCATTATGGTGAGATGCATTGTGCTCTTAATTTAATTATAGGAACCATTTCTAAAGGTGCATCACCTATACCTATAAATTAGCCTAGGCAAATTATGCATATCTGTGTCCTCCTTTGGTGTGATTCATAAGTGACTTCCCTGACTGGAAGAATTGACATGGAAGGGAAATCTTAGCTCTGCTGCTTTGATATTAATATTTGCGTTATTTGCGTATTGATTTTGTTATACTGCATCTTTTGTTGTTGTTGTTGCTTTAATATGCATTGTAAACTTGGGTTGCCATATTTCAAAAAGTGAAAATTCCGGGTGTATGCCAGCCCTATGTAAACCAACTTGGGATCAATATTATGAATAGACTGCCTTAAAATAAATATTGAGGGTTGTAACCAACTTAGCTTCACTCAGAGTAGATGCATTGATATTCATGGGTGTGACGGGTCCATTAAGTTCAAAGGGATTACTCTGAGTAAAAGGCTATAACAATACAGTCTTAAATTAAATAGTTCATCATGCCAGCCTCAACGCTGAAAGGAAGAGTAGATAATAACCTGGGCAGCACAGGGCATTGAGCTGAGGGGGCTAACAACAACAGCAATATTTATATAGGTACCTACTGAGAAGATCCATTTAAATAGCAGCAGTACCAAAAGGAATTATTGTGAATATAATAAATATTTGTCCTTGCTCAGGGTGCCATATTGCTAAAGTCCTCCCCCAACCTGAAACTCTTTCTCCCTTCACATCTCTCACCTGTCAAAACTGCTGGTTGTGGAGATTCCATCATTTAGGCACCTGAAGATATCAGGGCTGCCATACGTCCAGATTTTCCTGGGCATTACCGGGATTTCAAAGCCGGAATTGACATCCGGGGTGGGGTGGGGAATTTCCGAAAGGCGGCGCTTTGTCCTGGATCTTAGGCAAGTCAATCGAAAAACCACGTTCAACAATTTTGGATGTTTCCTAAAAAACTGAACAATTTTGGTGGTTCCCTGGTTTTTACTTTTTGAAATATGGCGACTCTAGATACACATTTAGGAAAAATCCTTAGCGGAAGAAGCAACGGCTGATCCCCCTTTTTGATAACATCAAACAAGGTCGCTATCCGGATCTGCTTCAGGCCTGAAGTGAAACACGTAGGTGCTTGACTGGGAAAGAAAGCAGATGCAAAGAGAGACACGGCCATCTTTGAACTAGACAAACAACAGATTAATTTTGTGTGATATACTAGAGTCCGTTGAAGGCCAAAGCTGTATACATAGCACAGACTTAAAGCACCTTTAAAGCACATTCCTCCACCTGCCCTCGCAATGGCGGGAACTATAGTTTTTTAAAGGGAGGCAGGGGTTGTAGTTCTATGGGAGGTAGACTACAGTGGTACCTCGGGTTAAGTACTTAATTCGTTCCGGAGGTCTGTTCTTAACCTGAAACTGTTCTTAACCTGAAGCACCACTTTAGCTAATGGGGCCTCCGGCTGCCGACGCACCGCCGGAGCATGATTTCTGTTCTCATCCTGAAGCAAAGTTCTTAACCTGAAGCACTATTTCTGGGTTAGCAGAGTCTGTAACCTGAAGCGTATGTAACCTGAAGCGTATGTAACCTGAGGTACCACTGTACAGCTTTAAATGCACAGCGTGTGTTCAGTCCCCCTGCTGAGTTAGGCTGGCCTTGGAATGTTCTCTATAGTGATTTGGCGGGTGGGTGGGTGGGTTGCTTTTCTTTTTGCTGATTTGTTAATACTGCTGCTTATTTTGCTTTCAGTCTTGACTTAAAAACCCTCAAGGTTTTTATGATTATTGGAATTGTTAGCCACCTTGTTTATTTTTAATGCTTTTCATTAACTTTTTGTTACGACACATAAACACACACACTAAGATACGACGACAATTAAGAAAGAAACTAAATAGAAAGCACAAAACAAATAACAAACGTATAACCATAAATCTGTACGCTCTTGCACGCGGACTCTGTTACCCTACTTTATATTTCCCATTCTTATTCTTTTCTAGTAGACTTCCTGCCTCCTCAAAGCGGGTCTGTTTTCTTGTTTGTTAAACGTTTTCTTTCTCATTTCATCATTTGAATATTTTGAAATGGCAAAACTGACGGATGCAGTTAGGGGACAGTCTAACCAAAGGTTCCAAAAAGAGTGGGGAGTGTATAGAGATTACCTAAAAAAAAACAGTGTCCTCAAATCAAAACCTGGACTTGCTTTGAGTAATTTTCACAAACCATAATATGGTCTATAAGTACAGTAGATAGAGAAGGGTAGACATGATTGTTAGTCACCTTAAAGCATGTGACTTCCCCCAAAGAATCCTGGGAATTGTGGGTTTGTTAAGAGCTGTGGGTTGGGAACTGTAGCTCTGTAGCTTGACCTGGAGACGTCAGGATTTGAACCTAGAACCTTCTGCACGCAAGGCTCTGCCGCTAAGTTAGAGTCCCTTATGGTGTGAGAAAAGGGGGCTATAACTTTTGGCCCCCACCGTGCTGCTGATCAGCAACAACTATTTCTTTAACACAAATCATCTACCCATTTGGCCCTTTACTTCTATTTGGGGAAACTGGCAACAAAAGCTTCAAGGGGATCATTGAACACCAGGACAGAGTGAAAGTGAAAGGTGGTGAGCAGATTGGAAGGAGTTGGCCCGTGAAGGCTTTCGGAGAGTTTGAAAGTGTTGCTTTTGACAGATGTTGCCTGCTGAGTATTTTCAAGCAAAGTGGTAGTACCAGAAGGAGATTCTGCACTGACTTTGGGATAGCTCAGTTGGTAGAGGATGAGACTCTTAATCTCAGAGTTGTGGGTTCGAATCCCATGTTGGGCAAAAGATTCCTGTATTGTAGGGGTTGGACTAGATGACTCTCGTGGCCCTTTCCAACTCTGCAATCCTATGTACTGTATATCTGAAGGAGTGTCTCCACCCCCATTGTTCTACCCGGACACTGAGGTCCAGCGCTGAGGGCCTACTGGCGGTTTCCTCACTGCAACAAGCCAAGTTACAGGGAACCAGGCAGAGGGCCTTCTCGGTAGTGGCACCCGCCCTGTGGAACACCCTCCCACCAGATGTCAAAGAGAACAACAACTACCAGGCTTTTAGAAGACATCTGAAGGCAGCCCTGTTTAGGGAAGCTTTTAATGTTTGATGCATTACTGTATTTTAATATTTTGTTGGAAGCCGCCCAGAGTGGCTGGGGAAGCCCAGCCAGATGGGCGGGGTATAAATAAATTATTATTATTATTATTACTATTATTATTATTATTCTATCTGCTTTGCCCCAACCAGGGAAGACTGGTATGACAAGAATGCCCAATCTATGCTTACCTGCCTGGATCTGTCTGCAGTTGGTGCCATCAATCCCATGATGCAACTGAAGGTGACAGCGCTGATGGCAGCTGCACTCTGCGTGAGTATTGTGGGATGGCAGAGGGACTGTCGGGGCATTGGGGGTGGCAAGCTCTGAACGGATGTGTATCCTTGGTTTAAGTTACATTTATGTACCACTTTATACTGAACAGAAAAATCTGAAGTGGTATACACCACAAAATTATAAAACATAGCGTGCAAAGTAATTAGGCAGCGTGGGGAGTATCATGCAATTATCCTCTTGGGCATGATGTCTTAAAAACTATTTGCTCTAGAAACTGGTGCCTCTGCTTGCTTCTCTTGCCAGCCCCCTCTCCTCCAGGATTCTACCATCTCAGTCCATCCCTTATTTTTGATGCATAGGACCTCATTCTGGCCCAATTCTTGTGAACGGAAGGGAGCTAAGGTAAAGGTAAAGGGACCCCTGACCATTAGGTCCAGTCGTGACCGACTCTGGGGTTGCGGCGCTCATCTCTCTTTATTGGCCGAGGGAGCCGGTGTACAGCTTCCGGGTCATGTGGCCAGCATAACTAAGCCACTTCTGGCGAACCAGAGCAGCGCACTGAAACACCGCTTACCTTCCCACCAGAGTGGTACCTATTTATCTACTTGCACTTTGACGTGCTTTAAAACTGCTAGGTTGGCAGGAGCTGGGACCAAGCAACGGGAGCTCACCCCGTCGCAGGGATTTGAACCGCTGACCTTCTGATCAGCAAGTCCTAGGCTCTGTGGTTTAACCCACAGTACCACCCGCGTCCCAGCTAAGGTAAAGGTAAAGGGACCCCTGACCATTAGGTGAAGTCGTGACCGACTCTGGGGTTGCGGTGCTCATCTCGCTTTATTGGCCGAGGGAGCCGGCATACAGGGAGCTACCCTGCTTTTATTTTGGATTACTTTCCCCTGCTCCCTTTGCAGAAGACCATCACCCTGCGTTTGCAAGAGCAGGAGACGAAGTCAGACCTGAGCATCAAGAGAGTGGTGGCTGCCATGAAAGGGGAGGTGAGGAGCCACTGCCTTCCAGATGGATTACATTTGCTCCAAAGAGAGCTAACCCTTTATTTGACCTGTGTATTATCTCCCACTATTCTCCTGCCCCCACAGGAGCTGAACTTCAGCTGCCTGACCCAGGAAGAGAACCACCATTTCAAGAAATCGTTGAGGCGGCTCAATTCTGTAGCGCAGGTACTCTAAGGGGAGGACAGAAGCAGGGGAACCCAGCCTTGGTGATGGTGTCCATTTTGTTCTGGTTCTCATCTTCCCAACCTCTTTCCGTCTGCAGTATGCTGTGGGAAAAGGAGTCCGTGTCCTGGTGGATGCAGAATACACCTACATTAACCCCGCCCTGACGCTTGTCACCGTGGCAATGATGGCTGTCTGGAACACCCAAAAGCCATGGATCTGGAACACATACCAGGCATATCTCAAGGTGAGTTCCTCCCCCAGAAACAGTCCTCCTTCTATCCACCTTACGTCCTGGAAGTAAGGAAGGTCTGCTCTCACCTTGACAACTCAGTGGTATTGGAGGACTCCTTTCCTGTTCTACTACGGTCTTTGGAACAACTTGTCTCCCTCCAGGACACTCTGGAGCGGTTGAAACAGGACGTCGCCCTCACTGAGCGCTTGGGTGTCTGTTTCGGAATGAAGTTGGTCCGGGGGGCTTACCTGGAGAAAGAGCGGAAACTGGCAAAGGAAAAAGGATACCCTGATCCTGTGCAGCCCAGTTGGGAGGCTACCAACGAAAAGTGAGGAGGACTCCCCCTGTTCCACTACTCTGCGGGTCATTAATATGAGGCATGGGAAGAGAAGCTTCCTATGGTGTCTTCCTTCCATCGTGTGACCTAGGATGGTCCTTTCTGTGGCAAAATTGTTTATTTGAAGGGCTGCCTGGTCCAAATCTGGTTTAAAGATAAAGAACCATAAGAAGGGAGCTCAGGAGTGGCCTTGAAATTGCCCATCACTCATTAGCACACAGGGATAGCAATCTGAGGTCACTGGGCTGCGTACACACCATCTATTGAAAGTACCGTACTTTTCCGTGTATAAGACATGTTTTTTCTATATACTAAAAATAATGTTAAAAGGGGGGGAGTAGTCTTATATACGGATAGTGCATAGGGGGAACGTGTGATTGGTTGTTGCCCCCAAAATAGAGGGTGTCTTATATACAGGGGCGAGTTATACATGGAAAAATACGGTATATTTAAAGCACGGGGCTTCCCCCAAGGATCTTGGGAACTCTGCCTTCTTAAAGTTCCTGGGAATTGTAGTTCTGCGAGGAGGTAAATCTACAATTCCCAGGATTCTTTGTGGGGAGACCTGTGTTTTAAATGTGCGGTGTGTATGCAACTGTTATTCTCACTTGAATTAGACGCATTGCATTTTTCTATTATCAGTTATACAGTAGTGATTTTTTAATGTCCATCCATCCATATAAACCAGCCTATACAAATTTGATGCACGGTGCACCCCTCTCATTTTTTGCCCCCTCTGCTTCATTCTCTTGCCCTCTTCCTTTTTCCTGTGATCCAGTTACCAGTGCTGTTTGGATTTTGGTTTGGATCAAGTGTCTCGAGCCAGGGGAAGGTTTGAGATGATCGTGGCCACACACAATGAAGCGTCCGTGATGCACACTGTTCAAAGGTAGGGGGAATACCACAAAGGGGAAGTGAGTGGGGTTGTCTTTCTACATAACAAGCACCAGCTGGCATGTCCACATGTTCTGATGGTTTGGACATTTGGGTACTCTCTGAAAGTGGGAGCCACGGGTGGGGGGAATAGCCTTGGAAGGGAGCCTCTCCACACTACAACACACATACATACACAATTGTATGTGTAAGCATTGCGCTGCCTTTCTGACATCAGCAACCAATACTCCAATCCATATCCACCTCTCAGATCTATTTGCATGAAAGCAAGCTATATATAAGGGAAGTGGCATACTGCTATCATGACATGCCTAGGAGCAAAATAATTGGTTTTCGGCATATAGAGGTAAAGAAAAATCAGCAGACATCGTCTGGGCAGACAGCTGACAGCACATGCATCCCTTCGGGAGGAGGACGGGGACACTTTATCCAGGACGTTAGAAACCCGAGACAATAGCAGCAAAAGAAGCCCCATTCACATTATGCAAAACCTGTACACAACACACACAGCCACCATTGGTTAATGTAGAAATAATACTTCCATTGTTTCTTACAGCAACCCTGTAAAGCTCACCCCATAATATTATCCCCATATTGCAGATGAGGGGTTGAAGGTGAGGTCTAGCGGCAAGCAGCTCGCCTAAAAAACCAGCCAGCGTCTTTGTGACTGAGCTGGACTCCTAGCCCTTGTAGCTTACAGCTTATGCTGTTCACTGGTATGATACTCTCATAACTTCTCCCCAACCTGTCGCTGAAATGTGCTTGTTTTATCTCTTTTAAGGATGGCAGAGATGGGCATCGACAAGGGTGCTGGACCGGTCAGCTTTGGGCAGCTGCTGGGCATGTGCGATCAGATTTCCTTGGCACTAGGTGAGTGTAGCGTAGACCCCGCTTCCCACAGATGCTCTCCACACCCCCGAGCCACTTCCGTTCCTCCTGCGATATTGTCACCTCCTTTCTCTCTCTCTCTCTTTAAAATCTTGTGCCCAAATCTAGGCCAGGCCGGTTATGCCATCTACAAATCTATCCCTTTCGGCTCTGTGGAAGAAGTAATCCCCTACTTGATCCGCCGTGCTCATGAGAACCAAAGCGTCTTACTTGGGATCCGGAAGGAGCGAGATCTGCTGCAAATGGAGCTTCGGAAACGGGTTCTGAGGCGGCCTTGAGGGAATCTAAATATCCCAAAGAACTACCCCACCTCCCAATGCTTATTCATGGAACCAGGGCCCTACATTGCAATGTCTCCAGCTCACTTCCCTCATGATCTTCATGAGGGAATAAACTGCCCTCTTGGGTTACCTGGTTTCCAGCATCCCAAAGCCCTAGACTTATGGGTTGGGGCTTAGTGATGTGACGGGCTTTAGTGTTGTCTGCGTAGGACCTTGTGATGTCATGGAGCCGCTAACTCTAGAAAGAGAAAAACTGAACCCTGCCAAATATATGAGACGGGGGAAAGAGCTAGAAATGTGAGGCCTGGGAGGGGGGTAGAATCAGGGGGGAAATGCTGAAGTTTTTATTTTGAAGATCTCAGTGGGCGTGGGGAATGAAAATTTAGGAAAACACACTGACAAGCAAAACTCTTATGCAATGCTTTCTCTTTCAGAATAATGAGTGGTTTAATTTTTTATAACCAATTACACAATTGCAAAGCTCCTGGATTCAAGAGTAGTAATTTGAGCTTGGCTGGTGGCCTTGAGATCTAACTTTGCTGCCCTGAGACCTTCAGCACGGATCCCAAAATCTGAGTGTCTTCAGCTCCCACTTACTGTGTGTTTTTAATCCATCTTCCCATGATGTTATCCCAAATGCATAAGTATCCCGTCCTTTGTTACAAAGCACTACTGCTTGAAATGTTGTTTCTCAAACCAGCTTTACACCAATTGGAGTCTTTAGCCATTCAGATTCGCTTCTGTTCATGTACACGCCAGGGGATGTTGATGGGACAGGGGGAACATAAGAAAAGCCCTTTTGGCCAATGGCCCATCACCCTGCACCCAGAATCCTGTTCTCACAGTGGCCAACCACAGACGCCTATGGGAATCACCCAAGCTGGACATGAGCACAAGTCTTTTTGCTATGCAAAGGTGTTCACACCCCAAACCACCTGCCCACCCCAAAATGTGCTAAAGGAATTCCACACAAGCAGTAACTGGGTTATTTTTACAAATCAGATTTTCTGTGTTAAGGGGGAATCCAGATTAGACGTTTTAAATAAATAAAAAGAGTACAGGCTGGCATTTTGAAAACTGTGATTACGTGTGCATGCTGCGAAAAACATGTGTGCTGTTGCAGTGGCTCCAATCCCAGAATAAAGGCTTCCCTGCCTACAAGTGCCCCGTGTCCTCCTGTCCTGACTGGCTTGGTTTGGTGCCGAGCCACACAAGGCCAAACTGCAAGCCAGGTCTGGGGGGCGGGGGTGGAGCACAGATGGAGAAGGGCTTTATATAACAGGCTTAGCCAAATTTGTGTCCTAGCGAGTTGGAGTCTCTGAGGAGGTAGGTTGGTTGATGTTGACTCCTGCCACAGCACGGGGGTTGGACTGGGTCCTTTCCAGCTCAACCATTTCGTGATTCTCTGTGAGCAGGAATAACTGGATGACAGATCCAACAGTTCCACATTGCCCAAAGATGCTAGACAGGGCAGATAAAATGGGGTTTTTGCAGTCGTGCCCTCCAGAGTGCTGCAAAGGTTAGGCAGGCTGCCTTGTTTCTCTCCGTGAAGAGAACTGGGCATGCACAACAATTGGGGGCCTTCCTGTGTTTCTGGATGGTTAGAAGTGGTAGGGGAGGGGGGTTATGACTTGGCTTAACCTAAATCGGGAGAGGTTGGGATGGGCCTTGTAGGTTTTATTAAGAGAGCCCCCCCCCGACTTGCTTCCCCGTAACTGCAGCACCGTCCCAGAGTGGTCTTGCGGCTGGGCTAAAAAGGGTAGCAGCCCTGAGGACCAAGAGACAGGGGCAGAGCTAAATCTGTTTGCCCCGGAGTGACCTTGGCACATCCTTGAGGGTTTGCCCGCTGCTCCGCTTCTTCCTCTGCCACCCTCCCTGCCACTGTGATTAGGGGAATGGAGAGACGGAAGTGCAGCAGCTGTTTCAGGCCCCATGACTTTTAATCTGCAAAGGCTCATTAGGAGGAAGCAAACAGTCCTGGAGCTGCAATTCTTTGTAGGGGCTCTGATAGCCAAAGAGCCAGGAGTCTGAGCTCTTCTACTCCCTCATCCTGTGCCCAGCTAGACCCTCGGTGCTCCCCGCCCACACGGTGATCAAACCCAAGTGTCCCGCTTCACCAAAGTCCCGCTTCTGAAAACCTCTGGCCTTCCTACGCAGGAGGGTCCCTGCTTCCTCTTTAATCTGTTTATTCCTGCCCCATATGCTGCCCTTCTGAGCAGCGATTAAAGCAGATAAGCCGCTTTTGGCAGGGCCAGGCGTGGAGCTGCCAGGGTGTTATTCTGACCTCTGCAGATGCGGGAGCAGCGGGCGGCTCCAGTCGATGTGCCACAAAAAAAGCCACCCCCACGCAGATCCTGAGCGATCCTATACCAGGAGGTCTTTATTGTACATGATTGCTGGAGGGGAGGGAGAGGTAAGGCAGGGCGTTGCGCTGGGAAGCGACCTTCCGGGGTGTGTTTGAGAGGGATCAACCGAGCTGGTTGGACCAGTTGTGGGATAGATTTGACGAATGCAGCTGCCTGGTAATAAGGGATTCCTGCAGGGATTGGACTTTGCCAAGTGGGATGCTTGCCCTCCTCTTAGGAAGACGATCCAGGAACGCCTCCCTGCCAACCCACCCCTTGCCCTGCTCAGTCTTTTGTGCAAATGGAGGTTTGACCTCCCCTCCCAGTTCACACTGGGATTTGATGTTGAACTCCATACATTCACATATTCGTTGGAACCAGAGAGGGGAGGGCGACTCCATCAGCGTGACATCATCCTCACAAACTCTGCAAGGCAAACGTAAGAAACACATCAGTGCGGCTGGGGAGCAAGGCCCGAGAGACCTGGCTTCAAATCTACAAAGACTGCTGAGTGCTCCCTCGTCCTGACCTACCTCACAGGGCTGTTGTGCTTATCCAAAGGGAGATAAATGGCTGTGAATGCCACCGCCTGCTCCTTGGAGATAAATGTGTAATTCACATGTAAAATAATGATGCCCTGGTTGCCAATTTGCTACTGGGACAGGTTCAGGTCTTTTGTGTTAATTCACAAAGTCCTGAACAACTTTAAGGACACCCAGATTCCATTCTCTCCACTTTGATCACTGAAACTTTCGGATGGGCACTCTTGGTGGTCCTCCATGCCCCCAGGATTTGGCCAACATTTACCAGGGTTTAGTGGCGCAGGCCCTGCCCTGTGGCACTACTTGCTCATGGAAGGTCAGCTGCAGTCATTCTTGCTCTCTTGTCTTTCAAAACTTGCATTATTCAGACAGGCCTTTGATATTTTTACCAATGAGTTTTTATTCACATATTATTGATGTTTTTACTGCTGCTATTTGTAGTTATTTCAATTTAGTAAGAAGATAAACCTGTGCTGGACATGCACATGATATTATTCAACTGTTTTGGGTGTATCGTTATTTGTTTAATGTTCTGTTTTGTCTAGCGCTGAATTTAACTATCTTTTGAAGTTCTTATAATATCTGCTTTTAACTACCTTCTATCAATAATTCAAATCATTGGACTAGATGACTTGGACTTGGGGTTCCCTTCCAGCTCTACAATTCTATGATTCTACAAAATGTTGCTGCATTTTGTAAACGGCTTAGATGTTCCATTAACATGGAGCTGTACGCAAATTTTGTTAAATAAATGAAATGAAGAAGGATGAGGGAGCACAAGACGGGGGCAGCCCGGGCCTGAGACCCTACAGAGTGTTTGCCTGCTGGGGTAGGCAATATTGGCCTGGATGGACAAATAGTATGGCTTTGGTATAAGGCATGCTCCTATGCTTGCTAAAGGCTGGCTATTGTGCCCTTTTTGGCTGGCAGTGAGCAGTCTTAAACAAATGAGTTTCCAGTGCAATCCAAACTGTGCAACAAGATAAGTCAGTTCTGTCCCCTGGGGAAATTCTGCTTTTACATTTGCTGCTTCACCTGCGTCATTTAGGTTACTTGTGCTGGAAGTTGGTTGTGCTGTCATAGTAGCCTGAAATATCCCCAGAATCTGTATTCTGAAATGACCTAGGTCCCGTTACCTAAGTTGTAAGGAGGAGGCCGCTGGATCAAGCCAGTGGTTCGCTTAGTCCAGCATCCTATTCTCAGGGGTCAACCTATGGGAAGGCCACAAACAGAACCTGAGCTCAACAGCACTCTCCCAGAATGGAATCCAGAAGCATTAAAGGTAAAGGTAAAAGGACCCCTCAACGGCTAAGTCCAGTCAAAGTCGACTATAGGGTTGCGGCACTCATCTCACTTTCAGGCTGAGGGAGCCGGCATTGGTCCACAGACAGCTTTCTGGGTCATGTGGCTAGCATGACTAAGCCACTTCTGGTACAACAGAACACTATGACGGAAACCAGAGCGCATGAAAACGCCGTTTACCTTCCTGCCGCAGTGGTACCTAATTATCTACTTGCACTTGTGTGCTTTCGAACTGCTAGGTTGGCAGGAGCTGGGACAGAGCGATGGGAGCTGACCCCATTGTGGGGATTCAAACCACCAACCTTCTGATCAGCAAGCCCAAGAGGATCAGTGGTTTAGACCACAGCGCCACCTGCGTCCCTCCAGAAGCATTACTGCCTCCGACAGTGGAGGTAGAACATAGCATTCAGGGTCATTAAGTCTTGCCTGGTGTGTTGGGACAACTCCCACACTCTGTTATCTAGTGCCTGCTCCTTCAATTAGTACCACAACCACCCTGCCAATGGGGTTGCAATCCAAAAACAGGGCAGGTGGAGCAGGGAGGCTGGGTGGTCCAGCTCCTGGTTTCCCCAGCACCAGCAGCCCGTTTTGACAGGTGGGCTGTGTGCTACCACCTCCATGCAATTGGAGCAATCCAATAACTCTCTAACCCTATTATCCAAGCCCATTTAAGCCTATATCTTTTCAGCCTGTGCTCCTAAATCCCATCTCCCCAGACCTTTAAAGCTTTTAACCTCTCACCTTGTATCCCGATAAGCCTATAATCCCTTTCCATCAATCCTATATTCCCCGAGTGCATCTCACCCTCAAAATCCACCGTCCCGTCTCCATTGACGTCGGCTTCCTTCACCACATCAGCAATCTCCCGGGACGTCAGCCGCTCGCCCATCAGCCTCTGCATGGCCTGGTACAACTCATCCAGAGTGATCTCGCCATCCCCGTTGGTGTCAAACTGGAAACAGGGAGAGGCATGGTAGTTAGTTGCGGTGAGAGTCAGCATACTTAATCTGAACAGGAGCAAGAGGGCGAAGCTTAATGGCACAAGATGCAGGACAGAAGAGAGGAAGTACCTCTTCGTGCAGTGGTTCGTTAGCATATGGAACTCATTGCCACAAGATGCAGTGGCGGCCAGTTAACCTGATCCCATTTTAAAGCTAACGGAAATAGGATCTATCAATGTCTTTTCGTCAGGATTAATGATAGGAGAGAAATCCAATTCAGTTTGCGTTTAAAAGGTGAACTGGTGTCATGATCCAACTCTTTGGTCTGATCCCGGAAGTTTCTTCCTCTTTCTTCTCTTATTTTTTTATGGAACTAGCAAGGTTGGCAGAGAAGGGATAGTCATGGGGAGTGCTATGTCCCATCCCCAGCTTTTTGGGTGGGTGGGGATCAATGTTGTCTAGTTGGGTAATGAGAAGTTGGGGAATGAGAGGTGTTCAATTTTCTGGGAGGGAAAGGGGACATATGACAAGCTGGGATAAGTGAATCTGTTTTTCTAGTCTTAACCACTTCTCCACATTTCCGTATCAGATTGTGGAGCTGGGAATTAAGTCGTTGTGAAAATTCACCAGCATTTTAGTATGAATTTCTTCTAATGTGCACATTTACCAATGTAATTTAGCCCAACATACACATTTTTGCAAATCCAGTTTCCCAACCAGAATGCACTTTCATATTTCATTTCCACTAACAAATGCATTTTTAACGCTAATTCGGGGAAGTGGGGGTTCTGAAGGGATGGCTGTTTGTGCATTGCTGTGGAAAGCGCGGTAGATTTGTTAGATTTGCCTTTGAATGAGAACGCAATCAGATTTCTGCCCCACCCCTGAGAACAAGAAACAAGGCTGAGAGAAAGAACTCCGAAGTCCTGTCCAATCCCAGCCCATCTTACCTCCTTGAAGGCATCCCTCATTTCCTGAAGTCCAATCATGCCCGCCGTCTCTGCCAGCAGCTTTGGGGTCATCATCTCCACAAAGTCCTCGAAATCCACGCGCCCTCCAACTGCAGTGACCACAGTCAGGTTAATTTCTTAGAAGACTCAGATATCTTGGTTTTCCCTTCAAGTTTCCTTACATATCCCTGATCAGCAGCCGGTTTGGGGCTGCATATACAGCATACGTTTAAAGCGGATGGTTTCCCCCTAAGAATCCTGGGAATGTAGTTTGCTAAGGGTGCTGGGGATTGTAGCTCTGTGAGGGGTGGACTACTGTTCCCAGAATTCTTTGGGGGAAGTCATGTGCTTTACAACCTAATATACAAAAAAATTCAAACTAAACTAAAGAGATTAGATAGATGATAGATAGATAGATAGATAGATAGATAGATAGATAGATAGATAGATATCTCAAATGGGGGGGAGGGAACTAAAGAGAAAAAGAAAGTAAGATACATTAATAATAATCCTCATAGAATCATCATATGATCCTCATAAAACACAAAATTATAAATATAACCCTCACTCAACATTTTACCTTAAGCTTCACACATATGGAGAGTTGAATCCTCCCAGCAGGGAGAGCTTCTCCTTCCTCAGTCTCTCACCCTGAGAAAAGCCACTTTGACCTGCCTCTCATACAGGTCAGCTCCTTGTATGTATCTTCATTTATCGTGTGTGTGTGTGTGTGTGTGTGTGTGTGTGTGTATGTATTATATATATGTATTAATATTAAGACATACATCTAGTTAATGCTACTGGAGAGCCACCAGAAATCAAACATCACACAAGAAACCCAATCAAAAAGAAAGAAAAAATAAGGGGGGGGGACAAGAAAGAAGAGAAAGATAAAAGAGAGATATTTTCAGTTCCCTGTCTGCCAATTGTGTATATAACCATTATTCAGAGTATTTAACATACTGTATTTTTCGCTCTATAAGACGCACTTTTCCCTCCTAAAAAGCAAGGGGAAATGTGTGTGCGTCTTATTGAGCAAATGCAGGCTGCGCAGCTATCCCAGAAGCCAGAACAGCAAGAGGGACTGCTGCGGAGCAATCACTCTTGCTGTTCTGGCTTCAGGGATAGCCGCGCAAAGCCTCTTCAACAACATTTGATTCGGAATCTTTTTTTTTCTTGTTTTCCTCCTCTAAAAACTAGGTGCGTCTTATGGTCTGGTGCGTCTTCTAGAGCGAAAAATATGGTGTATACTCCAGAATCATTCTAGCTATGAATAATATCTAGTTACTGTGGTGGTGTTGTTGTTGTTTTCCATCCTGTGGGATTGTCTTTTCCCAAAGTTGGTTGGAGGCCGGGGGGGGGGGGGGGGACTTTTGGGCCTGTGCTTTCTAGGCACGGGACAAGCAGAATCGTGGGTGAGCCTGAAGTCCAGCCACTGCATCACACAGGAAGCTGCCTCACTGCTGCCTACCACCGGCTCCACACAAACCTCTTTTCCCTCTGAAATGGCAGAGAAGTCAAGGGCTGGTTGAATCCCAGGCAAGCTGACAGTGGCCATCCTTTATGTTAGAGCCAACACCCATTGGAGACCCAGGTAGTGATACCAGGACTCCTTCCCATCGTCAGCCTTCCCCAACCTGAGGTCTTCAATACGCTTTGGGCTACAATTCCCAGCAGCCCTTGCTTAGTATTGTTCATGGTAAGAGATTATGGGAGTTGTAGTCCAAGATTTTGGAGGGCTGCTAGCTGGGGAAGGCTGCCTTGTATCTTCAGTCCAGCACCATTCTTTATTGAAATATTCAACCCAGTCCTCGGAGACCAGGCACTTACGATTCATGTTGATCTGCTGCGACAGTTCGATAAGCTCCATCTCAGTCGGCATGTACCCCATTGTCCTCATGAGGTTGCCCAAATCTTTGCAGCTGATATAGCCATCCTTGTCCTTGTCAAACTCATCGAAGGCCTCACGGAGCTCTGTTTTTGCAAAACGGGAGCAGCAAGAGTAGCAGCAAGGGTAGCAATAATAACTGAGTAAAGAATGTCATTGGTTTTCCAGGTTTTTACCTCAGGGAACACTTCCTCTGGAAGGCCTGCTGAGGAACCCTCTAGCACCTGCTGTGGAGTTCCAACATGTTCTAGAAGATTCTGGGTATGCTTTAAGGCAAGGGTATAGAAGCTGTGGCCCTCTACATATTGCTGGACTACAGCTCCCATCGTCCCTGACCATTAGTCATGCTGGCTGGGGCTGATGAGAGCTGTTTTCCAGTAATAAGATGGAGGGCCACAAGTTCCTCATCCCTTTCTTAAGGCCTCACCAACATTCCTCATGAACTGGGTGTGCAATCAATATTCCCTATGGCTAGGGATGGGCGCATCTGTCCATTTCACTTTCCCCCAGTTTTTTATTTTTCCAAACAGTTCTCTCCCTTTTCTCATCAGTTTGCCATTTTGTGCTTTTAAAAGGTCCTCGAGAAAATTCACCAGCATTTTAGTGTGAAATTCAAGTAATTTCAAGTGTGAATTTCACGTGATATACACAGTTTTAATGAAATGTGGGTCAACATAGACATTTCTGCAAAGCGATTTCCCATGATATATGTCATTTTCACCAATATATACATTTTTATGCATACTTTACCCTAAAATATTTTTGTAAACATTATTTAGCTGGGGAACTACACTGCAAAATTCAGAGACGTGTGACTTATAAAGGAAGGCTGTGTTTCGGTTTGCTTGTTGTTGCGGAAAGTGCAAATTATGTAGGTTTGCCTTTAAATGCAAACTGGATTGAATTTCTCCCTCATCCATGTTTATATTAAACACCAGAGGAAGGTCAGTCATGGTTGGGAAACTCTTTTTATGGGAAGCTCAAACGTTACTGATCTTCCAATCAAAGAATCCCTCATAATCTTCCAAAGCAACTCAGAATTTCCCAGAACAATTTTTTTAAAAACCCCAAAGCTGCTGCTCAAAAGTATCACAAATGCCCATCCTACTTACCTTCGATTTCATCTGCTCCCAGTTCCCGCTCCTGTAAGGCAGATGTAAAGTCATTCATAGTGATACAGGCACATAGGAAGGGAGGAAATGAAGAAGTCTTGGTTCACAGTCCTCAACCTCACAAGAAACTACTCCTTCCCCTTGAGCTGTAGAAAACAAGACCCCCAAAGCCCTACTGCCAAACCAGTCTCTCCACCCAACCCTTCCCGACGCCCAAACAAAGGCTCCTCTTCCCTAAGGCCAATCGAAATAATTGCATCGCGCTGTCAAAAACACAGCAATGCTCCCGTTGAGTTGACAGCTCAATATTTACAGGCACACAGAAGGACAAAGTGGATCCAGCAATGAACTGGAACGCTGCCCAGAATGACAGAGCCAGTGATCACAGTGAGATGGAGGAACGGAGAAGTGGGGCGGCGGGGAGAGAGAAACCCTACACAATCCTAAAACTCAGTGACAAAACCCAGGAGGTGCAAAGCCCATGGAGGAGCAACCATGTAGCTGCAGATGTTTGGAGAGAGGGAGAAAGAGAAAGGCTGAGACCATCTCACTGTGCTTTCTGATTCACAGAGACCCATCCCCGAAACTTCAAGCAAGTACAACCGAGGGTGAGTCCATGAGCTGGCAGCAGCTGAGGGCCTTCAGGATCACTAGAGATGCGTACACACCATATAGTTAAAGTACATTTCCCTCCCCGTAAGGAATCCCGGGAGCTGTTGTTTATTAAGGGTACTGGGCTCTGTCAGAGGTAAACTACAGTTCTCAGGTTTGGGGGAAGGTACGCTTTAAATGCATGTTAGGGCTGCAGCACACCAAGATATCATAATCTGCTCCACTACTGAGCCTGGGGTAGGACAGGACAGATAATTCATACTAAGGGGGAGGGAATTAAGAGATGGATCACAGGACCCAGTCCCAGTTATTTTGCCTTAGACTCCCCGCCCCCAGTCTCCTGCACCTTCCCTATTATAACCTTTTAAAAACAAAAGTTTGCTCACAAGATGACTGGGTGTGCTGCACCCGACAGTGCCAGCGACAGCCTCAGACACCCCCAACCATTTTAATTTGCCCGGCAGTTAATTTGTGCCCCCGTGGCCCTGTGCACCGAGTGTTTTAGTTCCTACCCAACGCCCCTGAGGCCAGCTTAGCCCCCGACTGCCTTTCTCTGGCATACTTTCCCAGCATTCAGAGACCCAGCCAGGTTATCTATTTGGCTGTGGTGGTGACAGAGAATAGGTTGTGAGAAGGGTACTCCCACAGGACACGCATACATTTCCCATCATGTCATTTTGACCGAAAAGTTGGGGCATGTTTTGGAAACCATCTAATAAAAAGGAAAAAAAGGGGAGGCAAAAGGGGAATGAGAGATGGCAGCATGCAAGACGCGTTGCCTCTTTCAAACCAACACTCTAGAAGTTAAATCGAGCCCATAGAATTCCATCTCCCTCTTGCTTCTCCAACGCACTAGACTTCTCCTCCGGGGACCTGGATCCTCCAGAACACCATAAACTGCAAGCTGCCTTTGTGGAGCTGAGTCTGGAATCCTTGGGGCTCCTCATCCCACCGGGCCCCACTTTTCGTTAATTTCCCTTGCAGAGGAAAATGGAAACTCAGCCCTTGCCTTGGCTGACCGTTCCAGACCGTTTGCCCTGCCCACCTGGGCTACTGCACCCTCTTGCCCAGTCCCGCCCCCCCCGCAATGGCCATACCCCCTGTTTCTCAGCAATCCCCTTGCGCAGGAAGATGCAGGCTGGTCCCAGGGTGTTCTGCATGGCGCTGAGTGCTGCGTGTCCTGGTCACCCTCCGTACGGTGCTTCTGACGCCTTGTCCCCTTCAGCAGAAGAAGAGATGGCTCTTATGGATGAGGATGTTTTATAGAGGGGAAAGGGGATTATCTCTCCCCCCTCACTTCTGATCCTCACCCCCGCTATCCAGGCCTTTTTGTTCTGCTCCTGGCTGTGGTATCTGCAAAACAAATCCCTCCTCCCCTCCCCAGATTAACATCTGCCGCACGGTAAGAGCTGGCAGCCAGGACTCCTCAGGCTGGGCAGAGGAGCCAGAAGGGTCCAGAGAGTAATGGGATGGGGTGCAGGGTTCTGCTGCGGCTGTCTGGGAAAGAGGGAGCAGGATTTAGTGGCAGATTTGATCCAGAACTCTTGCTGGGTCCTTCTGGGACACCTGAGACTCCTCCTGATGGTCGATTTATTTGTTTATTTGTTCTGATTTGTTTGCTGGGTGGCTATATGGCAACGAGCATTCATCTTACATTCACCCTGATTTGCTCACCGAGTGTTTATATGTCTTCCTATTAATCAGTCATTCATATTAGACTTCACCATTCATTTTCCTGTCACTTTCCTAACTGCAAACGTCTGGTTTTTTATTTATTTAAAAAGTGGATTTGTTGCTCTAAGGCACCAGAGCGCTTTAATCCACTTCAATTGCACAAACCTAAATTTCCCAGTACTGTAAGCGCTTGGATCCCTCCCACAGAAAACTGAGAGTCTGGAGGCACCCCAAGGGCCAATGAGTGAGGCTGCCAGCATGCCATGCTTTGAAGCACATTGCTTCCCCCCATAGAATCCTGGGGGCAGTAGTTTACACCCCACAGAGCAACAATTCTCAGCACCTTTACATAAGAGAGAGAGAGAGAGAGAGAGAGAGAGAGAGAGAGAGAGAGAGAGAGAGAGACTAGATTTCTATGTAATTATAGTGCAACGGGTTCTTTAGGGCAGCCTGTCACTGGGATGGGGAGATGGGATCAGGTTCACCTGTAGTGTACCTGGGTTAAGATGCAGCAGCTGTCTCTACCAGGGAAAAAAAGGTTGTGAACCCAATATGTGTTTGTGTGGGGGTGGATAAAGTATCTTTATAGAGGTATGGAGTGTGGTGGATGAAGAGCATTGGTGGGTGTGGATAGGAAAATAAAGAGCATTTGTCTTTTTAAAATGTAAAGAGTTTCTTGTTTTGATGTGTGTGTATGTATGTATGTATGTATGTATGTATGTATGTTTGTTTGTTTTAGTTTATGTCTACAAGTGGGAGTTGTGCTGAGATATAACCCTCACCAGACAGGCAATGCCTTGTAAGGAACAGCATGGAAAATGAAACTAGAACTAGGGACTGAAGCAATGCAGGGACTGCATTAGTGCGATTGTTAGGCATGTTGTATAGTCACTTTCGGACAGTAAAAGAGTTACCGTTCATCTACGGCAGACTCTGGCATTCATTAAACAGCAGCAGCAGCAGCAGCGGCAGAGGCATCCAGTCAGGTATCAGGTGTGCCACACAATTCGGTCTGTTGTCTAGTGCATGAAATACGAGTCAAATTACCCCCATCTGTTCTAATTGATGCATTTAATTAATAAATAAATTAGGCCTGCAATTTTCTTAAATTAATTGACTTGCACTAAGAACTTTGGACGGGCAAAAGAGCTGCCCCAGTTCTTCATAAATTAATTGTTCAACTGTTAAATATATATATATTTATTGTTGTTTTAGGCAGGTGCTGGCTGCAAGAACTGGATGGCAGCCATAATTTTTAGAAAAGACATTTTGCAGTCTCCCATACAAAGGAAGGAACCTTTTCAGGGCAGGGAGTGGGTAGGGAGCAGAGGCAAATTTAATACCCCAAGTAAGTAAATTAATAACTGTAAGTATATAACTAGCCAGTGCTTTTTTCCCCTGGGGGGATGCAGGCAGAGCTGTAGCTAGGTGATCTTGCGCCCTGGCAGAACCGTCCAGATTCGCCACCTAGCCACAGACAAATTAGCTCTTCTTTCTGCCTCTCATCCAATTCCCCCTCCCACCCATTCAATTCACCCTCTATTTAAAAACCATTTCTTATGAGGCAATAATCAATATTTATATTTATATTTATGGACATATTTTTAGCCATTTTTGCACACACACACCCATCGCCTGTACCCCTGGCAGGGGCCCACCTCACCACCCCATAGCTATGGCCCTGGACGCAGGGGTATACATGCCCCTAAACATTTTGTGAATCTTTGTACTTTTGCCCATTTATTGTATTTATTTCTCCCAATTTGAACTATAAAATGGTGATTTTCTTGAGTCAAAATGAGAGTACCCCTAAACATTTTTTAAGGGCAGGGGGAAGCACCGTAACTAGCTAATATTTCTGGTCAATCTAGTCACTTAGCAGAGATGATATATTGATTGACCTGACCTCTGAGCAACTTGGGTTGTGTAAACATATCATAACATCCACAGTAGAACAAAATCAACTCAGTCCATCAAAGGCTTGTGGAGGAAGGTGAGTATTTACCTGGCCCGAAAAGGAGTCAGTGAGTGCGGCAAGAGTATTGCTAGCCCAGAAATGGAAACAAGAAGAAATTCCAACGAAAGAAGAATGTTAGACGAAATTAATGGACTATGCAGAATTGGACAAAATGACAGGAAGGATTCAAAACCTGCGGGACCAGAGATTTACAGAAGATTGGAAGAAGTATATGAATTATTTGAAGAGCAACTGTAATCAACAAATTACGCTAGTAGGACAAGAAGTTTTGTAAGGAGAAATATACGAAGTGTTACAAAGTAGAAAAAGATAGAGATATTGGTTATGAGTTTGAAATGTAATAGGGAAGATAATAAATGCATACTTAGAGATTAGATTGGAAAATTTTCAGACAGGATTGATGGAAGTCAAAAATTTGAATAAGATGCAAAAGTATGTTTAATTACTGTTGAAAATGATATGTTATATATATATATATATATATATATATATGCAGGTTTTGGTGTCCTCGGGTGTCTTCCCGTGTAAAAGTTGGGGTGTCTAGGCGACGTTTCGACGAGGTCTCACTCGTCATCTTCAGGCTGGTGCTTTCGGCTTCTTGTTACTGGAACAGAGCAGGATCTCAGTGTTTGAGTTCCTATAAATACTGTTGAGGGGGTGTGGTGTATAGCCTCCAATGTTCTGGGCAGAGAGGAAGTTCCCAGGCTAGTGTGCCTTTTCTTCTTTTGTTCCTTAATTACTTGAGGGATATCTTGAGTGATTTCTTGAGTGATATCCTGAGTACCACTTAGGTGGGTCATTAGGTGTGGATTAGTTGCTAAAGCCTTCGTGTCTTGACCTCTTGAACTTTGTGAAGAGTTTTTCTGAGAAGATGGCTGTACTGCATTTAGTTGTGCTCTGGCTTGGCTTCGTGTATAGGGGCGAGCTGTGGTTTTGTGTCCTGTGCCAGCCAGATCTGTGTAGGGATTGCAGGGGGGTGCAGCATCCGGAGGTGCCACCATGGTTTGGCTACTGGATGGTGTCTGTAATTTATCTGTGGAGAGGGTCTGGGTTTGGGTCTGGTGTGGTTGATTGGTGATGGCGTTCTGTGTGCCTCTGGATCTGGTGTCGGTTTTTGTGGGGAGGGCTAATTTCCAGATGTCTGGCAGGCGGGATGTGTCGTCACGCTTGTTCATGTTGTGAGGGTGTTTCTCTATCTCGATGGCTTCCATGATTATTCTCTTGTGGTGATGTTCCATGTTAGAGAGCAATTTGGAATCTGCAAAATTAATTTCGTGTCCTGTTTCTTTCATGTGTTGGAAAAGAGTTGGAAAATATATATATATATATATATATGCTTTCGTAGATTTTCACGGGTACAGGAATGCAGGTTTTGGTGTCCTCGGGTGTCTTCCCGTGTAAAAGTTGGGGTGTCTAGGCGACGTTTCGACGAGGTCTCACTCGTCATCTTCAGGCTGGTGCTTTCGGCTTCTTGTTACTGGAACAGAGCAGGATCTCAGTGTTTGAGTTCCTATAAATACTGTTGAGGAGGTGTGGTGTATAGCCTCCAATGTTCTGGGCAGAGAGGAAGTTCCCAGGCTAGTGTGCCTTTTCTTCTTTTGTTCCTTAATTACTGGAGGGATATCTGGAGTGATTTCTTGAGTGATATCCTGAGTACCACTTGGGTGGGTCATTAGGTGTGGATTAGTTGCTAAAGCCTTCGTGTCTTGACCTCTTGAACTTGGCTTGAACTTGGCTCTGGCTTGGCTTCGTGTATAGGGGCGAGCTGTGGTTTTGTGGCCTGTGCCAGCCAGATCTGTGTAGGGATTGCAGGGGGGTGCAGCATCCGGAGGTTCCACCATGGTTTGGCTACTGGATGGTGTCTGTAATTTATCTGTGGAGAGGGTCTGGGTTTGGGTCTGGTGTGGTTGATTGGTGATGGCGTTCTGTGTGCCTCTGGATCTGGTGTCGGTTTTTGTGGGGAGGGCTAATTTCCAGATGTCTGGCAAGCGGGATGTGTCGTCACGCTTGTTCATGTTGTGAGGGTGTTTCTCTATCTCGATGGCTTCCATGATTATTCTCTTGTGGTGATGTTCCATGTTAAAGAGCAATTTGGAAATACCCTGCAAAGTCTGCCCAGCCACGTACATTGGACAAACAAACAGACGAATAAATGCACGTATCGCAGAACACAAGAATGCCGTCAAAAAAGAGGAAAAAAATTCCTCTCTTTTCCAACACATGAAAGAAACAGGACACGAAATTAATTTTGCAGATTCCAAATTGCTCTTTAACATGGAACATCACCACAAGAGAATAATCATGGAAGCCATCGAGATAGAGAAACACCCTCACAACATGAACAAGCGTGACGACACATCCCGCTTGCCAGACATCTGGAAATTAGCCCTCCCCACAAAAACCGACACCAGATCCAGAGGCACACAGAACGCCATCACCAATCAACCACACCAGACCCAAACCCAGACCCTCTCCACAGATAAATTACAGACACCATCCAGTAGCCAAACCATGGTGGAACCTCCGGATGCTGCACCCCCCTGCAATCCCTACACAGATCTGGCTGGCACAGGCCACAAAACCACAGCTCGCCCCTATACACGAAGCCAAGCCAGAGCCAAGTTCAAGCCAAGTTCAAGAGGTCAAGACACGAAGGCTTTAGCAACTAATCCACACCTAATGACCCACCCAAGTGGTACTCAGGATATCACTCAAGAAATCACTCCAGATATCCCTCCAGTAATTAAGGAACAAAAGAAGAAAAGGCACACTAGCCTGGGAACTTCCTCTCTGCCCAGAACATTGGAGGCTATACACCACACCTCCTCAACAGTATTTATAGGAACTCAAACACTGAGATCCTGCTCTGTTCCAGTAACAAGAAGCCGAAAGCACCAGCCTGAAGATGACGAGTGAGACCTCGTCGAAACGTCGCCTAGACACCCCAACTTTTACACGGGAAGACACCCGAGGACACCAAAACCTGCATATATATATATATATATATATATTTGCTTTCGTAGATTTTCACGGGTACAGGAATGCAGGTTTTGGTGTCCTCGGGTGTCTTCCCGTGTAAAAGTTGGGGTGTCTAGGCGACGTTTCGACGAGGTCTCACTCGTCATCTTCAGGCTGGTGCTTTCGGCTTCTTGTTACTGGAACAGAGCAGGATCTCAGTGTTTGAGTTCCTATAAATACTGTTGAGGGGGTGTGGTGTATAGCCTCCAATGTTCTGGGCAGAGAGGAAGTTCCCAGGTATATATATAAACACACACACACACACACACACACACACACACACACACAGTGGTACCTCAGGTTACATACGCTTCAGGTTACAGACTCCGCTAACCCAGAAGTAGTGCTTCAGGTTAAGAACTTTGCTTCAGGATGAGAACAGAAATTGTTCTCCGGCAGCGCAGCGGCAGCAGGAGGCCCCATTAGCTAAAGTGGTGCTTCAGATTAAGCACAGTTTCAGGTTAAGTATGGACCTCTGGAACGAATTAAGTACTTAACCACTGTATATATATATATATATATATATATTGCAGGTTTTGGTGTCCTCGGGTGTCTTCCCGTGTAAAAGTTGGGGTGTCTAGGCGACGTTTCGACGAGGTCTCACTCGTCATCTTCAGGCTGGTGTTTTCGGCTTCTTGTT